TCTATATTTGCAAATGTAGAAGTCAATACGAATGGATTTGAAAATACAATTGTTGATCGTGGTTTGTTATCGTTATCAATGGAGGAATAATGAAATTAAAATTATGAAAATACCTACCTAGGTAGGTACCGAAGAAACGATAAATCGCGTGGAAATGTGCAGGAGACGCGAATCGTGCACTCGTTAACCAAATCGTAAGGCCGGGGAGCTGCATACAGCTAAAAGTCTGCTAGTACAGCTTAGGTACAGCTATACCTACGATGTGTACCTAATATACATATACATAGGTACCTACAAGGTACCTAGGTACAATACATATGACAAGTCGCAGGTACCTTAGGTACCTACTCACTGTGCAAAACCCAACGTAGCGGTACCCTTACGTCTTTCTAGTTAGAAGTTACCCCCAGTTACCCCTCTGTACCAATTCATATCGCTATCCAATCAGCCCGAGGCCAAGTTCCAAAAAGACACCTTCTTGATGGCTCGTGCGCGCCAAACCTCAAAAATTAGGAAATCCAGTATTCCGTACACCAAAAAAACAAGCTCCCCATTCTGTCTGTCCCCGTCGACACTCTTCCTATTGCAGGCCATATCGTATCATATCCGTTTATGTACGAACTTGGGCAGCTCGCCGCGCCATCTTCCCAATCGCGACGCCATTCGCTCTTTTCAATCCTCCCTGTACGAAATATTATGTTCCTACGAATCGAATCTGGTCGTTCCTAATATATCAGACACTCTACAACATCGAGAGTACTGATTAGCGATTAGCATCTTGCCGCAGTACCACGCACGACAGTACCGCGCCCTTCACGATCAGAATCTGCTACCGTCGATATGCCTGCGCCGGCGGTTCCAGAGTAAGCTATCTCAAAATACTCTTTTCCAATTGCATTCTCGGCGCTAACGGTCGCTGCAGAATTTCGGAGGAGGTCCTACACGAATCGATCGAGGCCCGTACTGAGACCTTGGTGTCATTGCGTGAGCTTGGCCCTCCCGATCTCGTCCACCTCCTAAAACAAAACCTCAGAAACACTGTAAAACAGGTATGTCGATTGATCAACTTCCCAACTTCCCAACTTCCCAGGATCGGTGCTAAATTTGCTGGCGCAGACGGGAGTATATCACCACGTCACCGGCGTCGATGCGTCCTCGTCGGCTAGCCTCGCCGCTTATATAAACACCCTCACCTACAAGGAGCATGGCCAAGTTGCCACGCACAAGATCGTAGAGGGTCTATACTGCTGCTACAACGCGTTTTCCCGGCTTGATATGCGCGTCCACGTTACCATTCCCGGGACGGTCGAAGCCTATTGCGTCGACGAGAGGGGAGAGAAACGGAAGGCCACAGACGAGCTATGGCTGGAGACGTATCTCTGCAGCGTTCTGCGTGCCTATTCGTACGCCGACGACGGGAGCGGCGATACTATCAGGAAGATCATGGGCGTGAGACGCTTTAACCCCGTCACCAACACCGAGACCGAACACAGATTTCTGAGCGCGGCCGAGAGCCTCTTTTTTAGAGGTACGCAAACCTGCTATCTATTAGAATTCAGATTGCTTACCTTAACTCGTTGCAGGTTGGCAGCTAGGTTCCGATTCCGTCGTGCAGGTCCCGAACAACGTATCTAACCACCTGACCACCGGCCTTCTCAAATATTTCTATACGACCGGACGCTTTGCCTCGGGCATCAACCTCTTCGAAAAGCTGAGAAGTCAGAACGTCGAGGTGTCGTCGCTGCTCGCAAAGGTCCTCTTCATGGGTAATGAGGAGGTGCAGGGCGTGCGCGTGTTATACCAGGCTCTCAAGGACTCTCCGATGGATTATGTCATGTTGGATACCCAAGCCGAATTTCTCCTCAAGAAAGCATCGGCGGCCGAGACCCCGGCGCAGAAGGACGAAAGGCTGAGGATGGCGCTAGGTTGCGCGGACCGCAGCACGATCGCCGCGCCCAGCGAATTCGGCACGTGGGCGAGGTTGGCGCAGGTTTACGTCGCTATGGAAGACTGGGAGAACGCGCTCACCATCTTGAACTCGTGCCCTATGTTCACTTACCAGGACAAGGACGCGCCGGTCATGCCAGAGCCGAAGGACGTCTATCTCCCCACCTTGCCCGAGACGCGTCTAGAAGAGATCGACAGCGAGCCGGAGTCCAGGTACGCCGAGCAAGTAGATCCGAGCCTGCTCAACCTCCGCGCCGCGTCGTATCGCGGTACTTTCAAACTAGCCTACGGGATTCTCACGGAGATGACGGCAAAGATTGGTTGGGACCAACTCCTTAAGATACGGAGTAACGTTTTCGTTATGGAGGACGAGTACCGCACGGAAAAGCAGGATGTGGTCCCGCAGGCCCAGTCGACAAACCGCAATCCGAGTATCGACGGATTGCGCGGAACTCCCGAGCCCGCGACCAACGGCGATCAGACCGACGAGGAAGCCGACGACGAGGCCGACGACGAGAAGAGCGCGACCGATACCGACTCTGTAGCACCCACGTTGACTAACGGCCACGGCGAAGAGGCCAAGGTGGAGAAACCGACTCATACCATCGACCCCGGCGAGGTTAAGGCCGACGGAGATAACGTAAGTAGCTTTTGTTCCGTTTCCGGAGACGGGCATTGACACGTCTACAGAGCGCAACCACCGACGAGCATCTCTCGCGCCTGAATAATAAGCGACTATGCGAGAGATGGCTCGACAGCCTCTTTATGGTGCTGTACGAAGATCTCCGCGTATACACGATATGGAGAACGCAGATGGCGCAATACAGAGCTCAATCGATGCAATACAAGAAATCCGCCGAGGAGTGGGAGATTCTGGGCGCACTAGCAGAGCGCCTCCAGCACCACGACGAAGCAGCTGAGGCCTATCGGGCTTGTCTCGCCGCGCGGTTCAGCCCGAAGGCGTTGTCGGGGATCCTACGAGCGTTCGAGAAGCAGAAGCTGACGAGAGATAGCATAGCTGCCGTTATCCGCCTGGTGACCTGGCAGTACCGTTGGTACTCTGAATTTTCCCCCGACCTTCTCCATACGATAAGAGTCTTGATCGAGGAAGAGGGTGCCGTAAAGGTTCGGTCGATCATCCAAGCGACGAGCCTCCCGCAGAACGTGCTGGATCTGACGCACCATTATGCCGCATTATGTGCCACGTTTAGAAGCAGTGGGACAGACGGTTAACGAACTATTGACGTGAGGATTGAAATACTTAGGGACGAAGTAATGCCTCAACATGATATCCATCTATTGGCGTTTCGTCAGTGTAAAACATAGACCATTAATATAATGCCCATCTTAGCCCTGATGTCGAGCAGCAAACTAGAGAATGGAAACCCTCGGTATAGTGATATGCAAGGTAAGTAAAAATTTTAATGCCGCATGCCGCATGCCGCATGAAGGATATCGCAAAATGATGTAGTTCTGCTTATGAAAGGCATGGAAGAAGCAAAGACGACTACGAGTACCTAAGGTAGCCTATTGTCATGATGCAATAGTTTCGATATGGTATCTACCTACCTAGGTACCTCAGGCGGGTAATTAGCACCTATTCACCTCGAATGACCTACCCGTTTCCACTCGTACACGTAGTTCTGATCATGTCATTATAGCCTCATATCGCTATAGGAGAGCAGCTAATGCGCATCCCTACGGCACTACGGGCCCTACATGTACGGGAACTTGGCCTTTGCATAATCTTATCAATCTAATCAGATCCGGATCAAACCCTCAAGACGCAAAGAACTCAACACCGCCATACCACTTGAAGTCATCCGGGTTGCCGAGTAGCCACGATGAGTGGAAGTTCAAATCTCGACGTTATGCTTGTAAGTCTGCCTTAGGTACTTAATTTAAATTGCAAAATCTACAAATCCCTTTTTCAAATCCCTTTTCCAAACACTCCGTGTCATAAACCGTCGAAATTCCAAGAATTATTCTAACCATATCGTTTTCCCTAATTTCTAGGCGGGCGGCGGGGCAGCTTTCGTCGTAGATTTGATCATCTACCCGTTAGATACCTTGAAAACCCGCCAGCAAAGTCGAGATTTCGTCAAGACGTTTGCCAACCCGTCTACCAAGACTAAACTACCCTCGCGGCAGCTCTTCAGGGGCTTATATCAGGGGATCGGGATAGTCATAGTCGCCACTTTGCCTGCCGCAGGAACATTCTTTACGACTTACGAGGCGACCAAGTCGTTCATCAGCCGTCACGGGTCCCCCTTAGGTCTCCCGCAACCCTTGGTCCATTCGGGCGCGTCGGCCATAGCGGAGTGTGCGTCGTGCTTGGTTCTTACTCCTTCCGAGGTCATCAAGCAGAATGCCCAGATGTTGCAGCAAAAGTCCGGCAGCTCGCGCAGGTCCGCATCCCTTCAAGCCTTAAAGCAGCTAACCGTCAGCGGCACGGGCGTAGGACGCAAGCTGTTATCGGGATACACGGCCCTGGTGGCCCGAAACCTACCTTTTACAGCTATCCAGTTTCCCATTTTCGAATATCTGCGTGCTCGGATCTGGGGCCACCGATCTCGCGCGGGCCAAGCTAACACGGGGTTCGGTACGGGAGAGAAGCAGACTTTGCTGGAGACTGGCGTTATCACGGGGACAAGTGCCGGGCTGGCGGGCAGCTTAGCTGCTATCGTCACGACTCCTATGGATGTGGTGAAGACGCGGCTGATGCTTGCGGCCGGGGGTAGCCAGGATGTAGATCAGGGTGTTCGTGACCGGACGCGTACGTCGCAGGGCGTAACCAGATACGAGGTACGGGGCGGACTCGCCGTAGCACGCGAAATTGTTTCGGAGGCGGGTATCCCAGGGCTGTTCAGGGGTTCGGCTCTTCGCGCCGTGTGGACTCTTGTCGGTAGCGGGCTTTACTTAGGCACATACGAAGTAGCAAAGGTTTGGCTTTCGAGAGGAAAGGGGCAAAGTAGCGAAGATGATACCTTTATCTAACGAGTACCAACGCGCGTCTCCGGCTGCATTTATAGTCCCTATAATTCCTCGCGGCCAATTCCCAAATCTATCCTGTCCCGCCCTATCCTATTCTAAAATCCTAAAATCCTCAAATCCCCAAGCTGCTAAATTGGTAAGAAAGTGAAATATGACAAAAAAAGAAAAACCTATCTAGAGGACGGACGCCCTATCCATTCGGCAGAGACTAACGCATCTCTCATCCCGAAGTATACACCATCCTAAAAAGCCCAGCCGGATCGCCAGTACTCGCAATTCGAGGCTGGCAGAAACTAATACCCTCAAGTACGACCTCGTTTCCATTGTTGTCGTAGCCGCAGCTGACGTCGCCTTTCCAGCAGTCGTACTGCGGCGTGAAGGCGTAGAATGCTATAGTTCCTACCTCCTGCCTTCCCGCCTCGGACGAAGCCGTGATGTTGGTTTGCGTCAGAGTCGTCCCGGTCTCGTCCATCCAGCCCTGCGCGATGTTGAAACTTATGCCCGCAGATACCTTGGCATCCACGATAAAGTCGACGCCGGTATCTATCTTGACCTGAGGGGAGGGGAAGCCCGCGTTAGCAAAATCGATATCTCCCATCGACGGTTATATGAGCGGGTTGTGAACATACGTCAACTCCTTCCTCCGTGGTCCAGGAATACGACTGGAAATGCGACACGGCCGTGCTGACCATCTTGCTCAGGGTTATGGAGTGCGTGCAAGTCGGCGGGGCCTCGCAGGTCTGCGGCCTGGTAACGGCTATTTGCTGGCCGTCTTCGACGGTAGGTGTGGCGTCGTAAGACTTGACCGTGCAGTTCGGGGCATCACCGCTGACGATATCGACGGGGCTCTGATATTGAACTTCGATCTCCGCGATAGCGCAGTCGTCGCGGCCGCAGCAGAAGCTGGTGATCAAGTCGACGTTTGGCTTTTGTCGTTAGCAATACGTCCCGATAACTAGATTCGGTAATTAGACGGTATAATGTCCCAACTTACGCTCAAAGCCGTATAGTAGCAGCCCTCTTCGGCTACTCTCAACATCTCGTCTCCGGGCATCTGGCTGAGAGATTGCCATCCCCGCGGCGTATCTTTCATCAGTATAAACTGACAAGTCGGGTCTGGCTGCTCCACTTTCCAATATACAAACTGAGTCCCTGCGTCCTGTTCGAAATTGCCGGTTGCCGGCGCGGCTGGGAATGTTATATTGTTGTAGGCGTGGCCACCGTCGAAATCCCCCCTTTCTTTGATAGAATGGTCTATGAAAAGCTCGCTATTTTCGATAAGCATCCCGTCGGTCCAAATCTCAAGAGGCTCGCTGCAGCTCTTTTCTTTGTACGCGACAAAGCTGGGTTGGGCGGACGTAAATGCAGGCAAGAGCAGGAAGAGGGAGAGAAGAGTTGTTGGTGAAGCCATCTTGGGAGTATGCCGAAGAGCGTTCTTTTGTAAACTATGTCTAGGTACCTGTTATATCTCCAAGTTTGAATATTTCTAGATCTGAGTTCGTGAAGATGAAATATCTTCGATAAGTTGGATTGGGATTTCCTTACTCTTATATATTCCTCTCGACGGACGTACGACGCACAGGAACGCCTCGCTCTCGATATACGCATGGGTAATACCGAGACACGCCAGATAACAAAACGTGAAGGACCCTTTCCGTCGATATGTCTCCTGAATAAGCTTTACCGACGAACCCGATACCCATAATTTCCCCTGTGTTATCCTTAAGTGTATCTTCTTCTGACAACCCAAGCTGAAGAATTGGCACACGTGGTTCCTCTTTGCGGTTATGTTATTGGATATTTCCATACTATTCTAGAAGACGACTGGGATGACGACCCAGAAGGCAGGGACTCTTAACTGTGGGTGTATCCATTATGGTCGCCCGTTCGAGTATACTTTAGCTTCTCGTAGTTTGCTACCAGCCTCCGCATACTTGAAACCCGACATACCGCTACCGCTTTCTTATCTCGTTGATATTCACCATGTTCCTATTAGTAACAAATACGTCTCAAAATTACAACCCCTCGCTAGGCTTTGAATCATAGCAAAAGCCGTGCGAAGTGGGCTTACGGGCAATCCGCCCACATCGTAGAAATCTGGGGAAGAACTTCGCAATAGATACAGAATCCACGCGGATCTGGATGACAGAGGTACATAATACGATTATTAGGGTTAGGGCTGCGTTGTCCACCGAACTCCCATCACCTGCTACCTCCTACTACCTTCAAACCGTACTACGGTAGACGGGTTTGACATATTATTCAAAGGCTGCCCCTTAGTTAATTTTCAATTTTCCTATAGAACCGAAATATCATTTGCGTCGTCCATAATCTATTACCTCAAAGGTTACACCCCAGTACGTTATTTGGATAAGAAATTGACATCATAAGATAGTTCATCAAAGTCTAGAGAAGTAACCGTACGACCCATGGTCCCATATATGGGCAAACATGGACGCGGGACATTTCGTGACGACAAGTGGATCTGCGTTTCGCGAGCCTTTGATTTGTGTGATGTGATCTACTGTACGGGGTGCTAAGATACGTATGGGGAGCGTAGGGGATGCTGCGTATTCTAGAAGAATATCTGCGGAGTTGATTTCTATCGACTGTGGTACCCAACGAGATTTCAGAGAATTATGATGACAATATGATAAGGCGTAATACGACGCAAACTATTCGTCTTGGTATAGGGGTTATTTTCGTCCCGACGCAGAGGAATTTCACCGAGCCGTACGGCCTACGTTGTACAGCTTCGACCCAACTCGGTGTAATTTTAAATCGTCGTTGTACTTACGTTAGATTTATCGTTCCCATCTTCGTTTCTATAGGAATCATGTTTGCGCCATTAAACCCTACCTATTTTCTTCAGAGATTCCGTGGGTAAGACGCCGAAACCGCCGTCATCGCTCAGACCAAAGCTCTTGTTTGCTTTGTTACTTCAGAAGTAGCAATATATCAGATCTATCTTATTGCTGACATGACAATTTACCTCACTTTATTCCGTAATCTCTAGATGAGGCACGTCCAAGTATAGACCAGTTGGCCTCGAGGTTCCCCGTGGGGTTAAGATCTTGTGAATACCCACCTTGTTCAATGCATTAGATACGTTCTGATGAGATTCGAGTTTGCCTTTATCTGCCAGCCCGGGATACCAATTTAAGACTTCGAGGCTAGCTCTCATCACACGAGTCCAACTACCACTAGCTATGCTTGATAGACCGCGGCATCTAGAAGGATTCTAGGGAATATCTTCTAGGCATAGTGAGTGGTTTAGATAACTAACCGTGATAGATAAAACCACGTGCCATGACGGTGGAGAGACTTTAGGGTGTCGGGAATTCAACGACGATCCTCTTCACCGAGCCTCTCTCGTGACGATTTTGACAACACAGCTCCCACGCTTCTTTCTAAACCCCACAACTTCAGATAAAGGGACATCGTCGAAATTCACGACCAACCACATTCTAAATAGCATCCGTGCGATTGGTTCGTCCAGTGTAGACTGTGTAGTGTAAGGAAAAGGCTAGAACGTGATATGATGGGCCCATTCCAAGATTGCTGGTTGTTAAACTCGGTACCTGATAGACCTCCGAGGAAGTATGCGGGAAAGCCCAACATCTTCGCCTTAACATCGGTGTACGATACTCGTACTCAAAGGTAAATGTGACAGACTATATGCAGCTATTAATAACCTTCTGCGCATTGAGCTGACCAATACTTACGGGCCATACAGACACGCGGAAATTAAGAGCGGGATTTTGGAACCTAAGAACGTGAAGTGCCTACACCGAGATAGCAGACACTGAAACAAGTTTATAACATGAATTACATAAAATCAGCCTTGGGAGCGGTAAGATACTTTATTGCCAACGTTCTTCGGAGTGCTGGTGACGAAAAAGGAATTAGGTCATAATGTTGGTATTTAAATTGCCTGTTTCAAGACTCTGAGATACTGTGATGGATCTGTCTTTGATTGTTCATTGGGCTTGGGTCCTGGGGATCTGAATAGAATCATTCAACGGCTTTTTAAAATGTCAATGTTCTACAAGTTATTAAAAATGTATCTTTCTAGGTTAATAAGGCATCGATATCCACTATAGATCGATATCGACTATAGGTCTCAGACAAACCCATCCAAAACACAGCAATATTATACAGCAAGGACGAATCGGTAGTCAGAACCAAGAACCCGTCGGCCTTGCGCGCCACGGTGGCCACGTAACTCCCCATCTACCCGGTTCAAGATATCTGGGAGTATTCATGTAATTACCGGCCGTTTATTAAAAGCTAGCTAGTTTAGAAGGTCGGAGCTATTGGCATCATAGTTTCATCAGAACGTACAGGCCCGTTTGATGTCGAGCTCGAGATAGAGTAGGTATCATTAAAATAATTGCGCCTCTGAAGATCGAACTAAAAGGTAAGACGGAAGATACGGTTTGAATATTTCAAGCTTGGATCTACGAGTACGTAATGAGTCGAGGCTGATACTTATGCGGTGAAATGTTCTTTATATTAAATCCGCCGGCCGAGTCGGGCTAGAGTGTAAATATCTTGTCCCTTTGAATAACATCGACTCCAACGACCTGGATCAGCCCCGAAGCGAGTTTCGTATTTCTAATTCGCAAGGGCAATTCAGGCGGATTTACCAAAGTTACATCTGCAAGGGGGGAGGGGGGGGGTTCGAGAATCTAGGACGCTCCGAGACTTGTTACCGGCATCGGCATCGGCGCCGCATTCCCTGCGACGGGGATTCTTGGCATTGGCATTTGGACCCTTTTCAGATTAGGTATCAGACTAGGTATCAGACGCTTCGGGGATAATCAGTCAAGGCTTAGTGTTATTACCATCTACCTACCTAACCTTAGGTATTATCCGCCGTGGCGATCTTTCTTCTTTGGTTGACGCTTCGCATTATCTAGGACCTATCGACTATGTGCGCGACGCTGTAATCCGGCGGAACGGGATGGTAGACGAATTGGTTTGGTTGGATATCGCATACGAGCATGGTAGACGTCGGGGGTGACGGCAGGCAAACTCGCGTTCGAAAGGGATAACATATAACATGTCGAGATTGGAGGGTTGCAAAAATGATAGAAGTCAAGGCTCGCCAACGCACGATTTAGGATTTAGTCATCGTAGTCGTGAAACTTTGCGATGATGGCTGCTTGATATCGTCGTATCGTCCTGCTTTCCTATCTTCACGTAACAGCCGAGAAGCGTAGAGGACGAACCCGATCGGCTCCGATTCGTCAATTCCGTCACGATGATCTAAGCATGGATACCTGGCCTAGGGGCTGTACCTACCTGTACCTGGTATCTATCGACATATCTAGGCCGTGTAGGTAAATAGATTAGGTACATGTACCTAACATACATAAGACAGGCATATCCATATCGCAATGTATGAGCCCTATCAAACACGTTGTCTATCAAGATCGAGGCCGCATTGGTGGGTCGCGCTGCGGTTGCATGCTTGACCTGTTCGATGATACATCAGATTGATTGAGTTGATTAATTGAGTTGATTGATTGATTAGATGCTGGCTCGTGGGAGCTGGTCCCAGAGTCCTAGAGTCCTAGGGTCCCAGGGTCCCAGGGTCCCAGGGTCCGTAGCCTTAGAGTCACATAGTTTTCGTTGTCACCTAGTTTCTACGTCTAGGGGTCAAAAATGGCAACGGAAAGAAGCGAAAAGGGAGTGGGTTATATGTCATCTTTTACCATTAAGTTCGACATTCGCAATCCTGATCCTAGCATAATTTACCACTGGGATTGTCTTACCTGGCTAAATGTTGTGGCAGATGGTATCAATGGTTTGCGGGATGGCGCGATTAGTTCCGCGGTGGAAAATGCCCCAGATTTTTTTTACCAACTCACACAAAGAAGACGTACGCATTATCATGCAGCTGGGTCCGCTCGCCATACCGCTGGTCGATTGTAACTTGGGGAGATCTCTTTGCTCTGCCTTGTCGATGTGACTGTGATACACTCACCCGTCCATTTGAGCCTGATAGTTATGCTTCCTGATAGTCATACTTTCTGACTGCTAACTTTACATCACCTTGAAATCTCGAGCGGCCCCCTAAGATAAAAACCGCCTCGGGCCCTACTTTGCATCCACCACGGCTCTTCGAAATTTTTAAGAAACACCGTACACCGTACCCCTAAATCCGAGTTGCCACCCTCTTAGTAGACCAAACATTTTAGGAACTATTTCGCCAACACCCCTAGCATGGCCGTAGACCAAGTATTACCACACCTCGCGGAGATGCCCTCCAGTATTCCTCGAGGGAAGGAATCGTTGGAGGTTTCGACGCAGGAGATTGCGGCACCTCTGAGCGATAACGCCGACGCACACATACGCGACGGGTACTTCCTGGTTCAGTCGCCATACACCGAGAAGGAGCACTTGCTCGACTTGAGAACTCTCGACGAGGAGAATGCGTTGCTCGCTCGAGCGCTCGTTCGAATGAGGAGCCTGCGGCCAGACTATGCCACCTCGCCCTACGCCGAAACCTTCAACTGGAACGAGATCATCGAGGAATTAACGCGGCTCGTGCGAGAACGCGGCCACAGGTGGAAGGAAACTTCCTTCTTCGTCGTGGCTTTCCGGTCGCAGATTCCGCCGACAACTGTGTACGAGGATCTGGGAGCCTTGGACAAGGTAGCGCACGCGGAGGCGATAGCCAGTGGTGGCTTTCTCAAGTAGGTATCCGTCCCGGCCAGGACCGCGGTCTTTGCGCTAACAAATTTCCAGATATTGGTTCGGACATCCTGATAAGGACGGCAGAAACCTTGCGACATGCGTGTGGAGGTCGCAGGAAGAAGCAGTCAAGGGAGGAGCCGGACGTGGACATCGCAAAGCTGCGGCGGCCACCCGGTCGTTGTACTCGCATTGGAAGATTGACCGGCATAGGCTTATCGTCCGGGATGACGTGAAAAGCTGGGAGATTATTGATTGGGAATGAAGACGTAGGGTTACACTAGACTGCACGGTGATCGGCCGGCATGTTGGTTTTTACGTGCCTGAGGCGACCGTGTTTGGCGAATGGGAGCGGTCCGCGGCCGGCACGCCCTCGACAGCGTTTGCTTTTTGTTTTTGCTTGTGATTTTCCAGCCAGGCTGCCAGGTATCGGTTATCGGCTGTCGTGTAAGACGGCAATAGATAGGTGATAGATGTCCCGGCGTAAGGCGTCTAGATAGGACCAGAAGAAGACGTGCGTTTCCGTACATCGGAAGTCTAGCTTCCCTCTCCTAATCGAGGCTTGACCCACGACGAAAACCAACATTGTTTCTTTTCCGGTGGCGATAAGAGAGCTAGCATAATTTCCCTGCTTGTGTTCTTGTGTTTAGGATTCGGGCGGTGATGGTTAATCCACTTGGGTTATAGGAGTATCTTGACAACCCTCATTGCGTATACTCATCGCATATTCATCGTATACGGATAAAACACCACCGACAGGTGGCAAAAGAGTATAAATCGTGGAAGGAGACGACGTTGCTTTGAGGCTCTTTATATATGTTTTTTTGTGGAATGTCGACATGGAAAATGACAACATGGCGTGGGGGTTCCAGAGTGGGATGCTTGTTACTTCATCATCGATGCCGACGCCAGCGTGTTTCCTTTGAGCAGGGGTAAAGCTTTTAATTGCATATCTCAGTTGATTCCTTACGTTATTTGACTAGTACCTGCCCTATGTGGGTTAATCAAGCTACCGGGAGCTGCGGGGTACCTAGGTATGGATTAGAGATAAAAAAGATAAAAAAGAAAAAGATAAAAAAAAAAGGCTTAATGTTGTGCCGTTTCCTCAGTACAGGTGCCCCTCAGCTGGCAGCACCTCCCCAATTTTTCCCATTTTGTAACCCACAAGAATCGCATCCCACTAAAACCTCAAAATCTTAACCAGATTCGCAACTTCGTCGCCCGCAAAAACCGAATCCGATCCGATTACCTCCCATCCGGCATAAGACGCGAATAATTCTCCGGTCAAGCAGTTCGCGATCATGGCCGACTCTCTAAAGGATACGCCGTTCAAGACGGTTCAGGTCGAGGCTCTGGTTAGTATTTACGGCTTTCACCCATAACTACCTAACCTATTTATCCCCTCCGTTCAACTTTGGATCTGCCTACGACCAAGTCGCTAACCGTCATGTCGTAGGTTGTGATGAAAATAGTTAAGCACTGCTCAAACAGCTTCCCTTCGACCGCCACGGGTTCCATCGTTGGTATGGACAAGGATGGTATCCTCGGAATCACAAACACTTTCCCTTTCCCTACGGTCGACGTAACCAATGTCGAGGGCGGCCACCAAAACGACGCGTCCGCGCTCGCCGCCGCCGCGCCGCGCGCCAAAGCAAACATCATCTACCAGAACGACATGATCCGACATCTCAAAGAGGTCAACGTCGACGCCAACAACGTGGGTTGGTATACGAGTGCTACGATGGGTAACTTCGTCAACTCCAGCTTTATCGAGAACCAATACCATTATCAACGCGAGAACGAACGGACCGTGGCCCTAGTCCACGATGTTAGCCGCAGCTCGCAGGGTGCGCTAAGTCTTCGCGCGTTCAAGCTGACGCAGAACTTCATGACGGCGTTCAAGGAGGGGAAATTCACAACTGAGAGGTCAGATCATGACGGCAGCTAAGTACGGGACTATACGCTGACACGGAACAGTCTACAAAAGTCGAAACTCTCCTTCAAGGATATCCTTGTCGAATTTCCTATCCACGTTCACAACTCGCATCTCTTAACTTCCTACCTCCACCAGCTACCCTCTGCCGCTTTGGAGACGGACGTGACGATGCCGACATCTCTTTCCGACCTACGAGGCGAGCCTATCAAGATGCCGCTTCATCCGTCGGTCGACATTCTCGACCTCTCGATAGATCCTTTCCTCGAGAAGACGTGCGATCTTCTACTCGATAGTATCGAGTCTCACTACACCGAGCTCAACAATCACCAATACTACCAGAGACAGCTCGCCCGCGAGCAAACTAAGATCACGGCGTGGCAGACCAAGCGAAAGGCGGAGAACGCGGGGCGTGTTGCGGCTAAGCAACAGCCTCTTCCGGAAGACGAATGGCAACGAATCTTCAAGCTGCCTCAGGAACCCAGCCGATTGGAAGGCATGCTGAATGCGAAACAAGTGGAGCAGTACAGCAAGCAGATAGACGGGTTCACAGCCAACGTCAGCGCGAAGATGTTCGCCGTCAGGGGCAATCTTCTCCCCGAATAAGGGTTGCAAAGAAGGGGGAAAGGGGTAATTGATATAGATGCATGTGGCCCGGCGTCCGGAGGCGTTTTAGGGTTTCTACTTCGGGCCTGTAGAGCTGAGTCGGTCAAGTCGTTCTGGGTCTCTGTTTGATTGACTTGTTGCGGGGCAGAGCTCATACGTAGCATAGGAATTTAAGCACGTGAAGCTGAAATCAAGGAATGCATAATGTATGCCTGTATAGAGTATCCGTAGGATGCTAGCGTAAGCTTTGATATGCCTTCGCTGAATCAAACAGAACAGCGGCGACCGGGGATTTAGGAGCAATAGTACTTCCGATCTTTTACGGCCGAGGTTTTCACGGCCGACGTTCTACATCGTCACGTACAATCTACACGTATGTATATCTCGTTAGGTAGTACGGTACCGGGTACTTATATTTAAATTCGTACAACACATATATAATTGTATCTTGATTCTCGTTCCGTCAGTTATCAATTGCAATTGCAATTACAATACCTCTAAACCACAATCATCGTAGTTATCTAATAGTCATCTGAAACTGCAGGCAGACAGGCAGGCAGGCAACGCCACCAATCTAATAGGTCTTACTCTGCCAATCCTACGTGGGATCCTGGGATTCTGGGATTCTACCTTGAGGGTCGAATCCGTTGTCAGGAGTTACCTAAGCACTACGAGCAGAAGATGCGGGCATATTAAAAACACATGGACCTATCAGAAGAGAAAAAACGAGGTGATACGTACTGCGCGGAGTTACTAAGATTCCAACAACGCACGCAAAAAGATTTGCCGAGTGGATAGATGAGGCGGGATGAGGGGCATCTTTTCAGGGACCAAATCTTCTAGTCCGAGATTGGTTTAGCGTTAGTGTCAGCAATCAGCACCAACCGCTATCGTCCTGCCGTCTCCCAGTAGACTTTGCAAAGACTTTGGAAAGAGGGGCTGAGGGGTAGTCCCGGAGCTGATAGAGAGAAAAAAAATCCAAAATACTTAACCTAACAGCTTAGCAGCCCGGGCACTTTAGCTTACCTGCCTTAGGTACTTTGCAGTATTTAGGTATTTAGGTATTTGGGTATTTAGGTATTTTAGGGTATCTTTCTCCTCCGTCCATTTCTTTCCCTTCTTCTCCTCATCTTTCCCTTTCCCTTTCCCTCACCATTCCAACCTACCTCACTTCCCCTCGGGCGTCATCTGTAAGTCTTATACCAAAGAGTCTTATACCAAAGAGTCTTATACCAAAGAGTCTTATACCAAAGTCGTAGACGTCTATCTATATACGGTTACCTACGGCTACCTACCTCGAGTTTTACTTGCTAACCGTTGTCTTACGTAGAACATCCGTTCTTTCCGCTTGCTCATCCTCCTTCACCGCCCCTCACACGTATCAGCTATCTCAGTACGTCTTCCTACCTCTAGTAACAATGCCGTAGCAGTGCCGCTAACAACCACGCAGAGATGGCTGCTCCCGCTAGCAAGTTCAAGGTCGCTGACCTCTCTCTTGCCGCCTTTGGCCGCAAAGAGATCGAGCTCGCGGAGAACGAGATGCCCGGTCTGATGGCTATCCGAAAGAAGTATGCCGCCGACCAACCCCTCGCCGGCGCCCGCATTGCCGGCTGCCTACACATGACTATCCAGACCGCCGTCCTGATCGAGACATTAACGTCTCTCGGTGCCGAGGTTACCTGGACCTCTTGCAACATCTTTTCCACCCAGGACCACGCCGCCGCCGCCATCGCTGCTGCCGGTGTCCCCGTCTTCGCCTGGAAGGGCGAGACCGAGGAGGAGTACAACTGGTGCTTAGAACAGCAACTCACAGCTTTCAAGGACGGCAAGAAGCTTAACCTAATCCTGGACGACGGTGGTGACTTGACCCACCTCGTTCACGAAAAGTACCCCGAGATGCTGAAGGACTGCTTCGGTGTTTCTGAGGAGACCACCACCGGTGTCCACCACTTGTACCGAATGCTAAAGAACAACACCCTCCTCGTCCCCGCCATCAACGTCAACGACAGCGTCACCAAGAGCAAGTTTGACAACCTATACGGCTGCCGCGAGTCTCTGATTGACGGTATCAAGCGCGCCACCGACGTCATGATTGCCGGCAAGATTGCCGTCGTTGCTGGCTTCGGTGACGTCGGCAAGGGTTGCGCCATGGCTCTTCAGGGAATGGGTGCCCGCGTCCTCGTTACCGAGGTCGACCCCATCAACGCCCTCCAGGCTGCTATGGCCGGCTTCCAGGTTACCACCATGGAAAAGGCCGCTCCCGTCGGCCAGATCTTCGTCACCACCACCGGCTGCCGAGATATCCTTGTCGGTTCTCACTTCGAGGCCATGCCCAACGACGCAATTGTTTGCAGTACGTATACGCCGCGCTGATAGCTTTAGTGGCGCGATAGCTGACCGTTTTCTAGACATTGGCCACTTCGATATCGAGATCGACGTCGCCTGGTTGAAGACGAACGCGAAGAGCGTTCAGAACATCAAGCCTCAGGTAGATCGTTTCGTCATGGCCAGCGGCCGACACATTATCCTCTTAGCCGAGGGCCGATTGGTCAACCTTGGCTGTGCCACCGGCCACTCGTCCTTCGTCATGTCTTGCTCCTTCAGCAACCAGGTTCTAGCGCAGATCATGCTGTTCAAGGCTCAAGACAAGGCTTTTGGTCAGAAGTACGTCGCTTTCGCCAAGACGGAGAAGCTTCCCGTCGGCGTCTACGTGCTGCCCAAGGTCTTAGACGAGGAGGTCGCCAGGCTGCACCTTAGCCACGTCAACGCCGAGCTCACTACTCTTACCAAGGTTCAAAGCGAATACCTTGGACTGGAGCTTGAGGGTCCTTACAAGAGCGACCTGTACGTTTCCTCTCCTCGTACGCATTTTCTTGCTCGTTTTGCTAATAAGATTTCGCAGCTACCGATACTAATTTCAGCCTTGTACATCAATTACTAACGTGCACGATGGTCAATATTGTGTATCTACAGTCGAGTTCATATATAGCTCGCGTAACCCCCTCGATTAAGTAGGGGTTGGTCTGTGTTTCAACAAGCATGAGTCTACGCATCAACTGGCATTGGGGAAATAGGGCATGAGGAATCAAAAAGGGCCAGGAGTGCCGGCAGGTCATTTTTTTCAACAAAAACGGCGTTGGCATTTTTATCTATAACATGATTCCCCTCATGGCGTTTTGAGATTTCAAGGACCGAGGAACTAGTCGGCCAAGGTTCGTGCAGCTAGAGCAACAGCTGAGCAATATCCGTCAACCGGATCTGGATAGAAAATAGAAGCAGCCACTGCGCATTTTCTGTCTAAACCTCGTCCGCAATTATAGTATTCGTGACTTGTTCGAAGTAGAGGATATAACTCGCTATCGTCTGCTATGTAGAAGCTATTGCTTTTTCTCCCTTTGGCAGACTTTTGTTCGCGTCTCCAGCCTATGAAACGGACTATTCGTTACTCCCTTGTCCCATCAGTCTCCTCACTTTGAGCCTCTCCCTTGCTTTTTATGTCGGCGTATTAATATCTGGATAATACAAACCCCACTTACCAAGTTATCTTGAATGTCAAGGGGGGTTCGCTCTAACTTCGGAGTATATACCTATTAGTTTGTGCGAATTCCGCCCTAACGCCTCAGTCCATATGTATCCAGAAATATGACATACAAGGGCAACGAACTTGGCGGCCTACTTCAAGGTCATTGCGGAGGACTCGGGTATTGCAGACTGGATTAGCGCCAATGTAGATTGTTGTTGTCATGACAATCGGTTTACAGCTCGGGGATTCTCGCTAACGAGACCGATGATTCTTTCTACGCGGAGTCATGAGATTATTCTCTACGTCGTTCAATAGGTAACGAAACTCGCTGCGCTTTGGGATCGTCGTAGATGTCGGCGGGTCTCATGGCGATGCAGCGTTCTAGCACGTAAACATGCTAACCTAAACTTGATAGTTCAAGAGCTTCCTGAAGTAGTTGCAAACTCGAAAGCGATAGAAGGCTAATGCTCGATTTATGACACATGATTTCTAGAACGCCGATGCTTATATATACCGTTGGATTCTTCATAAATGGCCAGATAAATATTGCATCAAAATTCTGAAGGCCTTGATCCCATCTTTGAAACCGGGCTCACGGGTTCTTTATGATGCCTCCGCCGTGTCTTGCCAAACAGCGTTGAACGAAAGCTATAGTATCTAGCCACTTGAGTATCGATTATCCGAATGATATTAACAACTCAGAGCTAGACCTAACCATGTTCGAAATTGGCAATGCTAAAGAACGTGACCTCGACGAGTGGAAATCTTTGTTTGAACAGGCAGACAGGCTGATTCGAGGTTTAAATGTATATACAACAACCCCAGTGGTCTATCCTTACTATTCTCGATAACATGGGATAACATGGGAAGTATAAAGATGGTTTAAACAGGCTAGATATTATGGTTGCCGCCATGTGCAGCAAATATGGTAACATAAGCTACTAAACCACACCGCCACGAAACTGGATATACAGTCTACCACACAACTCGCCTGCTCTCAAGTTACGTAGAGTATTGGTAAACATAACGCTGATCATTGATATCTCAAGTTCCTCTATATCGAGACTCGCACTGCATTTCGTCGGTACATCCGTCGATTCTTATATACTACACGCCGCAACTACTGTATAAAATCCATCTCTTTTTATCTACCGTGTAATTCTATGATGTCGCATTAGTCGAAAGCTCTATAGCTGCCCGTCTGGTCGAGCTTGCTCCGCGGAGGAATGCGAAGCCCAACATACGAAGTCTGTTCCGAATCTCGTACCCAGGAACACTCCATCTGTCGTCCCTACTATCAACAAATATCCGGCCGCGGACATCAAAACTCTGCCTGTCCCGTCTTATCGAAGAGAAACAGAAAACGAAAATGCCCCTTATCCTACCGTCGCTTTTTGTCGCCAACACTTTTCAACACATAATCGTACATCGTACTCGGTGGCTAAATAGACGTAAACGTAGTCTCATTTTCGGGGTGCTTCGTAGAATGCCGCAACGCCGATTAAAACCTCACCCCTTATTTTGTTCTAGTCGCTACAATTCCTCGGCTGGGTCGTTCCGCCGCCGCCCGTATCACATCCCAAAAGTAGTACAGGCGAGGATAAGAAATGGCGGATCATCGAGGAGATCGGACATAGAACGAAGAGGAAACACTATCATCTAAACACTCGGCGCTTTCGAATGCTACATAAAAAAAAAAAATAAAATAAAAAGCTGCTTTAATACATGGTTATAATGGTATGGAGAATCGCGTAGTGTTAGTTATCTCCGCGTGATATTGCTCCCGGGCGCGATAAAAGCCCTAACCGCAAGTTCGGAGAAGCGGCGAACTACGTTGGTGGTGCCCCCCGTGACTTGAGATTCGTCCTGGACGAACTTGCGAGCTACGGCCAGCTTACTCTTGGGATCGGTCTCGTCGAGATGCGGGGGCAGCGTGCTTTCGAAATCCGGGGGAAAGTTTGGCGCGAGCGCCCGGATGACGGCGAGAGAGTAGAGGACGTCGCGGTTTTCACGCCCATCTAGGAGCTCGCGCAGTTGCCCGAGGATATAGTCGCGCTGGCGCGTAGCATCCACGCCCGGCTGATCTCTCACGCGGAGGAATTCGGCGAGGAAATACCAAAACTTAAACTCCCTAACGCGGTGAAGTCGTATATCGGCGTTCGCGGGGGGCGGATGAAGAGGATTCTGGTCGAGGTGATCGCCCGACAGCAGGGCCTCGAAGACTGCCACTCGGTTTCGCGCTTCGGACCCGTCGTCGGGGGGTGGTAGATGTTCCCCGATATTGATCTTGTACTCGGACGTGTATACTAACGTGGTCAGATCCCAGACCACTCGGAATTCGAGGTTCGCCGAATATTGCATCCCGGCGACGTCGTTGGCATCCGTCTTGGCCATGGACTGCAAGAACCCCGCCAGCATCTCGTTGACGGCCGTGCTGGACATCAGCGCGCCGACGCCTTGAGGCTTAGTGTACCATTCCGTCTCGAAAAACTTCTCCAGGCCGGGGGCGTAGACCTGATCGTATAGATCCCTCACGTCGGCCAGTTTGTCGCCGGTGAGGGGCGAGTCGAGGACCGGGGGCACGGTGCCCGTCATGCCCACGAGCTCGTAGACTTTCATCTTCCTTGCTGAAAACCAGAGTAAGCCCAAGTCTGTTGGCGAAAAGGAGAGACGACAGGATGCGAAGCAGAGCGGTAGAAGGGAACAGACGGAGGGCCACGTCTAAGATGGGATATGCCGAACGGACTGTGAGGAGGAATTGGGGTAATGGGTGCGATGGGTGCGATGGCTTGGAAATGAGAAGGCGACGTACTCGTTGTGGACAATACGGTGTCTAAAGTAGGATCGATAGCGGTAGGGTATTCGAGAGCGGGCTCGCCCTTGACCGACGACGCAGCTGTTCCCGCGGCTGTCAGGTTTCCGGTGAATGGTGCGGTAGTAGGAGTGGTATTAGATATTACCGGGGGGAGGGTAGCAGTATAAGAGGTCTGGGTTTGCGCGCCGCCGGACGCGGGCGTGGAAGAGGCGGGAGGTCGACTGGACGGCGGTGCGGAAGAAGACGAGGCCGACGGATTATTGGGAGCGGGTCGAATGTTGGTGTGATGCTGCTGCTGCTGATTCTTAAAGATGGGATCGTAGCCCAGGCATTCGCGTTTGGATTTCTGACAGTTCTTGCAGATGGGATGTTGCTCGTCGCACTGTAGAAACGGATTTGGTATTTAGCAACCGAACTCAGTTGTAACGGCGAATATCGTTTGAACGCGCGAGACAAGAAGTAACGAAAGGGGAGACCAGTTGCGTATGCGATAGAATACGCAGACGAGAAGCAGGCAATTGCGTGCTTAAGGCGCAGGTACCTAACACAAACGGCGTAGAAGGATGTTGTAAGAAAGTACAAGTGGTGATAGACCAAAGGCGGGGAAAATAAAAGCGAGCTACCCTAGAGCTCTTTAGAGTTTTGGGGTTAGGAGATCGACCATCTAAAACTTTAAAGGAGGGGAGGAAGGGGAAGCTCTTGCTTTTTTGGAGTTCCGAAGGTAGCTCCCGGGGGATTGACAGATGTCAAAAAAAAAAAAAATTTTGGACCCCGGGTTTTTTTTTTGTTCGCCTGGAACTGATTGTTTAGGTTGCTCGGTTGTTCGGGGCTGGCGTGATGCTCTGCTTGCTTGCGCTTGCTCTTGCTCGCTTTTGCTTCGCTCGCTTGTCGTAGCTCCTTTTCCTCTTAAGCGAAACCCCGATCCAAAATGTGTGAAAGATGACCCGTTGATAATTGACCAAAAATCCCCAAGCATCTTGAGCTCATCGATTCATCTTTGCCTATTTTCTCATTTCTAATCATATCATTCGTCCACAACCATATGCCTTCTTCTTCTTCGTCCCATAAACTCCCCCCGTGCGCGCTGAAAGAAAGAAAAAGAGAAATAAAAGAAAGCAAACTCGACAACATAGACACATACCTTTATACGTCTTTTCCGGCACGTCAGACAGCCCGTTTTTGTTCGACGTTTTATTTCCTACGATGGCAAACAAACATTACCAGGTCAGTTGCCGATTAAACGAGAACAATCCTAGGGGATAGCACTATTCCAATTACCTTCTTGTGTCGACCGCCTAGCACGCTACCTGGTCCGCTTGGAGGTAGAGCATATTGCGGTCTCAGAGCGTCGGGGGGTAGGGCGTACGGGTTATTCGCAGTCATAGGTCCGGGTTGCTGTGCGAAGTAGGACATGTGCTGCTGAGCCGGCATCGACGGAACCGACGGGACGGGGTTCACAGGCATCGCCATCGCCATGTGCTGCTGCTGCTGAGCTTGCTGCTGAGCCGGGTCGAACGTACGCATGCTTGGCAGCGCCATGGCGTTGCTGGGAACGCCCACGCTCGCGCGGTACGCGTCCGGTCCTTGACCTGCCGGGTTTGCATATCCGTAGTGCGTAGCCGCCATTGCGGACGTCGCATATGCCGTAGGATTCGGGTAGCTGGCGGGCTGTCGAGGTGGCCCATGAGGATGGCGAGGTGGGTTGTTCGACATGACTTCCGGGGACGGCGCAACAGCTTCTCGGCGCTGGCGCTGGCGCTGGTGCTGCTTCTGCTCTTGCTGGTCGGGCAGAGCGCCGTTGGTGGCGACGGTCGCCGAGGATTGAGTAGCCTGGTCGGCAGCGAGCGCAGTCGCGACGGGATCGGCGGCGGGTGAGGCGGTCGCCGGCGTAGATGTCGAGGTTGGAGTCGAGGTTGGCCTGAAGCCGTCGGTGGTAGAGTGGTCCGAAAGAAGCTGGTAACCCTGGTCCCGTTCTTGTTCCTTTTCCCGATCCTTTTCTTGTGCCCACTCCTGCTCCTGCGCGTGGGCGGCGGCTACTGTCGTCGTTGCATTATTTGCGGGATCTAAGTTTGAAGTTGGTGCGCGTGCGCGTGGGTGTGGGTGATCGAAATCGAAATCGTGGGCATCTGGCTCTGGCTCTGTTTGTGCCTGTGCCTCCCGTGCCTGTACCTGCCCCTGCGCCCCTTGGATATTTTCCTGCTCTTGCGTAGCTTGTGATAATGGAGACTTGGCCCGCGATTGATGTGGGAGGGCATGGGCTAGTTCTTCAGCGACGGCAAAGACGGGTTCAGGCTGAGGTTGATGAGCCTGTGGCTGTTCCTGTTGTGCCTCTGCCATTTGATTTGATTTTAATTTGCAATTTTTTATGGGGGCGCGATCTGAGCAGGGGCACGCCGATTCCAAGGTGCTGCCGTAAGGGGGGGGCCAAGTCACGAAACCCGACCTAGGGCTGGCAGGGGACGGGGGTCGTGGTTCGTGGTTCGTGGTTCGTGGACGTATGTAGACGGGGACGGGGACGGGACCTATCTGGTCTGGTTCCAGCGCCTCAAACGGTGGGCGTGGCCCAGCCAGCGAGCTTTAGCTACCTGCTGCGTCCTGTCTCGTCCGTCTGCCAGTATGTGTATGTGTATATCTGTACGTTAGGGTATGTAAGTATATGGTGTGGTAGGGGGGATGTACATACGCTACGCTACGTACGTAGGTATTGTATATTATGTATATATGGGATGTATAGAGGTATGGATGTATGTATGTATGTATGTACAATCCGTACGTGACTATGCGTAGCCGAGACGAGAGGAGCAAGGGGATCAGATCCCAGAGAAGGGGGGGGGAGGGGTGGGGGTTCAGCGTTCAGCACACGAACAGAATATACATACCTAACATAGATGCGTACGGGCGTACGGGCGTACAGGCGTACAGGCGTAAAGGCGTAGATACCTACATACATCAGAGTGTATGTAGAGCTAGTGTAGGAACGGCTGAGTGTTGCGCTGCAAGTGGTGGTGCGATGTTCGAGGTGTTTCGACGCGACCCTGGGCCGAGATTCCAGTTAGCTCGAGTCGTCGGCGCATTTGTTGCGTTTTCTCCGTAAAGAGGCCACTCGTTGCTCCTTTTGTCCTAGTGTCCGGTCCTGCAAAAAGCTTGCCCGGTCTGAAGAAATTCGACAGGTATTACAGGAACAAGGGAAATTGGGAAAAGATTGGAGAAGATGGATCCTGATGGAGCCTTGAGGCTGCTTTGGCGGTCCGCCGTGTAGTGTCGACGAATGTTACGTAGGTACGTACCGAAGAACAGCAGAAGAAAAAAGTAGATGTACAGTTTATTTTATACTGTGTGGAGCAAGACGCAAGGTACCTGATCAAGCTTGGCTTTAGGTACTTACAGAGAGGTACTTCGTACGCGCATTATTCCCGCCGTCTTATCGAGTTAGGTACCTACAGGTAGGCAGCTAAGCCCCCAAGCCCCTAAGCCCCTGATGGCTTTACCTACCTAGTGATGTTCTGCATATGTACCTAATATTTAGCTAGGTCAATCTTTAGCTACCAGGTCAATCAGCTAGCCGCCAGCAAAGCAGCAAAGCAGCAAAGCAGCAAAGCAGCAAAGCAGCAACGCAGCAGAGCATAAGAACAAATACAGTAACAACTTCGTGCGCTATAAACTACAATGCTACCACACGTAGGTACCCGTACACTCGTGTGGTTCGATAATACCTCCGAGCTACCTCACATAAGTATACATTATTTCTACGACTGAAAAGACGAAAAGAACCTCCATTGGACATTGGGCTGTAGTGTTGGCCATGCAGAGCGATAGATCGATCCTTGGAACAGACCCTAATAACCACATGCATGCTTACCAAGTCTGACATGATAGGCACGTACATCTGTGGATATAATTGACGAAGCAGAATAGAAGCAAGACCGATGCCGGTATCAGGAAAAAGCTGGAAAAAGCGAGGTGGAAGATATGCCCCTATAGAGTGGTCAACTTGCTTCTGACTTATTCCGATCGTTGCGTCTTTGATAGGCAGGTATGCCGTAACTATCGCAAGTCGCCTTCAAACAAGGAGGCCCTTTTTCGAGAACTCGACGGCGTCAATAGACCGGAAAGGAAGCTCGGTGAGAGCCAGGGCACCCACTCACACCATCCAATAGCCTAGCTCGACGACGCGTCCGTGCAAAAAGGCGACTGTGACTTTCCAGTTTCTACGCTGTAGTAGCGTGCCTCAGATATTGTAGGTAATACATAAAGCTTTGCCATCTTTGCCATCTTTGCCAACTTTGGCTAAAGCAGTTGATATTAGAAAGCCACGATGTCGATGTCGATTCTCTTTCTTCTGTCTAGTTTCTTCTTCTAAACGACCGGGGTTAAAAGCCAATGCGGGTGTGCATGTACTATGCATATAGGACGAGAAATAGTCAAGAAGGGCCGAGGAGTTCGTGATTGAGATTGAGTGGGAGGGAAGAAATTGTCTGATAAGAGCAGATTAACAGACATCCATCGAGTTATTAGGACCGAAGTAGACATGTATAGGCAATTGGTAAATACCTATTACCTACTATGTACGTAGTTGAGGACCTAACCTAGCTCATAACAAGTAACTCGTATGAGTAAGAGTAAAAATAGCAATAGGGCTCGAGAGGTACTTATTGGTTATTGGTGTAGGGAAAGGGGTCGACAGGTTCACAGCTTAACCCGACTGAAGGATGCGGTCCCAGATGCTACCTACGCAGCCACCAACCACCAACCACCAACAGGCTTGGGTAGCCGTCAATCCTCCTCGATAAATAGAAATTTTTCTACTCACGTCACCAACATATCCCTTCGCAAAGATCCAGGAAGGACTCGAGATGCGTCGGGAGATGTGATACACTAATATGCGTTCCTCGTTACTCGATGGGCTCCGTCTGCTTTAGCCATGCATGTACGTTCATACACCTTACATTTCCGGCATGTACGCGCGCTGTCGTATCCATGCAGTCGATATCAATTGTCCATATATCATCATCATCATCATCATCATACCAGCTGTTCGCCGCGTACAACTACTATGTAAAAAGTAAGGCAAACCGCCACCACCACTATGGCTCTTGTCCAGGCTCGTCTTTTTCAATTTCACTCCCGGATCAACAGGGGATACGCCTATTTGGGGCGCAGCCACGCGTGGGATTCTTCGGCAAATAACCGGATTGTCTTCCCTTCTCACCCTCGCACGAACGGGATGGCCTCAACATCTTTGCTTGGAATCCCAATGTTCAAGTTTACCCGCTGCCGTTCACTGATCGCTGACCGCTGACGACTGAAGATTCGGCATGAGGTCATTCTCCATAATGTATCCTGTTGTGGTGGAGCCCGGCTTCGCGTCTCTTTTCTTTTTTATCTCCTTACTATTGAGGAGACAGCCGCGTCGATCCGTATGATCACCCCCCATGCTCGATCTAACCGGCTGGTTTTCCACTCTCGGGTATCGAGTTCTAAAACTATGCATAGCTTATTCAGACTGCAACGGCAGAACCGTGGATCCTTTCGAGTCCCCACGGTAGCATTAGAAACTTCCTCTTGATGCCCAAGTCCGTCCCTAATAACATTGGCCGCTCGATTGTTTACGAAAAGCAGATGAATTAGTGGGCGTTCGTTAAGAATTGCCCTATCCGCTTTTCTCATCCAACTCCGAGGTTTTACATACATAGGTACCTAGGTAGTCGGGCAGTTTACGTTAGGACCCTTATAATACCGCCCTTATACACCCCAAGGAGAATCCTGCAATTTGTAATTCTAACGCCTGCAGACGACCGTCTCTGAAAAATCTATACCGACGCGAAGCAGGTGCGTGACGCAACTTTCATTATTACCATCGCCTCTTATTCCATGTTTTTGTAGGGTTTCATTCCGAGGCCGAGAGCGGCGTCTCGTCTCTTCTATCCCCTTCAACTCGGCTACCTCACGCCCTTAAGCGAAGCTTAGCGATCCTTTCCGCAATGGAGAGAGGATGCTCAACCACGATGCCAGCCGTCAACAAATCCCCGTCCGTGTGGCAGCACAGGAAATCGGGTCCACTAAGAAGTGCAGCATCTTAACTCGAAGACTTATTGCTGGGATTTGCCATATGTTTACCTGTCCATTAGCCTTTTTGATGTCGTGCGTCACAATGTCCAGGCACGCCCCCCTTAGGGCGCGTAGCGAACACGGCCCAGATCCGGCTCAGATCTTCCAAGGGTTAGGTGATACGCTCGTCCCCTATTCACAAATATTCTCTGTCCGACCCTTTTCATCTCCCCAGAGCTCTAACTAGAGTTCAGCCAAAAGCCTGAAACATTGTACGATAGACCGCAGATGCTTGCCGAGCATTTATGGAAAACCGGCCCGCCGAGCCGCGTCGAAGACAAGCCTTCCATGCTCGGGATCAGGACGGAATTCCCGGTCCTTCGAGCTCGGCTCGACATACGTAACCTAGGTAGATAATTCATATCGACATGTCAAGTTTCCCCATAGTATTGCCGCCATCGACTGCACGTCATCCTGACATAGGCCGGCCAGCTCACTTTAGCCCTTATGCGTAGATATGTTATGGCCGAATCGAATACACCGAGCAGCATGTTAATTATCTCTTGGACATCGATTCGGTCCGTAGACTATTGGGCTGGTTAAATTCCGATTAATACTGGCATAACCTCATAACCTCGCAGCAGATAATTCCGATCTGCAGCGTGTTATCGTGACAATGCCAATACGTCTCGTAGCATCTAGACTGGATATTGCCAACCAGACTTGAGAGGTTAATCTCGAAGACATAAAAATGTAACGAGATTTATTTTGTCTCATTTTGTCTCATTTTGTCTCGTTTTGTCTGTGGACCGAATCTCAATGCTCATTCCAAAACACTTGAACGTTCGCAAACGGCCTATTATCGGCACGGGCGTCACTGCGGTAGCATTCGAATAAATAGAGCATACCGAGAGGGTCCGCAATGCCACTGCTTATGTCAAACTCGGAAACCCAGTAGAAATACTACATAGTCACATGTCGCAGCGCCAACATCATGACAACTAAGGGACGTTGAACAGCGTATAGCCAACAGGCCCGATAACAACGTAGATCATGGCAATGCGATGCCAATATTCCCGAAGCCGGCCTAACGTAAAATATAGGCATTACGGAAGAATATCATAGTTACTGAGTTCCCTGGATTATTAGGTAACCTCCTCGGGGATAGATCACACGGCCTATTGCTCACTGAGATGCGGGTTGGTAGTCAATTGGCCAGCACCAAGAGCATTGTCTCAGTACACTATCTGTCTCACATTTTGCTTCTCATATGCTGGCTGGCACAAATATAAAGTTCTACGGTGACTTATTATCTCATTAGAGTGAGCCTAATATTGTCCCGTCCTAGCTTTTATACGTACACTATATACGGCATCATGAGGAGGAACCAAGCAGCATGGAAATAACTTCGTTGTTCCGCAGGGAATTCTAACCTAACTACGGGAGCCTTGTGGCATACATACTATTAAATATGGGCTTTGTTCTAGATGTCTCATTTAGAATTTTGACATACGGTATTAGATTATTAAGAATGTCGAAAATTAATTATGTAGATTCGTCAGGTACTTGGCCGATCTTGAACAAACCCACAAGGGATACTTGTATTTGGACACGGATGTGTAGTTGCTAAATGAGTTTCGAGAAGTAGTATGACGTTATGTCTAATACTTATCCATAACCTTCCTCGAACCCAGACTATACTACCATCTCGTATAAATATAATATTCTATTTTGCCACGGGAAATAGCTAATTTCACTAATAGGCACACAACGCCTTTCCCTAGCGATAAACATCTAGGTACCCGGGATTTAAACAAATTATATAGCGTCGTTTAAGTCTCCGTTACCCTTCTCATTCCCTCCAGATGATAGCTGGCCTAATTTCTCAAGAGGTATGGCGACAGGCTTGCTGCTAGTCTTTTTGCGCTGGGCGGCTTTTATACAGGCTGAGCAAAACAGGAGGAAATGTATAATTCTACGTACAAACTTAGCATTGTAACCAATTGTGAACGGGCAGGAGAAATCGAAAGTTGAACTCACATCAAAAGAGCTAGAAATGCTACGAGGGCCTCCATTGACCGGATGTAGGATTTGCTATAATACTCATAATAGTCGTTACTATCACCATGATAATATTCGTAGTATTCAGGATAAGCATCGCGATCGTCCGAACTGGCGGAGGCGAGCGCCCACGACAAGACGTACGCCGTCAGACCAATCCCAACGCAGAAGCCCATCCATAGCAACAGATGTACTGCTGCTTGAGCGCCCGGGTGGATTAGCCGGTGATTTGTTCTTCCCGCGTATGTGGCAGCGAGGTCGATACCGAACCAGAGCAGAGCCGAGCCGGCCTGCGGGGCCGTCCAGATAACAATGTAACTTTGGATATCGGGATCGACGGCGAGCGCAATCGAGACGCCCAGCACGATGGCGCAGGATGTTATAGATAAAGCGACTAGGACAGTCTTATTCGCTGGCCATTCCCGGCCGATAAACCCAACTGAAGAGCATTGCTGAGGCTGATATAGTCTAAGATCTGGCTGGTATTGAGATTGAAGCTGATCTGAGGTTGTTTTTCCCATCGTGATATTAGTAGGTAGTTTTAAACCCAAAGTCCTCCTAAACTATATGACAAGCTATTCGTTTCGCTACATGGCCAATCGAGGCAACGATGTAAAACGACCAAATGAGAAAATAGTGTTAAGGTATGAATGTTGCTAAGACCTCATTACCATCGCAATATGCTTTCAGCCCCCATCCTTTGTACTATGTACGTACATATAACGTACATGCAACATCTGGGTAGATGCTTAACTAATGTATGCTTAACTTATATTTACGCTAGCTCAAGATTACGCAATAGATGTCCTGTTTCTTAATGTTTGAATGGCTACATAATACGATGCCAAGAATAAGAAGGCCGCGCTAGTTAAAGACCTTTTTACCTTTAGCTAATGTTCCCCAGGTCTTTAAAGATTGGAGCTTGGAGCTTAGAGCTTAGAGCTTACATAGATACCTTCCTGTTAGAATTCAGCTATCAGCTAGCCCGTGTGATTCTGACATTATACTCAACGAAATTATATCTCAAAACTTGCTATTCCAACTCCCGAAAATCATATCCTATGTCGTACAAACCGCCATAGCTCAACTCCCCCGTCGCGGACGACAGACACCGACCGGTCTTCGCGCGTTCAAAGGCCCGAAACAGGAAGTCCATTCAAGAACTGTGGCGTGTGGGGGTTAGCAAATCATCAGACTTTGTCGCTTGATATACGTATCGCCGAAGGAGTAGATGTCGCTTTAAGAGGGTAAATTTCCCGAAGGATGGTACCAAAGTAACAACAAATTGATATCGTTCTTAAATCGAATATCTTCGAGCGAGTTTGGCCATCATCTTGACGCCGTCGGTCTTAACGAACTAGACGTCCACGCGGCCAGACTGCCAGGCGGGAGACTTGATTACGCGTTATTGATCTTGGACGTTTTTACCATTACAAATATCGTCCGGGCCATGTAGCCGCGGCTACGAATACTCGGCTCAACCGTATCCCGATGAAGGTTAACGTATAATACTCCGCCTTCTCCTCGCGCTCGAATTCTACAAACCCAGCCCGTTAACCAATCGTTTGTTCATATTCACGGTATAGTCTTATTTAAATTCTAGACGAGAGCTGTGATTTTATACTTTATCTAGTATACAGCATACATAGAATATTTATATATCATATCATCATGGATTTCAGTCAGTGGGGTAATCCCAGCAAAGAATGGCTCGCCTTCGCAGCGGCAAACCCGGCGCTTCTGGCACGGAGCGACGACCATCTGCCGCCGTTGGTTTTGCAGCAGAAGACGAATCATGCGCGTACCACAATCGCCAAGACCCTCGTCGCTACCACAGGTCTCGGTAATCTTGTGACCACAGAGGATTACGTCGTATCGACTCGGGATGGAAAATCTATCACCGTGCGGAGTTATCGGCCAATCTTGTTAGGATCAAAGCCGCTTCCCGGCTATGTGTTTTTCCACGGCGGCGGTTACTTCTTCGGCGCGTTGGACACGGAGCTCTTCAACTGCTCATGGCTGGCGCACGCATTGTCCATGACCGTCGTCCATGTCTGCTATCGTCACACGCCGCATGTGAGCGGGTTGACACCGTGGCACGACGCCCTCGACGGCTTTGAGTGGGTGGCTACGCATACGGAGAAGCTCGGCGTCGACCCGTCCCGTATCGTCGTAGGCGGCATCTCCGCAGGCGGATCGCTCACGGCGTGCGTAGTGCAGAACGAGGTGCGGCGGGCACGCGAAACCGGCGCGCCTTGCCGTGTCCACGGCCAGGTCTTAGGCATTCCAAACTTGGTCAACATCAACGCGTTTCCTTACCACCTCTTCGCTGACAAGGAGAAGACATCTCCTGAGCAGTGCGCGGATGCTGCCGTCATCCCGAGGCAGCGTATGAAATTATTCATGGATATGCTGGGCAGCGAGGTCGATCCATCTGACCCGACCTGGAGTCCGGCGCTGATCGACGAAGAGGACTTGCGAGGCACGCCGCACACGGCTGTTTTAGTTGCCGGCTGGGACCCAATCCGAGACGAAGGGTTGTGGTACGCGCAAAAGTTGAAGAATGCCGGGTAAGAAACGTTCCTATCTCCTTACGAACGGCAATTTTTCGTTTTCCTCCATGTTGACCCTCAACCTCTCTTAGTGTCCGGACAAAAGTCCATATCTTCCCGGGTCTCCCTCACGCTTTCTACGCCTTTGTGGGGTTGCCCTCGCACAAGCACTGGAACGAAATCATGCTCGATTCCTTGCGCTGGGCGGCGGCTGAGGAAGACGGATGGATCGTCGAGGAGCCTCCTGTGATGTCGCCGCTCATGGAAAAGGCCTTGTCGATCGGGGCCCCGGTAGACCCGACAACTCCCGGTGCTACTCCTGCAGATATGGCAAAGTCGGGAAACCTTCTTCGAGGAGAATAATCGAGGAGAATAATGTTTCCTCGAGGAAAATGATACTTCCTCGAGGTTCCTCGGGGATGATACGTACCTAATTAGTAGGCTAGGTGGATATAAATGCGGTGCTTCTATTAATCGGCCAATGCCATTATAAAGGATATAGTATCAGAATCCAAATCTAAAGAAACTTTGAACTAAGAGTACTCTGGTCGTGAATTATCTCGTACAACGTAAACAGGGTATCTCGAATCGAAACATAGGGGGATGATAAATTTCACATTGTCGTTCATATTATAGTATGTCGATCCCAATGCATCCAACACAAATAATAATATGTTCATGCTGAGGTTCCGTCTCACGAGGTATAGTTGGCCTCGTAATATCTTTAAGCAACAGCCCAGTTCCTTAGAGTTATTATAAGACCTAGAAAATAAAATACGGCAGTGCGGTATCACCGAGCTCAGGCTTATTGACAAACGGCCAGACTGATTCTCATGTAGATACAGACAACCTCGGAACTAAGGCTAACAAAACTTCCCTAAAGCTCAGTGGTACGAAGACGGCCCAGTTAGAGTCATATTTTGCCTTCTTCTAGTGGGATATGTTGGTTTTGCCCCGTCGTAAAGTGTTGTACGAACGATATCTAGTAGTTACTAGGCCTCCATCTCCACGATCTCCACGCACTCAGCCCAACAACCTTCTAGATACTTGCCCAATTCTTTTAATTATCGTGTACTAGGTATATACCTTTTACTCGCGTATAAGTATGTACCTAATGTATATGATAAATACTTAGGCTGGGTACCTAAGTATATCAGAGTACTTTCCTCTCCATGCACACCTTCCAAGCTTCCTTTCCTTTCCTTGCAATACCACAACACTTTGGTAAACTGCAAACATACCAAAACCAGTTGCAGATCAAACTCGGCTACCACAGCAAAATGACAAGTTTTGTTGTGTTCTGAGTAGGTCTTGACATCATGGCGGCTCTCTCGCGAGCGACCTCCCTCCTCGTCAACAAGTCATTTCATGGGCGACACCCTCAGAGGCTATGTCGCGTCGAATCATGGTAGGTATCTTTTGCTAAGCCTATAATGGCCTTATATGAACTAATGATAACATTTAGTGTTCTCGCCTTGTTGGGATTTGATGGAGGTCATCCGTATGGTCAGGCCATCTACCAAGACGTGTCCATTCGAAGCCATCCGGCGTTGACGGGCACCAAACCTCCCCAGCAGATGCAATCGCGTAAGTTGGCAGCTTCTCATATTGATATCTAACGATTTACCTTATTAATGGAATATGTTCTCCAGCAATTGTTACATCTTTGGCAAGCATATCGATGACAAGCCCGCGCCTCACCGTTCCCGCCGCGTACGACACGATCTCGTTACGACTAGGCAACACCAGCACACCCCGTGGTTTCTTGGTCCTTAAGGCAAAAGCTTCTCCTCTTGCCTCATCCTCATATTCAGATGCTTCAGACGTCGACAGCACGTCACAAACCCCGATAATCAAACACAAAAAGACATTCGCAGGCAGCCGCTACAAGACGCACCCCGATATCGTGTATGGCCATAAATGCCTGCGTAGCAGCATAGACGACTTCTTCGTCTACGTGCTCAACGTTCTTACGTGCGGCTTCCAGCCTGCATTGACATATCTCGGCGGCGTTCTCCTGACAATCAGCTTGAGCACGATACTTTTCGTGTTATGGATAATGTTCTTTCCTTAGGTTTATAGCTTCTGCCAATAAAAGCACTGCCTACCTCTATGGATGGTCTTATTCCGACTCGGATAGTCCTTTTTATCAGTCTTCGTATCTGAACAAAGGCAAGTAGTGATATACTTGCGGAATGCAATAAAGTAGTCTACTGTAACTAGACGATCAAGACGAAACCTTCCGTAGAATGCTCATGTTTACCACGTTGATCCTGTAATGAATTCGCCGATCAATGCTGCCCAAGTACTGGCCTAAACCACCAGTCCATCTAGCAATTCTACGGTGAAGATTCACTCGTCAAACTTTGAAGCAGAGGATTATGATAATTGTCAAGTTCAAGGGCATAAAAAGATGATTCGTCTTGACTGGGAAATACTGGGAACGGCCTTGTTCCAACTAACACGGACCTTGGGTCGACCCGTTCTTAGACTCGGTATCATATTAATGACTGCTAGAATTTCTAATATTCCCAATATGAAATCAGCCGATTAAACCTATGGGACGACCAAGTAGCCTCCAAAGCTCTAGAGTACGTATTTGACATAGGATCATCTTAGGTGCTATAAGCATCGTGTCAAGGTCAAGTCAAGCAGATGATATTAGTTGGTATTAAAACAAAGGCCAGCTCCGGGCACTTGGGGTATATACATCATGCGCAATAGTAATCGATATTATACAGCAAAACAAAGCCTTCTCCCGACTTTATATCAGTCCCGGAAATCCGATCCAATCATAGGTGAATTAACACGGGCGGTTTACTCGTCGTCGAGTATTCGACTCGCTATTTGGCCGAAAATAGGAACTTCGAATCTGTTAAACATCAGTATACGTCCCGACTGGAAAACATCGAGAGGGCTAAGTTCCTACCGATCTAACGTGTCCGCATCCCGATATGCGCGCAGGGCTAGCCACCCCATCAGGCCCAGATCCGCAAGGAATATGACCCAGCTTAGGAATTTCGACCACGAGAAGATTAGATGCACGATGAAAATGACGGTGAATAGCAGACTAGACTGCCACGCGTGGAACCTAGGAAATATATTAGCACGCAAAGTAACTAAAGGTCCGCACGGAATTTAGTCGATCCTGCTAGACAGCCTCGAACCATGTCGTCCTCTTAGCAAATCTACTTTGCTAGACACAACTAAGCTAATGAATAAACTCACCTAACAAAGTCGCTCTTCCGCTCCACTATCAGCAATATTATTGCGCCTAGAGGCGGCAGCGCAAGATACGCTAGGCAAGCCTCATAATCCAACCGTATGCCGAGGCTAGTGTCGAACTCGCTCACGTACGCCCCGGTCTCAGGCGCGTACCCGCTACCGACGCCAGCTCCGGGAAGAGAGGACTGCCACGAACGTTGAGGTTGCGGATGTTGCAAAGGCGGCGGGGACGAAAAGCCGCGCTGCTGCTGCTGCTGCTGCTGCTGCGAAGGGGAGAAAGGCCGACGTTTATCAAAGGAGGCGCGCGGCGACGCGGCGTTGGACCGAGGAGGGGAGAAGGGTCGGCTGTTTTCGGGGGGAGAGGATTGGTAGGGAGCGAAATCCATCGCGGTAGGTTTTGTCGGGGGTGTTTCGATATATAAGAAGAATTGTAGTGGGGAGTAGTAGTAGACGGAATGGCTGGCTTTTGAATATCTAGGTAAGTGGAATACTTGAATGTTGAAATGACGTTGGGTGGGTTATATTTAGATGTATAATATTGGATGTACATACCTAATGGAATGTTGATCGAGGTCACCCAAGATTCCAAGACGCCGGAACGCAATACGCAATGCGACTTGCAGCAGATCTTATTAAGTTTAGGCCCTGGCCAAACGTGTAACAGGGGCACAGGTACCTGCCTAAGGAGATAGAACACCGAAGGATAGGATGCGATATGCATTTATGCGGGATATATGCAATTAATTCTGATATTCACATTTCTAAAAGTACTGGGACGACTACCTAGGCATAATATAATGGACAAACCGTATAAGGTATTTTACTGAGTTAATACAGAGTGGAATCCCCTTTTAATATACGTAAATCCTCATTTTGACAACTAACCTATTCATGGCATGTAGTCTAAGGACGTATACAACTAAATAGAGAACATCGTCATCTTGAAGCGATAGGATACTTTATAAATACCTAGACACCGAAAGCCAGCATACGATAAATATACAGTAGCGCAATACCACATGCCCGATTGATACTCTATTCGGTCGCCTCTTCCTTCTTAGTACCCCCATTGGCCTCCTCTTCAAGCTGCGTCCTTCTGCCCTCCAGCGCAAGCCACAATCCCTTACCATGCCCTTCCAACGCCGTCGTAAGACCCAGCCCGGCGCTATGGAGCATGGCGACAAGCTGCGCCCTCAGAGAATCGACGCCGCCCTCGATGCCGCCGACCCATCTGACACCCTCGTGATCGAATACCCGATCCTCTATACGGCCGCCCACCAACAGTAACTTCTGCAGCCCGCTCTGCGCCGTAGCATCGTAGTATCCCGGGTTCTTCTTTCGCGAGGGCGCGGGGAACGCCGGAGGTGAAGGTGCTAATACTGATAGCACGGCCGCGAGGTGAGCCGGAGACACAGCCGGGAAGATGATGGCGGCGACGGGTCCGACAAGCAGCGGGGCAACCTGAGCATATACCGAAGACTCGTCGACGGCGGCGGCGGCCTGGTTGATGGCCTCGTACGCCGTGGAGGACAGGTCGTGCGTGTAGGCATTCGGCTTGGACTTCTGCGCGTCGGCGTCGAAGAACTCGACTACTTTAAAAGCGATGTTAAAGATACGCGTGCGAAGGACCTGCAGCTCGATGCTCGATGAGATATCCACAGGTGGTGTACTGCTGCTATCGCCGGGCTCGGCGGCGGGTGTTGGAACCTTAGCAAGGGCCGCGCGCAGCTCTCGCCGGATAGCAGCCCATTCTACCCCGGTGAGGTTGCTATGTTGGAAGAATAGGATTAGGGGTGCCGAACGGAGTAGAGCCGTGTAAGATCTGAGCAGTTGTGATTTCCGCTGGTCGGGTCGTCGTGCGCTCGGAGGCTGCGTGGGCGGGATATAATTATCGGGAAGTCTTAAGGCCCCGACGGGCATAGGAGAAGCGGAGGCGCTCGCGTAGCATCTAGATGTGCCCCTCGATTTTTGTAGTAAGATAACCGTAGGCTTTTGACAAGTTGTCGTCCTTTGAATCGCTCGACTGACACTGCTCCGCGCCGAGCAATTGATTCGTGGCGGCATCTCTTATGACGGCTTAGAGGGTTCTCGTACGTGTTAACAGTTTTAACAGCCGCGATGACGTTGCCGTATCGTCGGGTGCGGTGCCGCCTTTTTTGTATGATTTTGCCCCGAATTGAAGATTGGCGAGAGCTTCAAAAATTGGTCCAATTGAATTCAAAAGGCGTTAGCGGCCTATAGTTGCACTAAAAAACTAAGATAGGTACCTACCTAGGTACCTAGCACTATGAGGTGTATTACCTAAGCGGTAGATCGCCGCCAAGGGTCCCGCCGGAAGAGTCCCGCTATGGCGCATACTGTATAAATAGAACGGCTCAATAGGTATTGTACATATTTCGCGGGGTAGGTACAATACTATTCCGTGTTAAACTTATCAAAACTTATCAACTCGCAAACAACTTTGAGTCACAAGCAAAGGAACTTTGGTTCTGCAACTCAATTCGGCCTCTAACTCTTTTCTGTGTTCTCTGTGTTTCTATACGTAGGTACGTACATAATCCTTAGAGTTACAGGTCGTTATTTCAATTGAGAGGTAATAATTAGTCCATCTTATAACAAACGTACCCCTCCAAGCATAAGAGAGTCCAAGCTTAGACAAGGATCACCGAATAGCTTCAAGATCGATAACGCTATGGCTGAGCAAGATCAAACTTTCGTGGATATCCGACCGCTGCTTCAGCGCCTATGGCCCGATCCAGCTAAAGAGAATGTGACTGCTAAAGAAATTGCCGATGCCCTCGCTCTCATCTTCACCAACCAGCTTAGTCCCGTCCAGACCGGCTCGCTGCTGACGGCCCTGCACTTCACCGGCTGGGACCGCCGTGCCGATGTCCTCGCCGAGGCCTCCGCAGCCATGCGCCGCCACGCTGCCAAGATCGATTCTGATGCTCTTTACAAAGTTATTGACAAACGGCGGCGACCTGAGGGCAAGTATAATGGCGGACTGGTAAGTCTTTTTCTGTTTCCGAACGACTGCGACTGTTATAGCAAATATTAGTTGAGCCGCCAAAATCTAATGAACAGATATAGTGTGACATAGTTGGCACGGGCGGTGACTCTCACAATACCTTCAACATATCAACCACATCTTCTATCCTCGCCTCCTCTCTCCTTCTATTAGCCAAACACGGAAACCGTGCTTCGACGTCTAAATCCGGATCTGCCGACTTACTTATGAATATGCAACCATTGCCCGCGCAGCTAAGCCGCATAACCCCTTCTACCATTACCGACGTATACGCGCGCACCAACTATGCTTTCCTGTTCGCTCCTGTTTTCCACCCGGGCATGAAGCACGTCGCGTCCGTACGCAAAGAACTCGGCTGGCGTACCATTTTTAATCTCCTCGGGCCCTTAAGCAATCCCTTTGGCGACGCTATCGAAGCCCGTATGTTGGGTGTTGCCCGCGATGACTTGGGCCCCGTGTTTGCAGAGGCTCTACGTATTTCCGGTGCCAAGAAGGGCCTCGTCGTATGCGGCAAAGAGCAGCTGGACGAGGTGTCGTGCGCAGGGCCCACGCTATGCTGGCAGTTGATAGAACATGCCAGCGGGACCATAGATATTGAACACTTTACATTAGAGCCGGCCGATTTTGGGCTAAGCACGCACCCGCTGAGTACCGTGTCTCCCGGTCGCGAGCCGCACGAGAATGCCGAAATCCTGCGGCGCCTGTTAAACAACGAACTGCCACCTAACGACCCGATCCTCGAGTTTGTGTTAATCAACACAGCTGCGTTCCTGGTCGCTGCAGGGATCTGCGAGGCGGACGAAAGCGCTATGGGATCGGGTGACGACGGGAAGGTTATTAGAGAACGCGGGCCGGGAGGCGGTCGTTGGAAGGAGGGTGTACGCCGCGCACGATGGACTATAGAGAGTGGCGAGGCGTGGAAGCAGTGGTCTGCTTTTGCTGAGGTTACGAACAGTCTACCCGCTTAAGATTCGTGCTGTTTCTTATTAGAGACGCTGGTTTTTATTTCTTTTCTCTATTTTAAGTTGCGATACTAGAGAAACAACGGGGGAATCATAGGTATATGCTAGCTGTAAGCTGTAATTAATGTCTACGACGGGACGGGTGTGAAATCGGGAAAGGATAGAAAAGGTCATCACATTAGCTTGGCACGGGAAAAGGTATAGATGAGGGGAATTTAATTCAAGAAGGATAGGTACCTATCACCAATATAAGTTCCTTTGAATGCCAGTGGCATTTACTGATAAGAGACAGAAGTACATCATTGACGACGGCTGTTCTATAAGGGGTGAGATCGGTCATATATCAGTATGCATAAACCCGTCTATCACATCAAGTAAACCAGACTAAAGACACGGCAAGGTAATAAATACCTGGGTATGAGAAGGGGATTCTGCCAATTGATAGAGGCTACTTGTTGAGCAGATGGCGGCCCTAATACATACAAAACCGCCGTCAACATATCTAGGGTCAGATCTTGCGATCCTGAGACGCAATAAAACCATGCGAATAATTACTCTTTTCTCAACTCCGGAACAATGCTTTTTGCGATATTATCGCTTTTAGGCACCCCTACCTCGCCCTCGCCCTCGCCCTCGCCCTCGACCTCGACCCCTGCCGCCGCCGCCTCCTCTTTTGCTGCCTCTACCCCGATTTACCTGAGCATCTCGTAGCTCAGATAATGGCTGCTCTCTAGTTTCCTACCTCGACAGCACGCCGCGGACGCTTCCCTTGACCGTGGTATTACCCTCGATAATCCTCTCGCCGATGCCCGTGTCGGCTCCGCTGCCAACCTCGAGCCACCGTTTGAGTAGGTCGTTGCTCTCCTTGGGTTTGACGCTATCGTCGCGTGTGCCGATCGTTATGTGCGGTATCTTATTGACGCAAGTCCACTTCTCCTCTTCGTCGATAATGCGCACAACTATAGCCATGATACGGTCGTCGTATACGACGCGCTCCAGCTGGATATTGCACTCCCCTAGTTTCCCGTCCTGGCTCTGGCTTCTCGCATGCAGCGTTGTATACCTCTTCCATAATTCTGGGTGCTCCTTAGCTGCTACGCGGTGCATCAGCGTTACGTGGAAGAGCGCCTGGACGCGGCGGGTCTGCTGTAATTGTCTGTAGAATCGTTGCGTCTGCGCATCTGCGCCCTTAAAGGCAGACTCGAGAGCCACATTGATATCTCGAGCGGGCACAGAGATAGACATATACTCTAGCGGTTTCTCCTTCCGAGGTTGCGGCTGCTGAAGCTGCTTCTTATCTTGCTTTTTACTTCGGTCCGGGATGACATGCCTCAGATCGGGCTTATAGTTCTCGATAGCAGCCTTGACGGCTTCGTCTATTTCTTCGTCGGTGGGCACTTTAGTAACCAACGACGGAAATTTCCGATGAAGCTCCCTGACGACCGTCTCTACGTTAGCACGGCTGTCCTGGGTAGGGTCTAGATCGATGATGAAATCGAATCCGTCGTCGGGACTACGATCGGGATCGCAAGGCTGAAATCTTTGTATAAAATTATCCATGATCCCGATAACCTTAGCTTCGTCCGAAGCGGCCCGGATGGTCTGGTGGTTGTCTCCTCGCTTCAGCACTCGCTCCCTGGTTACTCTTCGGGTCTCGTCGATGTCTCCGTGGGTAAAATTCAGAGCAACGAGCCTCGCTTCTCTGTGTTGCAGTTTGATGTCCTTGATAATCTGTTCTCGCTCCCGGCGTTCCGAGTTGTTCCGATCTGCCACGACGACGGGGTGCTGGGTGAGAAGCGACAAGACGGATTTTACCATCTGTACAGGTCTCTGCTTGCCTTGTATGTTGTCGTTTTGTATGATACCCCAGCCAAACAGGTGCGTTAGGGCAATACCAACAGTAGTCTTGCCGCAGCCGATAGTGGCGATGGGGACTAGGACGACATCGCGGGAGACGGATCCCGACTCGTCGTTTCCGAATTCGTTTTCGATATTAGCAGCTTCCGAGCCCTTCATATGCTTGTACGCCAAGAAATCGTCGCGAAGGGCAATGATCCCGTGGTTCTGATTGTAGGCCTTGGCCAGCTTAGGGTCCGAAGCAAGTCTCTTGCGCGCGTATAAGAGGTATTCTTCGGTAATCTTGACGTGCTTCTTGAACTTCGGAGGCTTGCCGGCGATTAGGGCCTTTGTGCATTCTCGCCACTGCCTGTATAACAGATATGGCTCCTCAAACTTGTATTTGAAAAACCAGTCCGAGTATGGAACCTCGTCGGGCTTGGGGGACATTTTGCAACGAATGACAAACCCCTCGACGTCCCGGCCTTCATGCGCTCCCGACTTGGCAACTCCTTCTAAAAATGATTTGACAGAGTTGACATCGTCGAAAGTCTCGAGGCTAACTTTGCGAAATCCCCATTCGTCGGCGAACTGCTGGACTAGAGCGCCAGAATATGTCGCGAAGTCGGGAACATTGACGTTGATTCCGTGAAGGTAGAGGCCGGCCTTTTCGGGGCCGTAGGCGAGAATGTGCTCTTCAAACTCGTCGTCGCAAAGCTCAGCCACGGCGGTCACGTTTCTTCGCCTCAGTTCTTGGGCGAATTCTTCTCTAGTCTTGCCGATGGTGGCGAGCTGCTTGTCCACCCATCGCTCTCCAGCGCTGGAATGGCTTACTTCGACGTCGCTGCGATCCCCGGTAGAATGTTTGCTGCAGATCAGAAGGGTCCCGTCTTCGAGACCGCTGATGAAAATAATGCAGCCGTTTTCCTTTAGGGTTAACTCGTATGGGCCTTGGGTTTTCGTTAGGATATTTTCCCACTTCGTTTCCCAGACCTCGCCGACGTTGAAGAACTTGTCATAACCTCTGACTGCAATCTCATAATCTCCTCGGCGGTTCTTCGTTGTGAAGAGACCCCTGGCATAAGTAGGCAGATTTCGTTTCTTGTAGTCCCAGTCGTGCATGCGCCAAGAGTCGACGGTGATGCCATCACGAGAACCCTTAACTTCGTACGTAGTCTTTTTTGCCTTGATACCAGCATTGGTCTTGTTGCTTAGACCGCGAATTAGAGTTGATACCTCCTGGGGATTTTGGTCACGATATGGTACTTTGGGGGTCTCCATGGTTGTTGATTGGGTTGATTGGGTTGACTGCTGATGAGTGGTAGATGATGATTCCAGTTTGGGTATTCCGCTAAAACGAGCCGTGCGCCCAACAAGAGCAAAGGTTGGTTGTACCCTATGAAACTCTGGACGTAGAGTAAATCGTGGTAGCGACTTTGTAGAAGTACAGATAAGTCGAGATATGTTGCGATGGCGTCTCATTGGCCAGCAAGCCCAAATAATGGGCTGAGAAAATCTCTATAAAGGGTGTATTAGGTGCCTAACCTAGACGTTATATAAGAAACTAAAGGAGAACTGCTTGGTTGCCGGCCTGAGTCAAAGATGCCGATACTTTTAGAAACACCGCCTCTTTACCAGATGCGCCTTTGCTATATTTAAACTTTGCGTTTAGACTTATACGCACAGATGCAACGGCCTGCCTATCTTTACCAACTTGGAAACTTTAGGTAACAATGGCATAACAGGTATCTTTGGCCGCTGAGCCATTACCTAGGAGATCAGCGATGTAAATCAATAAATCAACATTGACTGACACTGTAAGGAAGGCGGTCAATGCGTATAAAACTATTTTACACGGATGGCGGGGTTATTAGCGAGGGGCTGAGGGGTTCGGATTTTATTTTGCCAATACATATGCGTCATACCGATCCTTAGGTACCTAACTTATGTAACCCACTCTAATCCCGATTTTTCATACGGCCTATTAGAGTCATTACCTATAGCAAACTAGGACTTCTGATTTTTTTCTTTTTACCCAGTACCAAACAACTCCCGAGTATCTAACCTGGTCGCCATGTCTGCCAATCCGTTCCTCTTAGCTGCCGACAACAGCCCAGCTCTACTACCTCTCCTTCGAGAGAACCCTAATCTAGCTTCCGAACAGGATGCTCACGGCTACTCCCTGATTCACGCGGCGGCAAGTTATAATCACCTCGACCTCCTTCGTTCTCTAGTTCGCGAGTTTAACGTTGATGTCAACTTGCGCGACGACGACGAGGAGACGGCTCTCTTCGTGGTAGAAACTGTCGAAGCTGCTCGCGTTCTAGTTGAGGAGCTGGGGGCTGATATTACGATCAAAAGCTCTGAAGGATATACGGCTTTCCAGAAAACGGTTGAAGAGGGTGATTTCCCAGAGGTTGCCGAGTACCTAAAAACCAAAGAAGAGGCCAGCCACACGCAAGCTCTGTCGAACGGGACCAATGGGGACATAACCGCCGCGCCGCCTATACCAGAGGGCCTCAGCATATCCGTTAGCACAATTACACCTGCGGAGGAGGCCGAACTGGAAGTTGATCCTGAGTTTCGAAGAAGGATAGAACAGTTGGCCGAACGGGACGACTTCCACTCCGACGCTGGCCAAGCTGAGCTCAGGCAACTAATCCAAGATGCCATAACGGAACGTAATCCCGCGGATCGCAACGTTCGCCCAAGACAAGACTAATTGTTCCTCGGCTAGAAATACGATGTATCTCAATTCTGTTTCCTGATATCCCAGAGAAGAAACTCCCCTGGCGAGTTAGGTGGTCTTAAAATGGTACAGTCGGCGCTGTCCCCTACGATATCCCTCGAAAATGTTGTAGTGCTTAGCGAGAACCACGACTTGGTTGGCAGAGCGAGTATTACTTCTGCCAAGGTTTGCCGAGTCCAACTTGGCGGAATAAAACCCTGCCAGCTAACTCGGCACAGCTTGCCCTCCTGAAGATCGTCGGCAACACCGGGAACGGTGTAATTGGACAAATATGGGTCGATCTTGTCATCTATTTTGATTCGTGGGCTATCAAGTCGGACCAGAGACAGCCACTCATATATGTCCGTAGCGAATTCATCCAGTTCTAACCGGCTTTGACCCGATAGGATAGCGATCGGAGGTTTCAACGACGGTAGCTTCGTAGAAATATCCCCAGAGACCTTAGGATGTGATGTATACTTGACGGGATAATGCCGCGAGAGAGGATCAGGGGTGGGTGCTGTGCCATACGACTATCAGTAATACCAAAAGCCAAACAACGATATAGATAACTCACTCTTGGAGAGATTATGAAAAAGCCAGGTGACGGGTGTGCTAAAAACGTTCTTACACGCATATGCCAACCTGTCAAAGCCCTTCTTGCCGTGGAGCATCGAAGGGCTTCGAAGATCGAATTGTACAACTTCAGGGGCTGATTAGCAGTCGCGACAAAGATCAGGACGTAATCAAGCTGAGCATACTCCATCTCGGTTTAAGTCCTCGTTTACCCTTGACTCCATATGGCTTTCCAACAAGCCCGGCCCGCTCGTACGTCTCTTTGTCGAGATACATCGTGAGTATGCCTAGAATGTTTATGTATTAGTCATATGCGAATTATAGCCATTACAAACGGATCGCAAGATGTGCATACCTTCTTTCAGCAAAAACACACTCTCGGAATCTATTCTTCCCTCCGAGAGCATCAGGATATTACCTTGTCATCACGTCAACCTTGACATTCGTGAGGTGACAGTTAGAAATCCAATTACCTATCTTGATGTATTCGGCGAAGAAATCACCATCTAAGATTTGACCAACTGTCATGATAACCTTGTAAAATACAGGTGCTCGACTCGGATCACCCGTGAGCTTGTCCTCGACGAGATGCACCAGTTCCGCCGGGAGGATTAGATCCACCTATATCATATCAGCAAGTGTCTGAAATAGTGCCATGTAGACGCGGGTATTCATACTTTGTGCACGAAGTCTTGCGACAGTAACGTACTCCATGGCTTTCCCTTGCTTGGTAAATTTTGGGGATCAGGATGGCCCATTACTCCGTATGTGACGAAGCATTTTGAGGATTGATAAACGCTCGGCGCTGGAAACGAAAACATTGTTTAGTGCAAATACTAAACCCGTAAATGGTATTGAGATATTGAGATATTGAGATATTGAGACATCGAGGCAGAAACAGAAACGTGAACTCTCAAGTTACAATAACCAACCCTCCACCGTAAAATTAATTATCATCTCTCTTATAGGACTACAACGTTTTAGAGAATACCATGTCAAACAATCTGAATGAGTAAATCGCACTAAAGCGGGCCATGCAAAAATCAATAGTAGCGCCATACCAAGCACTCGGCCATTTTCTCTTAGAAACACTCCCTCTTTTACCGTGAGCTCTTTTCGCATTTGTGAAACCCGCACGCGGATTCGTTCGTTACCTTATGACTTGAGTAGCAGCTGTCGAGCAGGATTTATAACCCTCAGATGGAGTGGCTTGCAAGTAGAGACGAAGCAAAAATATACAGGTTAATCTGCCCTTAGCGACTACAAAACGCCCCAGGCTCGCAGTCCACAATGGAATACCTCATTCGTTTCTCTCAGTCTCATGAGAGTTTTCGTTTACCGGAAATTCAGTCACTCGCTATCGTCGAAGGCCTTGATCTAGAGGTTATTTTTTATAGCGACGAGGTAATAATCTATGCCATGATTGGTTTTACTTGAGACCCTATACTCACGAGACTCTCTTAGTCGCCTTTCTGCATAGTCCGGTTAGAGTCTGAAGATGCTGCAAAAGCTCTTTTGAGACGCTCGGTATTGGCGCAAACCATCCACGAGCATTGGGGCACTGCCGAGAAATATGACGAGCTACACGCCGCCGTCAAACGTGACACTGCTCACTTATGGCCTAAATATAAAGATGTCTCGTTCAAGATTAACATAGACGCCTACCAAGGCTCCCGAACGGATAAGACTAAATTGGCGCTCATAAATACCTTTGCCTATCTTCCTTTTGAAGGACTGATTCTTCTAAAGTCTCCAGATCAGGAATTTACAATATTCGAACAGTGGGAATTTGATTCCGTGCCGCGTAACCTACCTAACCCCTTAAAGATACACTTCGGTCGTCTCGTGGGCCATAGCGTGCGCGAGTTAATCAAAACCTACGACCTCAAAAAGCGAGGATATATCAGCACGACATCTATGGACTCGGAATTAGCTTTAGTTACGGCCAACATATCCCTTGCCGCGCCAGGGAAGATCTTCTACGACCCCTTCGTCGGGACTGGCAGCTTTCCCATAGCATGCGCGCATTTTGGCGCCCTTGGCCTGGGAAGCGATATCGACGGTCGTAGCGTCAGGGGCGAAGGCGGGAAGAAGAGCTTAAAAGGTAATTTTAGGCAGTACGGATTAGAAAGTCTACTCGGTGGCGTCTTCGTTAGCGACTTGACCAACAGCCCCGTACGAAGAGCGCAGATACTCGACGGCATCGTCTGCGATCCGCCATACGGCGTGAGGGAGGGATTAAAAGTTCTCGGGTGTAGAGACCCGGAGAAGGACGCCTGGCTCGTGGAAAAGGGAAAGCGGTCGTACCGGTTAGTTATGAGTTCCCAGAAAACCCGATAATAATAATTGGCTAACGAAAATTAGAAAACCGACATTCGTCCCTCCGAAGAGACCCTACAGTTTTACAGCTATGTTAGATGACATACTGGACTTTGCCTCGGATACCTTAGTGGACAACGGTCGTCTGTCTTTCTGGATGCCGTCGGCTAATGACGAAGAGCAAGAAATTCCTATTCCAACGCACCCGCGCCTGAGCGTCGTGGTCGTTTGCTCGCAGGTGTTTAATAAATGTATGCTTGCTATATATCCACTTTTGTGGGTGTCTCGACTGACAGGTTCTTCAGGGTCGCGAAGGTTAATTACTTACCGCCGTCTACCGGATTCGGATGTTGACGTGGCTGCGTTGGCGCAAAGGAAGCGGGAAGAGCAGGTGAATGGCCGTACTGCAGACGACTTAAATTCGTTTCGTCGAGCGTATTTTAGGGGATTCAAATCAGAGGATGCGAGCGCGGATGTCGTGGCTGGGTGATTTTAGTATAGGGATCCTACTTCGATGATCTTCTCATACCTCCTTTTTGATAGGAGGTAGAGTGGATACTCGTTATGCTGGCGATTGGTACCAAGCTGACAAGATGAATCCTTTAAATACGACGTGATCCTAAAGTTGATTGCGGGGATTAAGTATGCGCAGTTGAGGTTCAAGATGAAGTCTAAAATATCAGATAACCTTAAGTTATTCGAAAATCGATGTCTTAGTATATTTTGTATCAGTACAAGAAAGGTTAAGATTGATAATAGCGCTAATCGTTAGGTACATACCTGCCGCAAACCCTATTTCCCAAGTAAATTTCCCCATATTTGGGGGCATATAGGTACGTAGGTACATATACCTCTCTGACTCTCATATTCAGCTTTGGACATACATCCATGGATGGATGTATGTACCCAACAACAGCAGCAATAGGTACCTAAGAATACCCAATGTGTCAAATTCTATACCGAGCACCAGGCTCACAACCAAGATAGAAATTCGGTGATTTATTGATTTGGCAATTAGGAGCCCCCATCAAGGCTAAGCCCGGTGCAGGAAAATACATTATGAGGTACCCAATGTTTGTCGCCTAGACTTTCCCCTCATACCCACTGCTCCCGCTCAGTCCGTCGATCAAGGTTCGTTTTGCGTCTTCACGTGGTTGCTTAGGTGGAGGTTGGCGACATACGTGTATTGTAGAACCGAATATCCAGCACGCGACGCGCTGCAAGCTCGGTAACTCGGAGTTGGCAAGAGAGTCATCGTAGAAGGGATAGTTATGTCAAACTAGAAGCTACAAGACAAGCCTGACTAGTTATAGTTCTGTCAACCTCTGCTTCGCCGTTTGATTAAGCTTCTCTACACAGTCTTTAGTCGACGCCACCAGTGTTGCCGTCAGAACTTATACCTAGATAAAGTAAGCAGCCTACCGTGTTGCGCGGCATGCATGATGTGTACGTGTATGCAGCACATGGCACATGATGTCTAAGACACGCATGAGGCAGCATTCTCATAGGAAAAAAAAAAGCATCATAGAATTCGAGTGAACATTCCTATTCGATATTTCCCGGATGCGAATGCAATTTGTGTCTCGAGTAGCGAGTTTGACATTGGCATATTTGATATCCGATTCTCAATTTTGATAACAATGTATACCTATACGTGTATTTAGGCGTTCTATTATGACTCCCGTATTATCGGCGTGTACCTAGGTAGGTAGGTTCTTATTCCAAAAACTTTAGTGGTTGAGGATTATCGCGTCGTCATTTAAAACTTGTTGCTGACTGTTGCGTGATATTGTTCCTGGCTTCTAGAATCCTGCTCTGTAAGGATTCTATTAATATTATCGTACGGTCGTCTCTAAGCTCTTGCATGTGCTTATGTCCTGTTCCCAGTCGCACACATGAAAAGCTACATGAAAAGCTTACATATGCGCGCTTCATGCGGTGAAGGTACCCAGACCACCCCGACCAAGACCAAAGGCTATACTACGGGTCTAATAATAGGCTCACCGCCCCCTGTCCACCCTAGTTATTGGGTCCTAATTTTTCTCCACCCCCAGACCTAGGCACTGTAGCACTGTCCATACGCCTTTGCTACATGCTGCAATCCTGCAACAAGTTTAAGCCGACTTTCACGAGTTTACGTACGGCTTTAGTTCTTACGACTTTTAGGACATCTCTCCAATCCTCCTCACTACCAACTAAACCAACTCCTAACTTTGCTTGATTGACATCACGAGATACTTCCTTTTTCTTTTCGGCGAGGCTTCTTACCTTTTTCTATTTTTTATTTTTACTTGGATTAATCTACAATTTACTTATACATTTTTGGGTCCATCATCCAACCTTACGCACGAGCCCCTTCGCCTTGTTACGAGAGATTTCAACTTAAGGAGAGAGTCAAAGAGTCGCCACGCAAAACTCGCATCAAAATCACACAAACGTCAACTTCAACAGTAACAAGTCATGCCTACTCCGTCTAGCAATCCGCCCCCCGAGCTCCCTTCGAGAACACATAGTTCGTCATGTCCCGACCCCGAAAGTTGGCGATCAAATCAAGATGATGGACTCGAGATGAATATCGATAGTCCAGAAACATCATCATCCCCTGAACCCGTCAGCGCACCAATCCAAGACAATATTCAACACGATACTTCAGACTCGCGATCCGCCACGGAATCCCCCGGGCCGGATTTAATGAGTCGCGCCGCACACTCTCCTGACCGCTCCGACACCCTATCCCAGACCACATCAGCGCATAAGCCCACCGATGCAGACCACGATGCATCAGCTAGAAGTGACACAGATGCGCCATCAGGGCTGCAACGATCGAGCGGTAATTACGACATTGTAACTTCCATCGGCGCAGACGGCGAGAAATTAGAATACGGAGTAATGCCCGGCCGGTTGCAACCGGGAGACGCTTATGCGCCTTCGATGGGATACGACCATTCCAACATTCGAGTAAGTTAGGCCCCTATTCGCGAGGGGAATAAGCAACTATACCCATTACCGTAACGAACTGATGTTGACGTCGTTCAAGATAATACCGACATCTCCCTCGTCCTTCCTACGGCCGGGTAGTAAATTCCACGGCACACAACAATCGGAACGGCAAGTATACGACGTGCAAGTCGAAATAAAATATGTCGACTTGAGGGAGTCGTTCCTCTGCGGGTTTCTCAGGATCCAGGGTACGTCAACCAGTTGATTTACCACTCGTGTCTAATTCATCCCGTTTCGTCGGGCTCTTAAACCGACCGAGTCGGTGTGGCGCATCACCCCCTCATCGCCTCCAACTTCGGGACCCAAGACTACATATGCTAACATGACGTACGACGTCCAGGCCTAACTGCGGATAACCCGACGTTGACGACGTATTTCGAGGGCGAGATCATCGGCAGCAAGTACGAATTTATCACAAAGCACGCGGGCTGGGGTGCAACGGATAAAATCGATCTGAGCCACTGGAGCAAATTCACAGCATTCCGACAATACGCTAAACAAGTGCGCAAGGGACCCGTTACCATTCCGAACTTGGCTCAGCGAGAGAACATTTTCATGCGCTGGAAAGAACACTTCCTCGTTCCCGACCATCGTGTCCGCACTATTAATGGAGCTAGCTTCGAGGGCTTCTATTATATCTGCTTCAACCAGAAGGAAGGAAGCATTAGTGGTATATATTTCCACTCCAAGAGCGAGAAGTATGTTTTCCCCCCTGTATCTGCCGTGTTTTATACCTATTATGCTTTACATATGCACCTACGTGTACACATTGATCTGTATCAAATGCCGTGTTTTATTTTGCTTCTGCCCCGCGTCTACCATATCACCAATATAAGAGCACTTGCTAATACGGCCGGTTTCCATCATAGATTCCAGCAGCTGGAGCTTAAGCACGTAGAGGACAGGGGGTGCTTCGGCGCCGTGGAATTTCGATAGCCGTATACGGTTTTTCGTACGGGATGAACGATAAGAAGATGCCCGACATGTGGACGTCAGAATAGCGTATAGCAACGACCACTCACTCGAATAGTAGTAGTAAGTAATATTTGGCAGGCGAAGGAAATCATACGGGATGGTGTAAACTGGCATCTCAATTTCTGCAACGCAAATGGGGAGGAGTACGGAACTCGACACCGAGCATAGTCCAGCGCAGCGGTCTGGGTTTTGGTCTCTTTTAGGGAGGTATCACATCACGTTCACGACAGACGGGATTGCTGCGGCATTTCACATGTTCGCGGCAAGGGGGTATATTGTAAGGGGTTCGGGGGGGGGGGGGGGAAATGCCGTACTACTCTATGTATACATAATGATGATCGTAAACTCGCACCTGTGCGCCTTATCTATCTTGGCTCTTTACGAGATGGGTTTGATCTTGAAATGGAGTGATGTCAAGCTGAAGACGAGCGCCTTTAGATCCTGCACCAGGTAGTAGAATACCCGTAGTCCTTCGGGGTCTGCCGATTCCGTCACGTCGATTAGGGAACCAATCTTAGCTGTCTATGATACTATTAGCATTAGCACTCGTCATTCTACAATAGCGCCTAGGCCAAGCTACGGGGCGGAAAGAGAATCTACTCGCCTCGAATGATATGTGATCGTTGCCCACGCGGATCTCCAATTCCTGCCTACCATCCTTGTTCTTCTGTGGCCACTTGGCGTCGTCTTCCTTCATGATCTCGCTCGACTTGACGATGCGCTTGATCTCATCTACCACCAACGAACTGACGCACACTGTTTTCCTCGTTAGCCTTATGTCTGATTTCTACCTCGGGTTCTTAGCTCCAGAGATGGCGGTTAGTTCGCTGGAGAGAGCAGTAAGAAATAGGTGCTGACATACTCTCTTTTCGGATTAGACTGTCGTTCCTGTAGTTGGAGTTGTTTGCGTATCGAGCCACGGCGCTTCGACCATCGCCTACTACTCGAATATCGAACTCTATGCTATTGTCAGTTTCTGTTTACTTTTCGTAGGTACCTGGGTAGTTAATGAGGGCGGTCGAGGAGTGGGGGAATCGTGGGTATGCGTACCTAGAAATTCATGGCCGAAACGACCGGAGTGACCTGAGCTGTATGGGTCAATTAGCTTCAAGCTTCAAGCTTCGAGCTTCGCGTCAATTTGCAGATTGCACGTACTAGTATCGGATATAGAAAGGCTCGCCGGAGGAGGCCATATTGGTAGTCAATCTGGTTGCTGTAAATAGTAAATAAGAAAGCTGTACGAGCACAGAAATACAATCCTTGGTCTCGGATTCGGCTTGCTGGATTTAATGACGGTAGTACTGCGTTCCAATAAGTGTTACTAGATTTAGCCTTGTTAATGTTGCGACGAGGCTTTGCTAGACGATGGCTTGGCAGTGCAGCTCTAGAAAGTTTCGGCGGGGCAGGGGAACAGCTGTGCGTGGGGAACTTTTAGGTAATGTTGGAACTAGAAGCACATGTATAAAGTACTTAGGTACCTGATATTAGGTTAGGTACCTAACCTAGGTAACCTACTTAGGTACCTAACAAAAGAGCGTAAGCCACAATTGAGTTGAGTCTGGCCCATATCAAACGACTTCACCTGGCTAATGTTCGGGTTACGGATTATTTAATTCAACGTTGGATACTAACCAATCAAGTCCCCATATTCCTTCAGACCCGATCCATTTTAGGAGGGACAGATTTCTGTGCAGTTGCTGGACATTGGATTTTGGGGCCAGCCTGGACGGATTATTATCAAATCCATCACAGCATCACAGCATCACAGCATCACAGCATCACCGCCGTTCACCTTTCCCGACCCAGCCCAACTTCCTCTGGGATGCATGATCGCATTGACCTCGTTAAACCACCTCTTCAACTGCTGGGACGGCTCTTCTAATTGTTCAATTCTACTTCGGCCTTGTTTTTACGAATCCACACGAGCCCTCGAGCCCTCGACCCTTATTCCCCGAACACGACCTCCAATATAATACTTCAACTATCTACCAAAGCCTTATCTAGCCCTCCTCCTTCTCGTCGGTCTATCCACCTACATACGTCCTTATAGATATTCCCGAGTTTACCACGCCGGCGGAAGCCGCAACAATTGCCCAGCATGACGACTTTCCTCGAGACCGCCTACAGCTTGGTCCACCAGGACAACACCGCAGATGTCCCATCCATGTCGGATCTGCGCATGCAGCTGGAGAAGGGTACCGACGAGACAAAAGTCGATACTATGAAGCGCATCCTAACTGTCATGTTGAACGGCGACCCTATGCCTCAGCTCCTTATGCACATCATCCGATTCGTTATGCCTTCCAAGTATAAGCCTTTGAAGAAGCTATTGTATTTCTACTACGAGATCTGCCCCAAGCTCGACTCCACCGGTAAACTAAAGCAGGAGATGATTCTTGTTTGGTGAGTACAGAAAGAAGTTGTGAACAGCACACAAACTCGGTAGCTGACAGCTCCGGGCTTAGCAATGGCATTAGAAATGATCTTCAACATCCGAACGAGTACATCAGGGGAAATACGCTGCGATTCCTTTGCAAGCTACGAGAACCAGAGCTGATCGAGCCCTTACTATCCTCGGCTCGGGCTTGCCTCGAGCATCGCCACGCCTACGTCCGAAAGAATGCCGTCTTCGCCATCTCTTCCATCTTCTTACATTCGCCGTCCCTCATCCCAGATGCTTCCGAGCTGATCGCCACCTTCCTCGAGGGAGAAAGCGATGCCACCTGCAAGCGCAACGCCTTTTCTGCCCTGGCTAGCATTGACCACGAGAAGGCTTTAGTATACTTAAGCTCCGTCTTCGAGGGGATTCCAAACGCCGAGGAGTTACTACAGTTGGTCGAGCTCGAGTTCATTCGGAAGGATGCAGTTCAGAATTCCCAGCACAAGGTAAAAGCAGTCCAGAATCCAATTTGGTGGGCTAGCGACTAACAATCGCAGGCTCGTTATTTGAGGCTTATTTTCGATCTACTTGAGGCCGGAGCTTCTACTGTCGTTTACGAAGCTGCTTCGTCCTTGACGGCATTGACTAGCAACCCCGTTGCGGTAAAGGCGGCCGCGGCTAAGTTTATCGAACTAAGCATTAAAGAGGCCGACAACAATGTGAAGCTTATCGTTCTCGACCGAGTAGACCAGCTGCGACAGAAGAACGAGGGCGTCCTAGACGATCTGGTGATGGAGATCCTACGTGCTCTATCTAGTCCCGATATCGACGTCCGACGAAAAGCCCTTACCATCGCGCTAGAGATGGTATCGAGCAAGAATGTCGAAGAGGTTATTTTACTGCTTAAGAAAGAGCTGTCCAAGACTGTCGATCAGGAATACGAGAAGAACGCCGAATACCGACAGCTCCTCATCCATTCCATTCACCAGTGCGCTATCAAATTCTCGGAAGTGGCAGCTAGCGTAGTCGATCTACTCATGGACTTCATTGCCGACTTCAGCAATACTTCCGCCGTCGACGTCATCAGCTTCGTCAAGGAGGTAGTCGAGAAGTTCCCTAAGCTGCGGCCCTCAATCGTCTCGCGATTGGTCGACACTCTCAGCGAGGTCAGAGCAGGCAAAGTCTACCGCGGAATCATCTGGATCATCGGCGAATATTCTCTGGAAGAGAGCGATATTCGAGATGCGTGGAAGAGGATACGCGCGAGTCTAGGAGAGATCCCTATCCTTGCCTCCGAGCAGCGACTGTTAGACAACGTGGACGGCGACGAGGAGAAAGAAAAGGAGCAGGTCAATGGCCACTCGAAGTCGACGGCGCCTTCAGGCTCAAGGAGGGTCCTGGCTGACGGTACATACGCCACCGAGACAGCTCTTACCAGCGGCTCGGCCGCCGCCGCCAAACTGGAAGCTGTCAAGGCTGCTCAGAAACCGCCACTGCGACAGCTCATACTCGAGGGTGACTACTACTTGGCTGCTGTTCTTTCGGCAACTCTTACCAAGTTGGTCATGCGTCATTCCGAGATCTCTTCGGACAAGGCGCGAACGAATGCTCTCAAGGCCGAAGCTATGTTGATCATGATTTCCATCATACGTGTTGGCCAGTCGCAGTTCGTCAAGGCTCCCATCGATGAGGATTCCGTCGACAGGATAATGTCCTGCGTTCGGTCGTTGGCGGAGTTCTCCGACAGGAAGGAATTAGAAACGGTATTCCTCGACGATACGCGGAAAGCTTTCCGTGCTATGGTGCAGGTCGAAGAGAAGAAGCGGGCGGCAAAGGCTGCTTTCGAAAAGGCCAAGACCGCCGTCCAAGTCGACGACGTTGTTCAGATTCGACAGCTGTCTAAGAAGAACGTGGCGGACGGTGCCGACGAGATCGAGCTTGACCTCGAGAGAGCAACTGGCGGAGAGTCCGTATCAGAGGACCTTTCGTCGAAATTAAGCCGTGTCGTTCAGCTTACTGGGTTCTCCGACCCCGTATACGCCGAGGCGTATGTCAAAGTACATCAGTTCGACATCGTCCTGGATGTTCTCTTGGTCAACCAAACCACCGAGACCCTCCAGAACTTGTCGGTCGAGTTCGCTACGCTCGGCGACCTCAAGGTTGTAGAACGACCTACTACGCAGAACCTTGGCCCGCACGACTTCCACAACGTACAATGTACCATTAAGGTTTCATCGACGGATACCGGAGTTATCTTTGGCAACGTAGTATACGATGGAGCTCACAGCACGGACACCAACGTTGTTATTCTTAACGATCTACACGTCGATATTATGGACTATATCCAGCCGGCCACATGTACGGAGACGCAGTTCCGCACCATGTGGACGGAATTCGAGTGGGAGAACAAGGTCAACATCAACAGCAAGGCCAAGAGCCTCCGCGAATTCTTGGAGCAGCTGATGGCCTGTACGAATATGAACTGCCTGACGCCGGAAGCCAGCATGAAGGGCGACTGTCAATTCCTGAGCGCCAACTTATACGCCAAGAGTGTCTTTGGTAAGTTTTCTCTATTAACCAGCTATTCAATAATATAATACCAACTGACTATTTGCAGGCGAGGATGCTCTAGCAAACCTGAGTATCGAAAAGGAAGGCGAGGATGGGCCAATCACAGGTTTCGTCCGCATAAGAAGCAGGTCACAGGGACTGGCGCTGAGTCTGGGATCCCTTAAGGGTTTGAACAAGATTGGTACAGCGGCTGCTTGACGGGAGGGGAATATCTAGGAGCATATAATTTTTCAGCGCGGTCCAATTCCCGTCTCGCAGCGGTAACTCGTAGTCGTAGTCGTTAATGAGCTGACGAAGGGGGGCTTTTGGGAGGCTAAAAATGATAGAGTAGTGATATCCAAGATGATTGATGTCGCAAGTGGAATGAATACTCGTGTCGAGATAGCACGGACCAAAAAACGAGGTGCAGGAGTACCTCGGCTATGATTTAGACAATGCAAATTATCTTACGACGAAGTATATGGCTATACGTGGTTTGTAATCTGTAGTGATATGTGATGCTTAGATTGAGTAGTCTCTCATTCTAGTAAGATGCTATTCATTGGCTACCTAAATAATCTATTCCCATTCTAATTCAAAACACTTGCCACGCATTGAGACAAGTAGCTTGCTGCCCTTGTTATCTGTCTCTGTTGTTTGCATGGTGCTTGGTGCCACGAAACTTACTACCATATTTGTGTATATAAAAAAGGGGGGGGAACAATTCAGCCAAGCAGATCGACACGGGATCGACAAGTTAGTCTATAAACCCTTAGCTGTTTCTCACGCATTCACTATGTACATACACAAGACAAGAGCCACAGGGTCCTGGGTTAAGCAGCTTGGCGTGCTGGCGTGGAACCTCAACCGTGGTTTCAAACGGCAGCTTGTGGTTTGTCAAACGACAAGCCCTTCATCAACACGGCCAAGTGAACACGGCCAAGTGAACACGGCTAAATGAACATGGCCAAGTGTGGGTAAGCTGGATAGGCGTTATTCGTTATTCGTTATTCGTTATTCGCTATTTTATTAGACGCGCTTCTACTATCTGCATTGGGAAGAAGGTCTTCATTCGCGAAGCTAACGGCCTGGGGCATGTATAGGCGGCAAATCGCTCAGCTCGGCACGTGCATGGGTGGCTTTACTCGACTGGGAGCGCATCTCGTCACTTGCAGGACGGGAATGTCGACGTGGGAGTGTAAGATTTGGTGTTGGGCATGAATGTGGGAGGATTAGTATACGTAGACTGTGTGTGTGCGTGTGTGTGTGTGTGGTAATGTATGGTAATGTGGTAAGGGATGGATATTCGAATATGCATGTCTTTGGAGATCTCGGTATCTACCTAGTTAATCTAAGATAAGATTCTATGTTTAGTTCGTAGGTATGTAATATGTATGTGTACCTATGTTTCGTCTCGTAAGAGACAAGCGTATGATCAACTACCGGGTTGCGGGTTGCGGGTTGCGGGTTGCGTGTTTAATGTTTAATATTAACATCAAGTTGGCCGGGGGTTTTTCAGGAGAACAACCATGTAACAAGAAACTAACAAGAGTACATAAGTAACTAGGTTAACTAACTAAGAGTTTCGTATGTAAACAAGCCTCGGGCTGTCCCGGTAGACCGGCACCCCTAATCCGTCTAGGTTATCCCATCTACCGCATAACCCAATATATTCTGTTATACCTAGGTATGTACCTAGACTTATGGTTTACATACAATTTGGAGAAGCTTGTGATGACCCCACGATCACACGACATTGCATATGCGCCTCGGTGATCCTCCCCCGCTTTCTCTTCCTCTCGCCCCCCTATGTCTTAAACAACAACTATTATGTACAGAGAAACTGGCGTAAAAAGGGTCTAAGGGTCTAAGCCATATGTCTCAGGCGTCACATCGTCCCATCTCGGCTCATTCCCGTCCCATTTTCCCATGGTGGCCTCGAGAAACTGGTGGCATAATCAAAGAAAAGCATGATTTGCGTGCCGGCGTCGAAGCCGTTTCTGGCCGAAGCCTGGCTGCATCGTAAACACCTCCCGAGGAGTATTTATATCTCCATGTAAAGCCCATCTGTGCCTGCCAAGAGACCAAGAGACCAAGAGACCAAGCTAGCTTTCCTATATATTCCATAGCTACTTCTGTCATCTGTCCTCGAATTACTCTCTTGCTTTTGACCAAGAACTTTAACACTCGACTCTTACCTATAAGCTATCCCCTCACCTATAAGTCTGCTAGTTATAGCTGGTTATAGCATCATACCCAACTCGAGAAACCCATTTACCTGGATTCCTGAACCCCTGAACCCCTAAACCCCTAAACGCTTGTGTCCTCTTCTTCGATCAGTACCTTTCTTATAGCACTTCCAAATACACAAGATTACATATAAGATCAAAATGCCTGCCAACTTTAACGCACCGCGACCTTTCTCGGCCACGACGCCAGTCTACCCAAGCTACCTCCCCGCTCTGCACAAGTCTGGGCGTATCGAGAGGAAAATGTAAGCCTGATTCTTCCTATCGCCGTCGATACGATACGTATTAACACAGAAACGCAGTGCCACCGCGACGGTCGCAGCCGTAGGAATTGGTTAGTATAGCTCATTCCACCCCAGCCTCGGAGATAATATTCATATAATTATAATTACAACGCACTTAACCTGTCTGCATACCGTCGAGATTAGCTAACGTCTTCCCCGCGCAAAGGATACGGCTTGGCGAAATACAAAGCCATCAAGGCCGACAAGTGGCAGCAGGAACACCACGCCCAACAGGAACAGCTGTTCCGCAGCGCAGAAACCATTCCAGCAACCGTGCCCATACCCGTACCCACGGCAGAGGCCAGTCGGAACCAAGCCGTAGAGAATGCCTACGGGGATCGCACGAGCCTTACCGAGCTCGAAGCTGCCGTCGCGGTATACGAGACGCGGCAGAAGAACTAAAGAACAGCTGTGTTGTCTTGTGGTAGGTAGCTATTCGGGAATGCGGGAATGCGAGAATGCGAGAATGCGAGAATACTCTTCTCCGTCGGTGTTATCATTATGAGTTAGGTATTGTACAATACCTAGCGTTACGAGTACAATTAGCAGGCGTCTAGGTTAGGCAGGTTAGGCAGGTTATCAGGTTACGATAGGGTTATACGGCGGAGTTACGGTGTCACGAAATGACATGAGATGGGCTTTGGGCATGAGAGGACGGTGCGTTGAAAAGAGGGTTATTTTGTTCCTGTCCCTATCCCTATCCCTATCCCCATCCCTATGAAGCTCGCCTCGATTTGGCGCCTTTGGCATTCTTACCCTAGGCTGCGACTGGTAGTAATTCAGCTACGAGCTCTACTACATACGTTTCCTCTTGTCCAAGTCTAAGAAGACATCGTGATTGTCATCAATACATAGTAATGTAGGTTCCCAAGATATGGATGCGTAGTCGATCTCTCTTTGTTTCTACCATGGTAAGCCGTCCAGGTGTGTAAGTGGGTAATGTGCCAAATATCAGCCAACCATCAGCCAACCATATCCCCAGTATGATTTCCATGCCTCTTCTAGAAGATACGCAATTCCAATAAGGTTGTATCGTCACTCCGCTGCCCGTGCTCGGGGTTCGAAGTTATGAATATTTTATATTCCAGCGGAATCGCCGGGTTCTATCCACTTGCGCCCTGACCGCTGGGTCAGCAAGACATTAGACAGATATTAAACGAATCAAGTAGACTGGTTAATGACGTTTCCTCATTACGGAATATTAGCAAAGTATAATTTATAATTTAGGATCTACATAATCGCATGATTCCCCTTTTCGATTCATAAGGACTTAAGGGGAATTCGGAATTTATAATACCTGACCCCTATCGCCTCATATGGCCTTGCCGACTCCGCTCTTACTCATACTCATTCGCGTATATAATTAACTCGTTCTCGATAGTATCCTAGATACACAGCGCAGCAAGGCACCACCACGATGGCTGAGAATCAACTTACCAAGTATCGCGGCAACTGTCATTGTACCGCGTATGTGTTTGAAGTTGACCTCCCAGGGAATATCGAAAATGGCCTCCAGTGCAGTTGCAGTTACTGCTGCAAGAGGGGCGCCGTCTTCCTGGCCCCGAACAATAACAACGACATCAAGTTCGTGAAGGGCGACCCGACAGCGCTATCGAACTACAACTTCGGAGGCGTCAAGCACCAGGTAAGCTATAACTATTGAAGAGAGCAAGCATGCAGCATTTAAATGCGAATTTAAATGCGAATTTAAATAGGAACAAATAACAACTATCAAAGTATTGGCTAACAATCCCTGGTTATAGTTCTGTTCGACCTGTTGTACTTTTCTATTCCGTGTTGATACAAAGAAATATGTCAACGTAAGTCCACACGAGCCTACTTGAAGCCTCCCGTCAACTACGTGATATAAATTCTAACACACGGCCTCAGCTGCGGGCGCTCCAGAAAATCAAAGTGTGGGATATAGGCACGCAACCGTGAGTCGATCACCTACAGGTGCTTCCATTGAACGGTAGGAAGCTTAGCTATTCCCCTATCACCAGTCTCGACGACAAGGCAACGCCCCCGGCGTGGAACCCTCCCAAATTCAACGGCCAGGAGCCCCCAGCCGAAATCGAGGGCGCCAAGATATACACGGGGGGTTGCCACTGCGGAGTCGTCACTCTAGCTCTGAAGTCAAAGCCGATTGATAGCACATACGAGGGACTTGTTATGGAATGCGACTGCAGCATATGCACTCGAGTATGCTTTCCCTTCTCCCCTTCTCCCCTATTTCCCTTAGTCCAACAGCTTTCCTATTCTATAATACGCATGCCAGCCAACCCAGCCCTACTCTATAATTTCTATAATCTCATCCTATACAATATCTCACCACCCCCGCCTCTCCACAGAACGCATACTGCTGGATCTACCCCAACAAGCCGCAAGTCTCCATCGTAGGAGCTGCGGAGATGGGATACTACTCGTTTGGAGGCGGCGTGTGGCGCAAGTCGTTCTGTCGGGCCTGCGGGGTGCCGGTGCACAACCGCATCGAGGACTACACGCCGGCGCAGATCGAGGAGCTGCCCGTCGAGCAGCAGCAGTGGGCCCGGGATCACGTCGACTGGTCGCCGGTCAACTTGCGCGTTATGGACGGCATCGATCTGAGCGAGCTGAAGATCAAGCGCATCGACGGGTCGACAAGGTCTGGGCCGCCGAAGCCGGGTAGCTACGTGGACCCCTGAGCGCAAGTTGGAGTATGTATGTAGTATGTTTCGATAGGCGTTGGGCATGTACTGTGGTGCTGTGGTGCTGTGGTGTGGAAGGGGGTGGCGTACGGCTGCGGTAAGCCTGATAAGGGAAGGCGGTGAGGAGGGGGTCTGGCGGTGGGATCTTCGGGCTGCAGATCTAGATAGGGTATTAGGAAGTTAATAACTAGGTAGTCTTAGCCATAAGCTCGGCTTGGTGTTGTCTAACACGGCGAGTTGTCTATAGTAATATGAGTTTCGGCCTTTGAGTAAACAAGTCCTCGTAGTTATTCTGAGTTAGATCTTGACCGCTTGTGCTATGAAGTATCAATAGTCTTATGTTCCAACCGCCCTAACGTATATGAATACTCGCTTTACGTTTATTAACTGTTTAATTATTTCCTGAAGATATTTTATAATAGTAGTTATTCTAGTTATTCCCCGTATCTTTTATAGAGGTCATTAATGTATAGGACTAAACAGGTAGATCGTCGAATCTATTCTCGCAGCTATACTTAAGACATATGGGCCGATAGGTATAACTTAACTCTTTGCATTTCCTGTTAGCTAAGAGCATTTACCAAGTCTATACCATTCCCGAACTCTAGGACAATCTTATAAGTTTACGACAATAGAACCCGCCTCGACAATGCCAACTACCAACGGCCAAGCGCGGCGTTTCTATTGGCGCGCGTATATCTATTGGTACTATTACATAGCGTCTTCGTAGTAGCAGCGGTGGGGGTAGGAGGGGTAAATAGGTATGTAATACCCTACTGACGTACGTCAAGCAGGTACAACTGGCTTTAGGAGAATCTATATCGAATTCTTACGGGGCGATGTGGACTGCCATGCGTCATATCCCACCTTCTTTATACAAACTTAATGTGCGTGTAAGTGTATGAACTAGAAGTAACTAGAAAACGCCCCGTTTCTTGTCTACATGTAATGTAGGAAAAGTAGCTTGGATTATGTCACATACAAATACTAGACGTCTTCGCTAGTTGTAGCTGTCCAGCTATCCTCCTCCACACTCATCTTCTACATTAATCGACCTAGGCGCGAATCAACGCGACAATGGCAGACCTCAAGCACACCAGGTGAGTATAAGCTACTTATCGACTTTGATAGAGGCGAGCATATTCTAATTATAAATTAGCAAGACCTACACCCTCGCTTCGGGCGACAAGATCCCCGCCATCGGTCTGGGAACTTGGCAATCTCCCAAGAATGAAACAACCAAGGCCGTAAAGCACGCCATCTCCGTAGGCTACCGATATATCGACACGGCCTTTGCCTACGGTAACGAATCCGAGGTCGGCGAAGGAATCCGTGCTTCTGGCGTGCCTCGCGAGCAGATCTGGATCACCACCAAGCTTGACAACCCGTGGCACAAGCGCGTCGCCGAGGGTATCGACGCTTCCTTGAAGAACCTTGGTGTCGACTATGTTGACCTTTATCTCATGCACTGGCCCAGCTCTACCCGTCCCGACGACCTCAAAAAGCACTACGACGACTGGAACTTCATCGACACCTGGCGCGAGTTGCAGAAATTGCTCGGTACAGGCAAGGTCCGCAACATTGGTGTTTCCAACTTCGGCATTACCAACCTCGAGAAGCTGCTGAACGACCCCTCTTGCAAAGTAAATCCCTCTGCTTCCGTACGAAAAGTAGTCAGTGGCTAATGATTCGTAGGCCAAGCCGGCAGTTAACCAGATCGAGCTCCATCCCAATAACCCCTCGCCGAAGCTGGTCGCCTACTGCAAGGAGAGGGGTATCCACGTCACAGGTTATTCGTGCCTAGGCAGCACCAACTCGCCCCTATATAAGGACAAAACACTACTGTCCATCGCTCAGAGCAAGAACAAGACGCCGCAGCAGGTTCTTCTGCAATGGGGAATCCAAAACGGCTGGGACGTTATTCCTAAGTCAGTCACTCCAGAGCGGATCGAGGGAAATTTTGCCCTCGACGGGTGGGAGTTGACCGACGAAGAAATTAAGAAGCTTAACAACCTGCCGGACCGCTTCAAGGTCTGCGGAGACGACTGGTTGCCGGTTAAGGTCTTCTTCGGCGACGACGAGTAGCGGTTTGAAATTTGAAGTTCCTGATAGAGACGACTCGGGTTAGAAGCCTGGCGCATTTAGACAGATAGATCTTGAATAAGTAAAATCGCAACACTATCGTCTTAATGCGATTTGGTCGTAGGTTGAACGTAATAGGGTCGTAGCCGTACTCATAGCTTCCCCTTCCTAGCCTCCTCCTCTAGTACAAAAGCTATGCTCCTTCTCACTTGTTCCGCCAACGCTACCGCTTCGTCGTCGTCCAACTCCTCGCGCACTCCGCGGCCAAACATTGTAAAGCTTTCCCTAAACCTCCCACTGGCGCGTATCTCTGGTCGTGGGATGAGATGGTAGTGCACATGATTAACAACCTGCGCGGCCGCCGCACCGTTATTCTGGACGACGTTCCAGTCCTTGACCCCCGTGGCGCTCACGAGGGCCGCGGATAGTACGCGCAGGTGAACGCCTAGCTCGGCGGCTTCGTGAGACGTGACATCGGTTAACTTGGAGCGGTGGGCGCGAGGGCATAGTAGGAGATGGCCCCTGGACAGGGGTAATATATCGAGGAAAGCGACGAGCGTAGGCGTTGAAAGCACGACGAAGGCCGGGGGCGCGAGTTGGAAGGGATCGATAGAGGGGGAGTCCGTTGGGGGAGGTTGATCGGGAGGGAAGGGGGAATAGGTGGAGGATATGGAGCAGAATGGGCAGGGATCGGTAGCGGAGGGGGCGGTGCCGGGATCGAATGGTGGGATTATTTTGGGTTCTTCTGCCATGGTACGACGAAGTTTTGGTTTGGGTTCGCGGTAAAGGTTGAGATGAGTTGGGTAAATTTTAATATATCGATGGCATTAAAGACGCCGTGTTTGGGAATTATTCTACGTAGATTAAGAAGAACAGAACGTACGAATGTCAACAAGTAATATAAAGTATAAAGTGGTATGCCGTGTGGGTTTTAAGAATAAGTGAAGAGAGTTGATGCCTCGGCGTGAGACTTGGCGTATCTCAAATTGGGAGATTTGGGAGATTTGGGAGATTTGCATTGTATTACCTAGCTCCAACACCGGCACCAGCATTGCCGCGGTACAGGTTCCGTGTAGCACCAAGCCCCACAAATAGCCGTCCTTTGTTTTTTTTTGCATTTATGACTTTGTCATTGTACCTTGTCCCTGTCCCTGTCCAATTCTGCCGTTCTTTACTCCCCGACCGCCTTTTTTCTCAGTTGACTCTACCACCGCCAAAGACCACCCACTCTATTCGCCCGTACCTAAAACAACTTCAACCAAACTCAAGAACCCCCCCCCAAAACAAGAAAAAACCGAAATGAGCTCCCGCGAAGCCTACCAGATCCCCTCCTCCGCCGGCGGCGCGGCTACCGGCGGTGCGGCCGCGGGCACGCGAAGCAGCGCGTTCGACATGGACGGCGGCGGCGCGACCATGCACTACATCTGCGGCGACTGCGGGACCAAGTTCCCGCTGAAGCGCAACGACCCCATTCGCTGCAAGGAGTGCGGGTGCCGCGTGTTGTATAAGGAGCGAACCAAGAGGTAACTTTATCTCTTTCCCTTTTTTGGCTATCGTGATCTGATCTCGTTGGGGGGTGATGGGCGGTAATGCTAATGTGACGGCAACAGAATGGTGCAGTTCGAGGCGCGGTAACGGGCTACGCGGGGTGCAACGGAATAGAACGAGATGATAGATACGCTCCTGATCCTTAATAGTGAACTCTGATGGTTTGGCGTCATGTTTGGCTAGTCGCACAACCCAGAAACGGTTTCCTTACGCGGCGGAGATGCTACGTCGTGAGTTACATACGGAAGCAGGGCAGACATCGTTCTTAGGGGTTCGATGGGATATCAAGAAGCTGTCTGCATCGCTACAGTCCGCATAGCATGTAACCTGGAGTTTGGGTGTTTGTTTACCAAGGGAGCAAAGATATTCAAGTCTCGGGAATCGAGAAAATAAGAAATTTGGTATCATTGCGCGCCCGTCTATGCCCTCATGCGATCGTAACTCCCTAGACCCTAAAACTAAAACCTTTGTACCCTATCATGTATAGTGAATAATAGTAAGATAACCCAATCCCCATTTCTACCCTCTTCTCTGCGTATGTAGGTACTTGGCAAAGCTGGCATCGTCCATGACCGAATCCGCATTTGACCCCGTCGCAGCCTCATACCTGGCCTGTAAACCCTCGCGGTCCATCTCATCGTCCACGTCGTCATCGTAATCATCTGCGTCCTTCTCGTCGCTATCATCCTGCATATCCTCGTCCTCATCCGCTTTAGGTGGCTTCACGGCGGTATCCCTGGTATTATTCGCACCCATAGACATGCCCTTCATCATCTTGTCTAACTCCTTCTCGCGGACCTTCTGTCTTTGGTCCTCGCGTTCCTGGCGCTTGCGTTCGAGTTCGGGGCGGTAGTCCCTCTTGAATTCATCCGCCTTCTCCCGTACGGCGGCGAAGAAGTCGTCGACGCCGGCTCCCGTCATGGATGAAACTCCTACGACGCTTAGGTGGGTATAGAACTCCTCGAGCATCATACTCATCGAGTTTAATAGGCTACTCATGTAACCACTACCTGCGCCCTCGCCCTCGACGCCACCAAACGCGTTGGAAGCCTCGTCGTTTGACAGTGCAGCCTGAAAAGCGTCGTAATCCGTCATCCACTCCTTAGCAAAGTCTGCGTCCTTGACGTCCGTCTTGTTGAACACCAAGATCATCGGTAGCTTGGTTTTGTATAGGATCGAGCAGGCGTATAGCATGTTGCTCATGAAGGTGCTAGTCGAAGCGGTTCGAGGGGTATCGATGATGTACGCGATGACAGTCGGGAAGGTGGAAGCGAGGGACTCGAGGAGGATTTGGCCTGAGGCAGACCAGACGAAGACTTCAATTTGACCGGCTGTAATAAGACATATCAGTCAGCGATTTTACTGTTAACAAATCCTTAAGAGCAAAGACATACGTGTATCAACAAGAATATTCTTAATAGGCTTCTTGTTTGGGGTTTCTGGTTCTAAACTAGTTCGCTTCTCAAGCAACTTCAAGATCTGGTCGACCTTCGTCGAGAATAGGTTTAGGGAGGTCAAGATGCCGCCGTTAGGGCCTAGGTTATACTGTTTCATGACTTCCTTGTAATTCACCGAGTCGCGAATATCGATATTGCTCTCGAAAGGAACATTAAGCACAGCGGGATCGAGGTTAATTACATAGGGCGGCTCTCTCTGGCCGTGTAGGTGTGCATTGATGCGTTGCATAAAGGTTGTCTTTCCAGATCCAGCCATACCCACGCACACGATGGCGACAGGTTCCGAGGAGTTTGCTGTTGCCGTCGAGGGCGCGGCAGAGGCTGAGGTAGACCCGGACGTGGAAGAGGAGGCCATTCTTGTCATGGATACTTTAGCTTATAGATGACCTTGACAGGATGAGAGATAGAAATGTTGAGATTAGTGAAATGATCACCTGGAAGTATTAAGTTACGTCCTTTCGGCTTGAATTAAGTTAAAGATTGCGGGGTGGCGGGGCAGATAGCTCTAACCTAGCTTTAAGGTTCTTGGCTTATCGATAGATCTAACCTAAGCTTCTGGTTTTATTGATTATTCACATATCGTTATGTGCATATAAAAGACTGAGACTTACATCTACAATAGTCAACTCAATGGCAGTCTATAACATGATCACTTAGGCTATGCTTATATTAGTTTCTAAACAAATAGTATCTTACCTTAAGGGTCATTTTGAAATAAGACTGAACAAGTCTTCATCTCGAGTCTAGGTACTTCATATCACCTCACAAATATTCGTCTACTTAGTTAGAACAAAACATCACAAAGCAAGACAAGACATATTTGAGGTGGCCGAATCTCTCATTTTCTCGCCCTATTGAGGGCTTGAGCTGTGATAACTATCCGCTAGGGATAGGGGCATTTGTTTTTGTTTTTTTTTTACCTGGGCTAGTCGTCAAGACTAGATAGATCTTGTCATTTCGTCATGCCAGCAGCTTCGTCAAAGCGCTAGCGGAACCATTGCAGCTTCAGCAGCATTCTTTCCGTAACCTTGCCACGCCCATATTTCTCTCTCCGGGAGATGGAGGATACTATATGGGCGACTGTGTGTATGTGCGTATTGTGTTTCATTTTTTTTTCTTTCCCCCTCTCTGCTTGCTTGAAGACATAGAAGATGGACGGCGGCGAAGAGGCGCGCCAACCTGTGGTGCGTTTTCTAAGTTGTCCTCTCGGCTGACCTTTGCGAGTTTTATTCCCAAAAATTTGACAATCTGGTAGAGTCGTGATAATATCATGGCGCCGTGTTCGCGTGTACTCGCTGTGGAAATAAAAAAAAGCAACGTCGTAAAAAGACAAATCCGCAAAGTGTGTTGCCGCAAACCTTTCCTCTTTCCTGGCCTCTAAACCGTTGTGCATTGTTTCTTTCTTTTTTTGACCTTTTGCTCGGCAAAGAAGCTAAGACAAGTCGACTGAAAGTAATCCATAACGCCTAGTTTAAAGACCGATAATGACCATGGGAGTATTTTGTGAATATTGAGTTGAGTTGGGAAAGTGTGTTCCTTTGGGTCATCAGAAATAGAAAAGTCACAATGGGTGATAACATGAGCAAACCGTGTACGTTCATACCCCCTTACCTCTCCCTGATATAAAAAAAAACTTCATCAAAATGGTCGGCCAACCTCGATGAGAAGTGGAGTTGTAGGTGTTCTCCCAAATGGTGTTCCAATCTGATGATGATAATATCTGGGAGAGACTGAGCTGAGGGAAGAAATCGGTGACAAGGAAAAGCAGAATCATTCAACTCCGTGACCGTTCGTTCCTCGCCAAATTCAAGACACATTCCAACGCCGTATTCCCCCAAGTGACCCGATGTTTAGTGGATATATATTGTTGGTGCAAATGCGAGAGCTCGTTAGATCGTCTTAGGCGTCCGAGCGTTGCTCATCTCCACGACGTCGTCGAGATGGTTGCACATGGCCACGAATAGGTCAAAGAAAAGTTTGCCGCCCCGTTCCATCTCCGTCTGCATGGTTCCGCTCCTCTTAAATGTCTTACGACATCGGATAATTAGGGCGAGATAGTGAGCGCGTAGTCGCGAGTCCGTGTCCGGCGTGTTGTCGTAGGCGTACTGCGCCGATCTAAGGATCGTTCCGACGTCGATGCCGCTCTGTAGGCCTTGCTTCCGAAGAGCTAGGCGCTTGAGCTCTTCGAGTCCGTACCTATCGGCGGCGCAGTACACGACGGTATCCCGCAAGAGATATTGTCCCACGCTGGCGACGTGCATTGTGGCCTCGACGGCTCCGCGGCCAGCTCGGTTGTTTTCTGAAGGGTCGGGTGATCCCACGGCATCCTCGAGCTCCCAAGAGTTTCGGTGCTTGTTATGTACTAAGCGTGGGTAGTAGTCACCCTTGTAGAGGTACTCGAGTACGGCCGAGAAGATCTCGGGTTCTTCGTCCGGAAGTGAAATCCTCTTGCTCTGCGCCTCGAGGTACTGGTCCCGGCACGCCCGTTCGAAAAAGGGCGACTGGGCTAGGACCTCCTCGTGGGCCGCGAACAGTCTTGCTTCTCTCCCGATCGTTAACGTGACGATAGGAGAGTTGAGGGTCCTCTTGGCGGGGAGGATCTCATCGATGGACCGCTGCAGTTTCGCTAGTTTCTGAGGATCCCGAACCTTGTTGGTGGTGGTGGTGGTATTGTTGTTGTTATTGTTGCTGTTGTTAGACTTCTTCAGCCTCGCCGACTTATCGACTCGGTCCCCGGACCGGAACGAGCGTTTGAACATTGCGGCGGCGGTTTTTCGGATAGGCGAAAGAAATCGAGACAGCGTCGTTTTGTTGTTGGAGTTTGGTTCGGGATGATAGATGAGGGAAATTTATCGAAAAATTCCCTCTTCTGAGTATAGATTGGCTAGAGAGTGACGAAAAGAGTGTAGAGTAATTTCGGGTTTCCGTGGACGTAGAGAGTGAAGGAGTTGGTGAGAGTTTGACGCACAAAAAAAGAAAAGGATTTACAGGAGTCCAGGCAGTCTATCCCAGAGTCAATTCGAAAAAGTGAACGAATGTATCTGGAGATATCCTCGAGGTAGCTTTGCGACCCTGATGGTTGTGGTGGGGGGGAGGGAGAACAAAAGGAGAAAGGAGGGCAGAAATGGGAGGGGGGTGTTGGTGATATTTATATTTCTATTCTATATTTTAGCCGCATACCCTCCATTACGGAGTACGGATTACAGGGAGGGGAGGGGACTTGTTCAATTCAGTCTTAATTCAGTCTTCTCCTGTGCTGTGCTGTGCTGTGCTGTGGTAAACCTGTTCCCCCAAGCCGCCATCCCACCCACCAATTGCCAATCCATGACAGCGCGGCAAGGAAAGACCCTTGACCCCTGACCTGCATGTTGATTCGTTAGGTTAGACCTCATATCTCCGCCCCGATTTGCGTTTATGGCGCCCTGCTGCAGATAATATGACATTGATACGTTCAGTGGATAGATTGCTGGTCAACTTGCGAATCTTGGTCAGCTGTGGTACTTCCCCGGAGACTTGGTTCGCCAGGCAATAAACATGTAGATGCAGCATGACAAGTCACCATCCCCTGTTCTGCCTAGGTCTCCGCGTTCCCGCCTCATCGTGGGTGCGACCCAGGTCGCCCGGGATAATGACTCCAGCAGTTCGGGAGGGGTACGTCGTAGAAGAACCGGACGAGTTAGCACGTGGCGAGGGTTCAATGTGAGGCATGGTGATGATAGGAATATCTCCGATAATTTGTCTTAGTACCTATCAAGTATAAAGATCATACGGATGGAAGTGATCCTATGATAATAGAATGGCTGTATCTTGATATTGTATTCATAGCGCGGGCAAATAGATTCTCAGCGATGATCTCACCAAATCCTCGCGGCTTTGTTCGGTCGAATGAGATAGACGGCGAGACGCCAACTTATCATATTGCAGTTCATCGCAGTTCACTGCAGCACACTGCCTCGAAGCTTAATAGTTGGCGCGCTTCTCTTCGTGCCTCGGGCGAATAATCGTTTACCCACGATGCTTCTCGCTTAAGATCGAAAACGTGTAAAGCAGACAGGAACGAGTTGAAATGTTTCGTTTAGCGTGGGCGGCGTGGGCGGCGTGGGCGGCGTGGGGTTAGCATAGTGGTCCGAAAGGTTGGGTAGGACACGACAGGGATTCTTGGCATAGATATGTACGTCAATATCGTAATAACGTATCATGCATGCATCTAAGTATAATATGTAATATGTAAATATACAATATTTTCGGGCAGCACTTCGATGGCCATCGTCAACCTATCCGGTTCCTATTCACATCTTTGGGCAGGTACCTTAGGTATATTCGAACTCCATTCTCACAATCAAACTCTGTCTTCTTTAAACGCGGTTCATAGGTCATGCTAGGTATGTATGGTTAATCTACTACTTCCTTTAGGTTGACATCCAGTAAGCCAAGAGGGCGCCTAATCTCTGGTCCTGATAGCCATCTATAATACTCATACTTGACACGAGTATCTTACTTATGCAAAATAATACCAATCTCGTCTAATTCTGGTGAACTATGCAGTCGGAGCATATCCTTAACCCAAAAGAGAAGAGCGTCTTGCTTAGCAAGACGAATCGTGACGCACCGCCGTGATTGTCTCGCGCATGGCGATTAATCCGTACATGTACGTGAAAACTGCCATTGAACTGCTATTAGTATTTCTTCGTTGAAATTGTCATATTTTAGTGTTCTTACTTCCTGGAGATATCGCGACAAAAGCGATACACGCCGCGATGATGGCTTCCGGCACTTCTATGATCTCAGGGTCTAGGAAGAAAAGCCCCGAGTGTCCTGTGACTAGTTTGCCGAACCCTGACCAGGCGAGATACGCACCGCTACAGAACGTAACTCCGATCGCGTGACATATAATAGGCTATTTATTGATTTTCAGTTAGTAATATGCTACGATGATGAAAATGCCAAACATAACACTCACGGTTTGTCGGCGAATGCTATTGAGGAAGCAGATTTCAACCAATGCGATAACCGTTGTGATAGTCCAGACGTTGATGATACTGAATATGTTGATCGGGGCTTGGTCAAAGAGTCCCTTGTCTTGTTGTCGTCATTAGCACTTATATCAATCAGCAGGGAAGATAGTCGTTATTCGGCATACCTGGATGGTGCCTGATTGTCTCGGTATCGTTGTTATATGGCGGATTCTGGGGGTGATACGGTAGCGTTGGCGCTTTGAAACCGCCATGCCCAGAGGGAACGAGACAGCCCCAATAGATCAGCGTATTCATGATGGGGAAGACGTGAGCAATCGTATAGTATAAGCTAAACCAGTACCGGCGGACGGGACAGGTAGCTTTATTCGGCGGTGATAGGAAACGGAGACAGTAAGCCTTGAACTTGTGCCCATCACATTCGTTGGAGTCTATCTCAATTGCCTTCGGGGAAATGAGATGCATAGCGGTCCAGATCTAATTGCCACACGTATTAGCATAGTTGTAAATTGGAGGACTGGTATCTCAAGACATTGGCAAAACTGACCGTCACCTGCAGATGCCATGCCTATTGCATACAGAAGGAGACAGTCGAGAACTGGAATAGGATGCGCCAACAAGTATGCTCGTCTTCGGTCTCGAGCTTATACTTGAGCGATACTCCGAACACGAGTGAGAGGTAGGCGGTGATAACGAAACGGAGAAATATGAGGAACTTCTGACTGATGAGTTGACAAGACGAATGGCACGCCCGAAGGTAGATACACTGCTAAAGATTAGAACCTCTTCTTAGATAGTAGTGAGAGGAATTAAGGAGTGTAATTTACATGACTATCCGATTGGCCTGGGTAGCTAGACTGGCTAGGATAGCTGGGATGGCCCGGCTGTCCTGGGTGACTTGGCTGGCTAGGATGACTGGGTTGGCCTGGATGACACGGAGGCTGGTCTGGATGGCACGAAGACTGCACCGGATGTGAGAGCAGCGGTGTTCTGTCTGTCGCTTCTGACATGGTGGAGATGAGAATATGAATACTTATGTAGGCTCAGAGGTGTTAGTAGGTAATGTTGATCGAAACGATGATCGAATAGTACAGAACAGTCCTGTATCCTCGACCCAGAACAAAGAGGTGTTATCAATAGAATACTTAGCATCGAGGCTCAAAAGGAGAATGCATACGAAGAGGTAAACGATTGAGGATGAATGGGAATGGGCGAAAGAGATAAGGTAGGAGATGAAGTCTAGATTGATAGCTGGGGGGAAGAATGGGAAATGGAAAGTATGTCCAGTATTAGATATGCATCATTAGATGGTGAAGGAGCACTCTCACTATAGCAAAGGCAACAAGTCGGCTCGACTTGCCTTATCGATGTGTTAGTAATGACGCGAAGGTACTATCGAACTTATATATCAGACATTGAAGCTCTCAACTAATCTTAATAAGTATCGACGTACCCAAGAGCTAAGTGGACCTCCTATAACATTCCTGCCTAAACAAGCCAAACTAACGTATACGCCGAACCTTATTGGCCAGCCCATCTTCCAACCCGTTTACAGCCCGGAAACCAATGAAACAGCCGCCTCTTATCGATAGCGATAGCGCTCACAAGCCCAAGTTAAGGCCACTTTCACCTGAGAAGCTCCGACGTCTCATTCGCAGCTCCAATTGCATTGATCCATTAAGCTGGCCTCAAAATCTTCGAGGCCAGCACCGAAAGCCTCACCACCAGACCTAACATATCCCCGATAAGAAAGAAACGAGAGAAAAAAAAAATGTTGTCAGGGCTTCAAAATCCCCGGCAAGCAGCCGCCCAGCTGTTGAATTTCGGCTTAATCCTTTCCACCGCATTCATGGTACGTCTATCAACCTCTCCTCGAACCCATTGTCGCACGTCGCACGTCGCACGTCGCACATCCCAACTAACTCCCCTCTCTCGCAGATGTGGAAAGGTCTCTCCGTCTTTGCCGATTCCCCCTCGCCCATCGTCGTCGTCCTCTCGGGATCCATGGAACCCGCCTTCCAGCGCGGCGACCTGCTCTTCCTCTGGAATCGCAACATACTAGCCGAGACGGACGTAGGCGAGGTGGTGGTCTACAACGTGCGAGATAAGGAAATCCCCATTGTCCACCGCGTGGTGCGCAAGTTCGGTACCGGCGCCCACGCGCGCCTGCTCACCAAGGGCGATAACAATGCCGCTGACGATACCGAGCTATACGCACGCGGCCAAGACTACCTCGAGCGTAAGGATATCATCGGCAGCGTATTTGCGTACATCCCCTTTGTAGGATACGTCACTATTATGCTGAGCGAACACCCCTGGCTCAAGACCGTCATGTTAGGTATTATGGGTTTGTTAGTTGTGCTGCAGCGGGAATAGTCATATCTACAAGAAAGGGGGGCGTCTGGAAAAGAACACCTAATTTCGGCTTGTGATTTGGGTTTAGAGGCTATCTTCTCAAATAAAGGATTTACTGACTACCTAGCTAATGAAATTCTTGGTTCAACTAAGGTCGTGACTTATACTAGGATGAAGACTTGATATTCTTAAAACGCTGGCTACCTAGGTATTCATCTAAGCACTCTCTATCTTTACAGAATCACTCGCGAAATATAGTCGTTTTTACAGGTCACCACAGCTTCGGCAGCTAGATACGAGGAATGAATAGATTCCGTGAAGACGACTGTCTATGGGTATTCTCCAACCGATTGAACATGTCTTGTAACCTTACAAGTCCTTTCCCTGCGCTCCAAGCCTGTTCTCACTTGGACGTAAGGCCTGCGTAGAATCCATACACTAAAATACACAACCGCAGCGCTAAAAGATGTGCCGATTAGGATCGACATCATCAGATCTAAAAATACAGCTTGCGGGCTCATATGCAATATCAGCTCAGCTAGCTTTCAACCGTAATCGTTCTCGACTACCTAGTAGTATTCCTCATCTCCGTATTCGTCTCCGCCGTAGTCTCCTTCGTCATACCCTGTTTCATCGTAATTTGGTTGTTCCTGATCATCGTAGTAGTCGTTGTACGTCTCTTCTGCGACTTGCTCTTCTACCTCTTCATTCCCGTCTTCTACGCCCTCGTCGTTGACGGCTGCCTCGGGTGCTGTTTTGCCGTTGGTCGCCACAACGCTCTCCGCACGACTTGCAGGGCCGCTTCCGTTGCGAGACGTTACCGATCCAGGTCCTCGGTCTTTGTCGCTGGTGAAGAGATTCTCGATGGCGTCATAGTTGATACGTCTTGAATATGTGTCCCGCTTCTTCAGCGCTTCGATGGCTGCCTCGCCCGGGGTAGAAGCAGGTGTGAGCTGGCCTTCGCCGATTCGCGGCTTCTTTACGCGATTGCGTTTCCGTTTCGGGGGGCCCAACTCCTCCATCTGCTTACGATAGATTATCTCTTGCTTCTTTCGCAGCCAATCCTTGTTCGCGTTAATCCATATGCTCTCCTTGATTTTTACTTCCTCGGGGGATAGCTTGCAGAACTGGACCTCGGGGTCGTCGGCAAACTCATCCTCGCCGATGATTTCGTCCATATTCGTCATCCGCTGCGGGAGAAGAGAGCGCGCCCACTCTGCTTTGATGTGCGCGAGATGTGCAGCAGTAGCTAGGGCCTTGCCGTGTTCGTCGCTGTGCGGGTCGTTGATTACCTCGTTGATCTGCTGTTCCAGTACGGCCTCGTCGCGCTCCCATTCGTCGTCAAAAGTGAGTGATGGTTCGGCAGATCCCTTCTTGCGACCGCGCCGCCGAGTTCCTGATTGCGCCGGTGCTTCCTCTTCATCTTGAGCCTCGCCTTCGAGCTGGTCGTCCGAAGCGCCGTACGTAGCTGCTAGCCCATCCACTGCATTATCATCCTCTGGGTTTTCAGCCGCGAGGCCCTCTACAACATCCCTATCTGCGCTCTTCCGGGGAGCGGGCTTCGGAATCTTCTCCGGGTCGAAAGGGGCAACCAACTCTCTACCCTCGGAGTTATCGAAGGATCTTGGTAGGTAGTCTTTGACTTGACGCATCCTAGAGGTGTCCGGGTGTGGGCGAGGTATTGGCGGCGGCGGCATTTCGGTTGAGGGCCTCGGCGTGGCAGCAGAGCTGTCGGGCGCTGGTGTTCCGGCATTCGAACTTGACTGGTCGTCCTCGCCATCGATGTCTTCGATCGCACGCTTCCTCTTTCTAACTCTGCCCTCCTTTTCCATCTTCTCTTGCCATTCCGTGGTGGATTTGTAGAATGCCGGCGGGTCATGGCGGGACTCGAGAAACTCTTGGTTCAGGAAGTCCTCGATAGACAGTTCACTACTTTCCGTCACAGTGAATTCGTCGAGACGTTGTTCGATCGTATGCGTCGTGACCTTGACAACATAAACGATCTCTCGAACGGTACGCCTAAAGTTCCACATGCGTGCCGCCATAAGAATACAAGCTCCGCAGATGCCAGAAGGCCGGCGGCCCATAACCATCCAGTCACGACCCATTCTCTGGCATAGCCTAGTTGCATCAGCTGCGACCTTGTTGGTAAAGTCACCAAAATCGAGCTTTGAGCAAAAGCGATATATAAGATCTTCCGGAATGATCGACTTGACATTGTTGCTCTGGAAGGAATAGATATTGCTGAGGTCCTTGAAGATATGGCCAAGTTCATAGACATTTACCTAGACATTGTAAGTAAAAGAAAATAGAAATATGATATATCGCAGAATACTTACGTGAACAAGCTCAGCAAAATCGATAAGCATAACCTTACAACGATCCTCTCTGCGACAAGCAGTGTAAAGGCATACGGGTACCACTTTATCCATTCCTCGTCCCTGGAGCCAATTTTCCTCCATGACAAGCTTGAAGATCTGGATGCCGGCATCTACAGCGTTTGGAGGAACTTCCTTAAGCTGATGTGCAAAGCCTACCATCATATTCTTGGCTATAAGCCAAAGTTAGCTGAACAGCCTTCGATATATTTCGTCTAAAATTAGACATACCTTCGCGAATGGTCTTTTCCCGAGCGTCCGTGAGACTACCGCCGAGTCGTCTATATTGCGAGCCCAAGTTCCTAGAAGCACTCCCCTGATCGGCCCCGACAAAACTTCCGTGGACGACAGCAGCACCGGATGAGTTTTCGCCGAACTGGACTTCAGCAACGATGTTGGAAGAATCGATTTCGCGGCCACAAGCAGAACAGAAGCCGTCAGTAATTGGTGCTAACGGGTTAGAACAGTTGGGATTTGGACAAGGTTGCCGATCCGAGGAAGGTTTGTTTTGTGAAGTGGGTGGTGTCATAGGCGTAGGACTCATTCCCATGCCCATGGCCCTCATTTGGTTTCGTTGTAAAACCTCTTTGATGCGATCGCCAGGTCCAACTCCCCTGGGTCTGAACTGGACGCCAGTCTTCCGCGAAGACACCTTCGCGGATTTTAGAAACGATGACATGACTTGTAAATATGGTATAAGAAGGCGTATAAGTGAATGGGTATAAGTGATTTATAAGGAAGCAGTCGAATTGATATCGTAATCCAGCGATGTAATCCCCTGTTGGGGGACTTACTGGGTGTAAGTTGCTTGCAGTCAAAGGCTGGGGGATGTAGTCGGAAAAAAAGACGACTGCGGATTTTAGTGGATCACCAAGTTGGAAAGAACCTTGGGAAGTTGTGTGGTCAAGGGGTGTGATGTCCAAAGTTAAGAAGGGCGCTAAAAAGATTCCACCTAACTTCGCTAAATTTTAGCTGACTCATCATCGCTTTCAACTACAAACAAGTTACGGTTCGAATTCAGTTGGGGACGAGATTAGAGTTTGGTTTTTATCTTCGGCTTTAGGTACATTAGCGTGTGGGGGAAGGCGGGGGTCTCTTGACATATGTAGGTAGGTAGTGTCAGTACATAATACATAGTGAGAAGGTGTGGACATAAGGTACGTAACAGTCAGAAGCCAGTCCCCTAGTTGATTGGCTAATATACATGTATAACATAATCATCTTCGGGGGTGGTCGTATCTAAAATAAGGATGACCAGTTGGCCCTCATTTGGGTTCGTTGCAGAACCTCTTTGATGCGATCGCCAGCACCAACTCCCCTGGGTCTGTACACGATTATATCTCGCTGGGATTGTTTTTAAAATACTGATATATTGGGAAAGAGTGGCCTTTCAGATATTGTCGCCAATGGTACGGATTAGTCACGGTCACCTAATCGATATACCTATGTCACATACGAGACTATGTATGTCAGGTCATCGCCACCACCCAAGGGTCAAATAATGTTAAAAAGAATAGAAGGCCCTGTAATCGAATAAAGAACCTTGAAGATATCATATGGCACACAGCAACAGTATAGGCATGTGCAAAAGTCAATTGAAAAGATTACGTTGAATTAGATACTACTATTACGAGATTACGGGTTACGTGTTTTACTATTACGCTACGAGGTCATTACGAATTACGAATGTTTACTGTATTGCAGTATATAGACACCAGGCCTTTAACATGTATATACCTGAGGCTGACATTATGTTGAATATCTGACATCGTGGTGGATATACCTGGCTACCTCCTGGACATCGTCACCAGGCCTGGTAATTACGGCGAAATAGATAGCACCTGACATAAATCCTTTGACATACTGTCTATTAGTACTGACTTATAAGTTACTGGCTTGTAAGTAGCTGCAATGCAATCGGTGCAATATAACAAGTTTTGCAGACATTATATTTACCTGTTGACATAGTCATGAAGGCCTGTACGGGTTAATTGACACCTTTGCTGAGACAATGTCAATAGATAGATCCCCTACCCGCTAATGTACATACGACTTAGCCTAATTTCTTGTAAGTCTACCTAGGTAGGTACTGAATTACATAGTACGAATACAATATACAATGATAGCAAATCGAAATATTAAAATGATTTTAACCCGAAATTTTGATGGGATGAAAATGCTTGAATGAACTGAAATCCACCTTATATACATATATTTCACACTTAAATGATACTTGTTGCATTCATGATTCATGCAACTAAGAGATATTTATGAAATCTTAAGCTGTCATCCTGTGTCGTCATATCAATCACCAGAGCTTAAACTACAACATCTCCAAGCGCAGCTAACTCCTATCAAATAAATCTCGTATTAAAAAATGGACGGCCTTGACGAATTCGAAAAATCCCTCGCCGCAGAGAAAGCCGAGAGGGAACGCGGAGACGAAAAAAGACATAAGAAGCACAGACATCACCGACGAGATCGATCATCCGAACGCGACCGCGATAATCACCGCCATAGCCACCGTAAGTCGCACGATCATCACGAGGAAGAAGACGACGACGGCCATCGACACAAACGGTCGCGTCACTCTAAAGATGATGAGCGACACCGTAGACACGAACATCATAGAGATGACAATCGCGATTCGGACAGACGGGATCGCCACGTGAAGACCTCAGACGCGAAAGAAGATCTACCACTGCCTGACGAAGAGCTAGCTACAGAAGACTATAAGAAGCCAGAAGGAGCTACATCAAACCTAGTTCGAGATTCCTGGATGACGGCGCCGTCTGCGCTGGACATTGATTATACTCAGAAAGGGTCAAAACTCTCTAAACCTCCACCACCGCCCAGCCAGGCGCCACAGAGGGAAATTCACAAGAGAGAGATCAACGCAGTACATCTACAGGAATTGAACAGCGGGAAATCCGTAGAGGATCTTGAGCTGCCCGCACAGCACGAAGTCGACTACACATTCGGCGATGGCGGGTCCCAGTGGAGGATGACCAAATTAAATGGTGTTTACAATACGGCCGAACAGACCGGGAGGACTGTGGATGAAGTGGCATTAGAACGGTATGGTAACCTGCGGGACTTTGATGATGCGCGCGAGGAGAAAATCGAGGTAGACCGACGTAAAGTATATGGCGATGGTTATGTCGGCAAAGAGAAGCCCAGCGGGGAGCTGTTCCAGGAGAGGAAGTTGGGTCAGAGCGTTCATGAAAACCGAGAAACCTCGCCGGCGTCGACGAGCCTTGATCAAGGCGCAGTTATTCCCGATGATGCATCAGCTCACGTATCTACCCAAATCGACCAGACTACGCTCAATCGGCTCAAAGCACAGATGATGAAAGCAAAGTTGAAGAAGGCGCCAGATGCTGCCAAGCTGGAAGCCGAGTACAACCAGGCCGCCGCAGCATTCGCATCAAAGGGTCCAGGAGCAGTTGTTCTCGGCGTCATGGAGAATCGCATGTTAGCAGGAACACGCGGCGAGGCCAAAGCTATCGAAAATAAGCGAGGCCGCGAGAGGGGGAATGTAGAGCAAAACGATGACATGACGATAGAGGATATGATCCGGGAGGAACGGCGAACACGAGGACAGGCGGGAGGAGAAGGGTTGCGACTAGCTGAACGAATCGCCAAGGATGTTAAATTCGACGATGATCTCGAATACATGGACGAAAATGCCGAAAAGCTAGCCAAGCGCGTGCAGAAATCCGAGATCAACCTCAAGAACCAGGCCGTTGGCGAGTTTCAGCGGATCAACAAAATCCTAGATAACTGCCAGCTCTGCCATCACGAGGACCGCAATCAACAGCCCATCGCGCCTATAGTTTCGTTGGCAACGCGAGTCTATCTGACACTATCTACGGAGCCTGAGCTGAGCGAGGGGGGCGCCGTTATCGTTCCCATCCAGCACCGGACGAACCTGTTAGAATGCGACGATGACGAATGGGAAGAGATCCGCAACTTTATGAAGTGTCTCACGCGGATGTATCACGAACAAGGTCGAGAGGTTATATTCTACGAAAATGCGACAGCGCCTCATAGGCATATGCATGCCGCCATGCAAGCTGTTCCTATCCCGTACGATTTAGGTGATACCGCGCCAGCCTTTTTCAAGGAGGCGATGCTCACGACGGACGAGGAGTGGGCGCAGCACAAGAAGATCATCGATACGGGAAAGCGAGCTCGAGAGGGGCTGGGCAAGTTAGCATTTAGGAGATCTATTGCTAAGGAAATGCCATATTTCCACGCGTGGTTTACTTTAGACGGAGGCCTGGGTCACGTAGTGGAGGATTCTAACAGGTGGCCTAGGGGTGATCTATTCGCAAGGGAGATCCTGGGTGGTATGTTAGACGCGGAGCCGGACGTGATCAAGAAGCAGGGACGATGGCACAGATCTGATAATAGGGTGGAGGGGTTCAGAAAGCGCTGGAAGAAGTTTGACTGGACCAGAGTGTTGACTGACGGGTGAGATTCTTGGGTTGTCTATGAAATGGGACAACATGCTGGTGGTGCTATACGGAGACGAAGGCGTACACGAAAGGAGTAATCCCTGTAAATCAATATGTGGAGACACACAAGGGACATCCTCCTAACTGCTCAGCTGCCAGATGCCCCGCTTCAGCTTGTGTTACATGAGGGATTGTTCCCCAGGGAGGTACCTTATCGACGATGATATCACTGTTTGCTGTGTATGATTACGATAGCTCTTAACCGAAACTATTATTGAACCGACTTTGCGGCCTCAAAGAACAACCCAATTACCTAACCTAAGACAGTTTCTATCTGCAGGTCCCTGCAGCCTAAAGATTCCCATGTACCTTGGTGACACGATACAAACGGTTTTGTCATTTATCCTGTCGAAATCATACCTATGTAATTCGTAATCCTTTCCCCTGCCAGCTACCAGTCACCACCAACACCACCAACACCACCAACACCACCAACACCACCACCAACACTACCAACACCAGTTCCAACCATACTCCCAACATCTACACCTACCCATTCCAAGTCGCCACCCAGACCCTCTACCGCGATGACTTCCTCGCAAAAGCGCATAGGCAAGGTAGGTAATTACACCATCCATCCACCCATCCCATCTATACCCAATTCCCATCCGAACATGTCATCTAACCGTACCTCCCAACCCAGGAGCTCCAAGAATGCACGTCCTCCCCCCCAACCGGCATGGTCGTAACGCTCCCCTCCGAATCCGACATCCACCACTGGACCGCGACCCTAGCCGGGCCCCCCGGCACCGTCTACAGCGGCGGCATATTCGCCCTGTCCATCGTCCTGCCCGCCGACTACCCCTTCAAAGCACCCCTGGTCACCTTCGCGACGCGCATCTACCACCCCAACGTGACCAACGATAGCGTCGGGTCCATCTGCCTCGGCATGCTCAAGCCCGAGAACTGGAAGCCCGCTAGCAGGGTCCGCGCCGTCCTCGACGCCGTGCGCCAGCTCCTCATCGAGCCCAACCCCGACGACCCCCTCGAGCCCCGCATCGCCGACGAGTACAAGAACAACCTCCGCGAGTTCGAGAAGACGGCTCGCAGCTACGTTACCCGCTATGCCCAGCAGCCTGCTAAGAAATAAGCGGCTGCGACTTAGATATCCGGTAGTTGGTAGTTATCTGATAGTGCGGCTGAGAGAGAGAGAGAGAGAGAGACAGGTGGGGGGGACTGTTTGTCGGACAGATAGATACCCCATTTTCCCTTCGACGAGTGAGGCACCTAGGAATAGTTCTCGTGGGGATGGTGGTTACATTTAGATGCAGGGAAGGGAGAAGTTACCTGTGAAGACATCACGAGCAGACGCAAGCTCGCATGGCTACCCTAAGTAGTTACGACGAGACTAAAGTCCGAAGGCTAGGGTCGTTCAAAACCCACCATTTTCCTACACCATTTTCAGAAATGTATTTATGGACAAGGCAGGAATTAGGCATGGTAACATTATGGGAAACCTCACGATTCATGAAAACAGATATTCGACACGTTAGAAACACCTCGCAAATATAGCGAGATAATTACGATAACTAAGCTAATCACTAACAAGGTTATTTGATGTTCAACGTATCTGTTGTATTGATCTTTGGAGCAAATGCTATGCTTCTGCTAGCCGGATTCCCCGGATTTCCTGGCTATGGTTTGCGTGTTCAGTGAATGCATATAATGCGCCGCCATTCGATGCTATATAACCTGCCCCTTTGAAATGCAGTATGCTCTATCTAGTTTTTCCCGAACCTTAACAATGCAATCATATGGATAGGCCCATTGATGGTATCCATATTACCCACGCCAAATCAGTTTGGTTTACATGTTTCTTGTCCTCCCGAATAATACGAGGTCTCTGAGACTTCCAGCTCTGCCCCGTCGGGGAACGAGAGCGTAGGAATCAGTCGGCCTCTAATGAAATATAACCTGTATCCATTCCCTTATACAAATGAACTTGTTCTGTCCAGGCTACGAACACAAAGGTAAAAGCATCGTCTGCTTCCTATCTCTTATGATATTCCTCCGCTGGAAGAAAAAACTGTCGTATCATGAGATTTCGTCAATGCCTGTCCATGCTGAAAATGAAATAAAGAGACGCCATGATAGACAAAACGTAAGATTGCAGATTCCCGCTGCGTATGAAAGTGGTTTTGCTGTCACAACCCGGGTGCTTCGGGGTTGTCTTGTCGTCTGGCCGTGGTAGGCGACCAGAATTGGCAAAGGAGATCTGCCCTGGTAATAAAAACGACGGCGCGGGTGGTAGATCAGTTCGCCGTGAGCTCGACTCCGTTATCTACGTCGGCCGAAAAGGTTGCCCTTCTTCTTGAAGTCTGAATCTATCGAGACGATATTGCCCGTTTGCTTTTCTCTCTCGGCTTTGACTTGAACCCGTCTTTCTTGCCTCTTTTGCTCCACCGTTTCTTGGCTGAGATGGCCGAAACCGTTACGACGCTTGAAGCAGGCTTCTATCAAACCGTTGGCGTCGATAAGCCTGCGAGGAATCGTCTGCACTACCTGGAAGATCTCCATAGGATCTCCCACGCCCCTGATTTCGTTCTCGCCGATCTTGAAGATTGCCAGAGCGATTCGAAACAGCGTTTTGGATCCCTCGTAGAAGAAGACGTCCCATACGCGTAAAGTACTCTCGATGGGCAAAGTGCCGATGTAACAACTCATAAACCAAGCGGTCATACAAAGGGTAATAGGCGGAAGTCGAGTCGTCTCGGCCCGATGTCTGTGCCTCCAGCTCTTTGACCAAACGACATCCGTACCGTCCAGCTCGCCTCCGATCTTAGCCCAGACGTTGGGCATAGATTCCCTTAACGAGGACATGAGCACTCCGAGATCAACATTCGCGCCCTCGAGGCTGGTTTCGTGCGTCCCGGGAAGATACACTCGGGCTATGATATTTAGCAACCAGAAGGCGTGTTCCTCGCTTTCTACGAAGAGCAGGAGTAAGCCCGCTAAAAAGTTGAGCGACTGGCAATATCCGATCTTGGGATTGTATATGGCAAAGGCGTGCAAGACACGGCGTAGCGATACGATCATCGGCTTCTCGACGACGGGGATGATGCCCTCGGTCTCTTTCGCGAGCGCTTGTTGGCTGCTATCGGAGAGGGAAACAGGGCCGGAGCGAAATTTGATGTTGTCGGGAAACGTACGGTGCAAGTCGCGTTCGATAGCCTCGACGTCCACGTTCTTAGCTTTTTGCTTCAAAAGGCCATCGTACAGGCCGGCATGCTTCGCAACAACAGCAGGCCCCCCGGCGTAATAGAACCAAGCAGCGCCCCTCCAATCGGGAGGTATTCCCTTGCGTACAAATCGCTTCGTCTTGTTAGATCGAGGAGGGAACCGGTTAGGATTGTCAGTCATCAACCCATGCTCCCTAAGAAAGGCGATCCACTTTTTCCGCCTTCTCTCTAGATACTCGGTATATCCTTGGTTCCAGTTGTCGTATTGCTCCCGGTCGACGTACTGATTACTCTTCCGAAACCCGTAGCGATCCCGCTCGTCGTCGTCCTCCGCGATAGTCGACACGGTCGGGTGGCGCGAGGGGGGTAAGGGGCTATAGCCGTCCTCGGTATCATCTTCAGTCTCGGCGCCGGCATCCGCATCTGCATCCATGTCGATTAATATATTAACTGCCTCGTTATCCGTTTGAGTGGAATTCCGAGCAGAGTTCCGAGCAGAGTTCCGAGTAGAATTCCGAGTGGAGTTGCGAGTGGAATTGCGGGTGGAATTGCGGGTGGAATTCCGAGTGGAATTCCGAGTAGAACGGGAATCCAAATGGGTGCTCTCCAATATCTCAGGCATCTCCTCGGGTATTTCTTCGAACATCTCCCCAGGTCCTTCCTCAGACACTTCCTCGGATATATCTCCGGGTACCTCTGCGGGTAAGGAATCGTGTGTGTCAAGGTCGTGAGAAATGGAAATAGAGTCCTGCTCCATCTGGCCCGAGTCAGAGGTCGCGTCTGGCGATTCCGGGGTTGGTAGGAAGACGGTCATCGCGTCTAGCATAGCAGTCCTCCTCCTGCTTAATTCTGATTTTGCAGTGCCCGGCCTCGAGTCTACCATCTCGTTGTTGTCCTCGGGAGCTGAGTCGTCGTAGAAGCCCTTCTCGTACATTCCCATTATATCGTTAATACTAAGCGAATCATCGGCCATCCCGTAGATCGAAGTTATAGAACTGTTCTTAGTCGCGATGCTACTCCTCTCAGTTGCTACTGTCCCCTGAGCCGTGGATGCCGAGAGTTGGGATCGATAACTTGATCTGAGCTCCTCGCTCGGCAAGGATGCCATTCGATGGATGGGATCCCTGGAGAAATTCGGCCCCGTACTTTCGGCACGGTTGTACGATAAGGGGAATCGGGTAGGTGGAGGGTATGGCTGTCGGCCTCTGCTCCGAAGATGCTCCCGACTGTGCATCTCAGGAGGAGGTCGCCCGGGAACAGAGGAAAAGGTAGCAGCAGAAATATTGGACGAGACGGATTGGCCGCGTTCTCGCGTCCATGATAGAGGATGGCTGGGTGAGATGTCGAGATGGCTCGGTTCGGCGGGAAGGTGATTAGCAGCCATGGAGCGAGGTGATTCGTTGTAAGGCTGTTTGATGCTTGGTTTTCGAGGCCTCGAGAAATTATCTACGCGTGGTGTTTCGGGAGTGTTCATCTTGACGGGTAACGAGGGGAATTCATCTCTTATTTCGGAAGCAAAGTGCAGCTCGTCGGTCGCGTTGGAGGATCTGCTATGGAGGCTGCTGACGGCCGGAGACGTAGGACTGAGAGTCGCAGAGCGGTCGTAGCCCAGAGAATCCCACCGAGGGGACAATGGGGAGTTTGGTAGCGGTGGTATTCGAGGCGAGTGATCCTCTATGGTATGACTAAAATGCGAGTAGGAAGTAAGGACGGTAGATGAGATAGAATGGGCAGTGGAAGGAGAAGTCCAAGGGGCGTTTGTGGTAGTTGTTGAATCTTCGAAGTCATTGTCTTCATCGGCATCGTAGCCATCTTTGTCTTTGTCGCTGTAATGATGACTGAAGTTGCTGGCGTTGGGGAAAATTGGACGAACCGGGGTGTGTTTCGAATCCTGGGCTCTTGAAGCATGCAGGCCAAATTCTTGGAACTTCATGCCGCGCTCAGGTCTAACACCAACCCTAGCGGATAATACGTCTGATCTCAAGTCTGATCTCAAATCTGATCTAGGGTTAGGTTGCGTCACACCTCTAGCACTTCCGGGCTTTCTATGTCGTTGTTGAATATCATATGTCATTGCATCAGGACCGTCTTGTTGCGAATTGTCGGCCATAGTTCTAAACGTTCGCGCCATTGGCCTGCGGGCCAAGCAATCTAGAACGCCGGTAGCTCCCCTAACAAAAGAGTAGCTCCCCTATGCGATTCCCACAGCTAGGCACAGCTAACAGCTAGGCGCAGCTGGGAACCAAGCAGGCTGATACAACGCAGCGTTAAAGTGGATTTTGCCTAGGCATAAAGATGATCTTAACTCCAACCTACAGTAGGTTACCTTTCCGGTTGCAGAAACGAAACAATAACGAACGAGGTCCAACTGGACGAGTATTGAATTAGGAATCGGGTATGCACGCACGGGCTACGGGCACCACCCCTAGTTACCCTCGTGACCGATATTCGAGACAATAGGGAGGAGATCGATCGAACGAATGAGATGGTCGGGGGAGAGGGATGTTGAACGAATGTTGTTTAAAAGCCTCCTGACATCTACAGGAGAAAAGAAGGTGATGCGAGATAATTGATGGGATTCAAGTTCGTTCCATACCGGTGGCGGCTGCTTTATCGACGTGTTACAAGTAAATGAGACGTGCTGGTTCTCTCGAGTATCTAATGCGTCGTCCCGTGCGTTGGAGTCAAGATTGGAGAAGGACTCGGATTAGGTGAAGGTGAAGCCGACGTAACGAGACGGCGGGATGGGTTCCGTAAATGTTTGGCTAAGCCAGAAGAGTAGGCCAAATATTATTGTGCTTTCCATCCAGAATCTTTAGTTAGTCCCTACGATGGAGACGAAATGATGGGCTATGGAAGGGTATATTGTTTTTGTTTGGTGTCTTATTGTCGAAAATAATTGAACGAGAAGAGACACCAATAATCTGGAGATTGTATTGGAGATTGTACAATACCTAGGTATGTACTTTAAGGTAAAGTTACCTCCTAAGGTTAGGTACCTCTTTGCCTAAGGCATGCGGGCAGCATGCAGCATAGGTAGCACGCAGGTACGAGGTACAAAGATCGGCAATGACTGGAGTGGATGCTGTAAGTATTTTTACAGCCGGTCGGTGGCTTCCGTCGGTGACCCAAGGTACAATACCTTTTTTAATTCGGTAATTCGGTTTAGGGATATAGCTATCGACTATGGGCACGATTGCATTTGCATATGTTTCGTCGAGTCGCTTCCCGTTGGTGCAGCTGTGGTTCTTTAAAGGTAGGTAGGTAGGTATTGCACCTAAAATATATATAGTTATATATATATAAGGTTTCGCTTAGTTAGGTGAACCAAGCAATAAGACAGCATTAAGCTCATAACCGCCGGTCGTCTCGAGAACTACCAACAGCAACAGGTTCCCATAAACAAAGATGATGAATCACATTCAGATCCGAAGAGAGAAAATTTTAGGAATGAAGTTTCTTCGATTCGGTGGAATCCATCGAAAATATCTAAGTTTTCTTCTGATCAAATCCTCCGCTCATGCCGTGGGTATCGCCCAGGTGGCAGACACTGTAATCGAAATTAGTCTTAGCGGACGCGGAACGGGTTGTGATCCGTCCAAGGAACAAGGTTGTTTAGCGGGTACCCAGCCGGCTCCTCTCATTGGCTAGCTTAGTTTTGGGAACAACAAAAAGGGTAACGAAAGAGAACATTAGAAAGAGCTGATTAGGCTGACATCATATACCTTGACCTGGGAAACATTGCAATTTCCCAACATCTGTTATAAACATGCCTAAGACATAGCAATACCTAATGTCACAAATGCCTGAGCTCGAGGACGAAGATGACCCGAGCTAACAATATTTCGAGTTCGTTAGCGATCCGAGCCCACGGTTGAATTGCTTTTATTGCCGCAGGTTATCTATTACCTACTTCAAAAGTGTCTCTGATAAACAGATTATAAGTCCTTTACGCTCATACATGAATCCTTATAAACACATGCATATGGCATATGTGATATGCTTGGAACATTATAATTGAGACATTAACACCATACCTAAATACCCAATGTTAAATGTTACGTGATACGTGATACGTGATTTATGGCCGGTGTTTTCGGACTTTCCTAATTGGAAATTTCAAAGCAAGATGGCTATATCAAGTAATCGCAAATTTTGCACATTCAAGTAACCTATTGGCTTAAGCTGAGGGACTAAAACAACCTGGTTTAGGGATTTCCGAGGCTATGGGTCAGGGGCACAGCTGAGCATCCTAGCGTTAGTAGCACATTTGCTGAGCAGCCGGCAGCTATTGTCCACTTTATTTAGCAACGTACATCCGCTATGCATGGGTTATGTTAGGTACATATGTAGGGCATGGATTATGGATTATGCAGGGGTGAGGGTAAGGGTGAGGGTGAGAGGTACGGTGGAATTTTTTAGACGAGCCGGTGAAGACGGGCGTCGGCCTCAACTACCTAACATACCTAACATATGAAGTACCTAGGTACAATACAATACAATATAATACATGACCTAACCTAGCGGAATCCGGATTTAACATCTTACAATGACAAATAACAGATCTTCATCTTACCATCTTACCATCTTACCATCATCAACAGTAACAACAAAATTTCCCATGATATTCAGCTCTAGGATCGTGTAAAAAGGGTTGCTTATCAACATTCTCAACGGAATCAACATGCATTCAACGCCTCGCCCGGTAGCTTTACGGTTTCTTCAACAAAGAACACAATCTACCCACGATAGTATGTGTTACTTTGGCTATTATGAAGCGCTATTTGCAACGCCTCCGTTTTATCTGCTGTGATAGCAGTCTAGTAGCAGTCTGCTCGAAATTGGATATTCAACGCGTGTTTACGCGTTTCCTTGGCTCCTTAGCCCTTTTCGCTATAGGTTCCATCGTGATGCGCACGCCAATCAATATCACAATCCGTTGCCAAAGTTGTGCTGATTAGGTACAATACATACTTTTCCTCTCTTGGAAATGCGGCGGGACAGTCTGTCCGATCTCCGGTTAAGGGAAACATATCCGTTGCGACCGTGAAATTTTATTCAGGTTCTGCCATGGGACTATACACATATACCTACTATATACCCAGGACGATAGGTTCCTCTCGTATGTCGCATCGATTGTGTCGCTGGCTAGCAAATATACGTACATACCTCTCTACTTATAGTACATCTGAGCAAGGTGAGTACCAGAACCAAGGTAGGTAGGTATATTTACATTATCTATTTGACTCTCCACAGGTATATTCTAGCCATCTGCTAGAGAATTAGCCGTGGTGGGCATGTCGTCGACTTTGCATTATTCCCTCTCGCTCGTGGGTATCAAGAAAGAAATATAGACGCTCGCAAAAGGTTATCGTATGCGTTTCGAAGTTACATTACATGCGTAACATAGCATTAGGTACGCAGTAAGGCTGCGCATCCTAAACTCCTAAACTTCACGGTTAAACCAAGTGGCTTATGGAATGAGGGGGAGAGCGAGCAGAAGGGAAGAATGTGGCTGGGTTGTCTTAGGTCGGAGCTCTTCTCTCGCGAAATCGTCATCAATCAGTCAAATTGGCAGCAAAGTCGATTCTTTTTGAGCTTCCCGGACCCGATCGAGCCATGACCAGGATATGGCCCGGGTCCCACACCTACCTACTTGCTACTTGCTACCTTCTACGTGCTGAGCCTTAACTGACTTTGGTGGCTTCTTGGATGCGCGTGCTAGTCCATAATGACGGACACCCATCCTGCAACTAGGGGGTAGAGAAGCAAGAATGGGCATACGGTAACAAGCAGCAGCAGAAGCTCTCAGAGCTCCCCCGTCCGACCCCCTCTTCCCTCGCCCGTTCCCCCAAAAGCTCCCAGCTCCAAGCTTACCAGTCCCCTCCCCTCTCGCACTCTGCGCTCTACTCCCCCCCTTCCTAAGCAGCCTTTCCCCAAGCACAGCGGCCAGCGTTTCTCTCCCTACCACCCCAGCTCTCCCCCTTCTCTATCCTTTCTTCCATCCTTTTCTTTTCTCCTTTCCCATCTTTTTTCGTACGAATCTCATCCATAGTTTTCTCCTGTCCATCAATCCGCCAGCCCGCATTCTAATTTTCCATCGAGAATCCCTCCCCAAGCTTATTTCAAGTCCCAAAACAGTCCCAAAACATGACTTCTCGGAAGAGAAAGCAGGAGGAAGAGGAGGAAGAAGAGCTCGTTGCTCTACCCAGCGACGAAAGCGAAGAGGAAGAGGAATAGTAAGTTGTTCATTCTATTTCACCAGGCGATATCTTCATGGCCGCGCAATGTTGGAAAATTCGCCAAGGAAGGCTTCTCGTCGCAAAAGATGCGCCGGCGTCGCATTCGTCGTTGGTATCGTCGCGCATACCCGCGCAATATCGTAGATATCTTGTCTTGGACGCCGCGTTATCCAATGCTACCAATTCTTCAGCTTAAAGATGCATTGCCTACTAGAGAATACATGTTAACCCTTTACACAATAGTATATCGGAAGGCGATGAAGATGACGGTGCCGATGATGTTGAGGACGACGAAGAAGAATATGACGAAATAGTCGAGCCTGAGGAGGAAGAGGAAGAGAAGAATGGTGTAAAGCGTAAGTTGATCCGCTCATAGCCCTGATGATTGATGGGACCTACCCGTCTTGACTAACGAATTCAAAAGTAGCACCAGTTCAAGCTCAGCCCGAAGCCCCTCCAAAGAAGAAGCTGAAGACAGCAAATGCCCCAACCGAGCCTATTCCCGTCGTCAAGAATGGCGAAGAGGAGGGCGAGGAAGAGGAGTTCGATAACGACGATCTTGAGGACGAGGATAACTTGGAGGATGTAGAAGAGGAAGAGGAAGAGGAAGAGGAAGAGGAAGAAGGATATGATGACGAAGAGGATGTCGATGATGACGAGGAGAACGGCGTCGACGAACCCAAGAAATTAGGCATCGACGTCGATCTGCCTACCAATGGCAAGACCCATGCAGTGAAAGAAGTTGCTGCTAACGGCGACGAAGCCGACGACTGAGTTCCCTCATACGGTCCTAGCCCAGGTCTGAGACGACAATTTTGACATCTACTCGGACGTTAAGCCTAGTGGCTACCACGAGCTGCTATGGTGTCTTGTCCTCGATTCTCAATCATTTCACCCCGATCTTCTGCCAACCCATTCCCATGATACAGACGTTGCTTTTCCTATTTCATCACTATTTGTTTCGTCAATGGCATAGAAGGATTCTTGTGTGAATTCAACAGCACATTTAATGGAAAGGGGTCAAGATTTTTTTGCTCTCGTTTAATTCTCGATAAGAATTTATTTGGATGACGTTTAATTGAGTGACACGTAGTCTCAATGCCTATGATAGGTGGTTCGTCCAGCACTGGTGATGATGATTTCATAGTCTTATGCGTATTCATAGTACGCTTCGTAACTCTACGCAGAGCAACTTTGACAATAGGCGTTATATCTCATCGACCCATGCTAGATCGACCATGTAATGTACAGACAGTTGACACACGTAAGAAGTTCGCGAACGGGGTTGCGATACTCTTATATATCTCAATTCCATGCCTTTTCTCGACCTCGTACCCCACAACCCCACGTTCGGCTTGAACTAAGACCAAGGGGGCGGTTGACAAGTGTCCATCCACCTCCGGTTGGTCGGAGGCGACCAGTGAATGCGGCCTGACGAGAAGAAACGAGCTCGATTGAGCGAGTGCAAGGCTAGAGACCCACTCGTAATGTTCGTTTTCGAAGAGATGCTGGCGTATCACCTACGAGATTGAAGGATATGACGCGCGTGGTGGTCGATAGAGATGGGCGAGTATTGGTGACGGGATGGTTGGGCTGACAGACATCGTGGGCTTACATATGTCTGTCTACCTTACCTCCGAGGGCCTGTACATGGTAGTAAATTATAGATCTACAGAGCGAGACTCTAGGACGCATTTGATTGATGGTCTTGGTCGTATCGCTTATGCCTACTTGTGCGCAGAAAATAATGATATAAGCAATTTCAGAATCAACTAGATTAGATCATGTTGGCTTTCTGTACGAGCGATTATTAGTATAACTAACCTTTAATCTTTAATTCATCTCTACCTTCGAGATAACGAAATTATATTTAAAATATTCAACGTGACTGGCTTAGATCAAATTCAACGTAGACCGACAATTGAGAACCATCACAAACCACCACAAACCACCACAAACCAAATCATCTAATATGAGCCTCGGCCTGTTTCTACCGCGCCGCTCGACTCTTATACATACCTAGGTAGGTAGCTAAAGATAAACCTGGGTTATATGTCGCCAGTAGTACTTCTGCGGAAACAACCGTTATACCTACGCCGCAACAAACACGACGGAACAAGAGGCGTCAGCACTAACTAGTTCAAGCGATTATCGCTATGCGACTGCTACGAGGATCGGCCGCGTTGGCATGCCATTGAAGGCAAGGGAAGTCCTACCGCCGAATATAACTCCATAAGTGTTTTATTACCAGGCGATCCCATCCTACTTTCTATCTTATCTCTTGTTTACGCATTTATGCAGTCGGCCCGGCTCGACGTCTTATTAGTTTATTAGTACACATTCCTCTTCCGTTTCATAAAGAACCATTCAGTTGGGATTGGCTGAGACATGACTTGGATGAAATGGACAGCTCCCTGTATACGTATTAGTACTGATATTGATATTTAGTTAGGGAATATTCTACGCGCCGTTTGTCTGATCCATTCTTTACCCCGAGACACTGAGGATCGAGTATAAAAGTAAACCTCTAGGTTATACAATGAGTAAATATCACTGGTCAACATTTATCATGATTAACAGGCCGATATAAAATAGTCGCCGGTACGTGTTTGATACTAATATCATCGTTGCCGACCAAAACTACATTAGTTCTTAATTGTTGGGTATCTACAGTAGGTAATCTAATTGGATGTTTCGCCAACCCCTTGTGCTCGAAAGTTATCATTCATATAATCGTATATCGCCGCTTATCCCTCCTCGGCGTCCATAGTGTCATGTCGTCTTTTCCCGGAGCCTTTGGCCGTATGGCGACCTCTCAGGACTGATCCTTTATTACCCCGGTCTTCGAGCAGATGCTTCATCTCGTTACGCGAGTGGCGTTGTGCCTCCTCGACTCGACGCTTGAAGACCATAACCTCTTCCTTACTAGTCTCGTATTCTCCCAATTTCTTACCTAGAGCTGCCTCGATCCGCTGGTAGATTTCAAGGTCGTACTGCGTAACTAGACTTAAAGCTTGGCCAGCATTTCCCGCACGCGCAGTTCTTCCGACTCGGTGAATATATGTTTTACCTGCGAGTCACTATTAGCAAATCTAGACCACCATGTAGGCTCTAACGAACTATGTTCCCTAAAAGGGGGTAAATAGGGGGCACCAAAAAGGTCAACTTACTATCTTGAGGTAAATCGTAGTTGATTACGACATCAACTTTGGGTATATCTAAACCTCGCGCGGCAACGTCAGTCGCGACTAGGATATCACGCGATCCTGATTTGAACTTGTTCAGAGCACCCAATCGCGCAGATTGTGACAATTGACCTGCAAAACTGAAAGTCAGCAATAATCCAAAATTGCAACCGATGTGACTTCTAACTGACCATGGAGAGGAATTGCCCCGAAACCCAAGTATCGAAGAAAGATTGCGACTCTCTGAGTTTCGTAGACGGTCCGCGTGAATATTATGGTAGACCGTCCGGTAAACTCGCTCGCCACCAGGAATATCAAGTATACGTCCTTGTGCATATGCGGTATGAAGACATAGTATTGCTGTAGAGTTGAGACGGTCTGGTACTTGTTGCTGCTGATGCTGACACGTAGCGGGTCTCGTAGACTGGCTCTCTGTAGGCTTTCGACCTTTGACGACATCGTAGCGCTGAACAGAAACGTGCGCCTTTCTCTCGGGAGGAACTTGAGCAGTTTATCGAGTATGGGGCCGAAATCCATGTCTAGGAGTCGATCGGCCTCATCGATAACCAAGTATTTCGTATTTGACAGTTTGAAGCCCTTCGTCTTCTCGAGATGATCCAGTAGTCGTCCCGGAGTGGCCACAACAATATGAGGTTTTTTGGACAAGGCGATGGACTGGGGGACCATGTCCAAACCGCCGACGATGACGGCGCATCTTACTGATATGGAGGCGCCGAGAGCATCTACTGCTTGGCCAATCTGGGCTGCAAGCTCGCGAGTAGGAGCTAGTATAAGACCGAAGAAGGGCGAAGGTTTCTCGAGGAGGGCTTGGAGGATAGGTAGGACAAATGCGGCCGTCTTTCCGCTACCAGTCTCAGCCAGTCCTACGAGGTCCCTATTCTGTAGAGCAAGGGGAATCGATTGCGCCTGGATCGGTGTGGGGTTTTTGTAGCCAAGCGAGTGGCATGCTTCGACTAGAGCATCAACGATGCCCTATTAAATATCATGTTAGGGAAACGTTCGGCGATTTTGGAGTCTGAGAATCGAATATGCACGTACCAAATCTTTAAACGTTTTCGGGGTAGAATCGACGACAGAGCCCTCTACGGTCTCGGAGTCGGGAGATTCATCTTGGCCTTCAGCGGCGGGCGATAGCTTTCGCCTCTTTGGAGAAGACATTTTTGGGAGAGGTTGGAGGTTGTAGATTAAAAGTAGAAAGTAGGGCGAGACAATTTAGTAGAGTACTACAAAATGTTATTAGTCCAACAGAAAAAAAGTTTGTCTTGCTGTCTCGAATAAAGTTCGCGATCGGGCAAAAAGTTGATAAATCCGATTTGATGCGTGCGCATCCCGCATCCCGCATCTGCAAAAAGTTGACCGCTTTCTCTTTTGGTATGTTATCTTATCTGCCCAAGGCCCCACATAGTATAAGGTACTAAAATCCGTCGGCACACTCTAGCGTTAATAATAGTAGACGATACTTGATATCTGTGGGGCTACTATTTTTCTGCCGTTCGACGAAGAAAAAAAATACAGCTTCTCTAGTTGATCTAATCTCTCTGGCAGTTCTGCGCTTAAGCTTTAGGTACACATTCATCCCACCTACAAGACGATTGATATTCGAAACGAAAGCGCAAATACTGGAATATCAAGCTGCATAGAGATACCCAGTTTTCAATAGAAATTGTATTCGCAATGGCTAAGAGTCGGACGAAGAAACGCACCCATGTCGGCGCCAGCAATCCCAAGTACAAGGCCCCTCTGGTAGGCCGCTCTGCTGTTCAAGATCCCAAGAGCATGGTCATTCGTATCGGCGCCGGCGAGGTCGGGTCAAGTATCAGCCAATTAGCAAGAGATGTGCGCCAAGTTATGGAACCTGGCACAGCTAGTCGTCTAAAAGAGCGCCGCGCGAACCGTCTAAGAGATTATATAACTATGACCGGTCCCCTGGGCGTCACTCACCTACTCTTATTCTCTCGATCCGAGTCTGGGAATACGAATCTACGTATAGCTACCACGCCGCGTGGCCCTACCTTGCATTTCCGTGTCGAGAAGTACTCTCTTTGCAAAGATATCCGCAAAGCGCAGAGGCATCCGAGAGGTGGAGGGAAAGAGTATATCACATCCCCATTGGTATGATTCATGATCTTATTTCTCTTTAAATTTACCTATATAGGTACATATTGCTAACTTGCGATCCGTCTTTAGTTGATCATGAATAACATCTCCACGCCAGGCGCAGACGCCAATTCCAAAGTCCCTAAACACCTTGAGACGCTCACAACTACCGTATTCCAATCGCTTTTCCCCCGTATCAACCCACAGACTACACCCCTCAAATCGATAAGGAGAGTTCTACTTTTAAACAGGGAGCCTGCTACGGACGAGGATGATGGCTCTTTTGTGCTCAACTTCCGGCACTATGCTATATCTACCAAGCCTGCTGGAGTGTCTAAACAACTCCGTAGGCTCGACGCTGCTGAGAAGCTCTTTAGCGCCAAGAACCGGAAAGGCGGCGTCCCGAATTTAGGAAAGCTGGAGGATATCTCCGAGTATATGATAGGAGGCGAAAATGGCGAGGGTTACGTGACGGACGGTACCAGTGGAAGCGAAATGGACACGGACGCCGAAGTCGAGGTTCTAGAGGATGCGCCGCGCAGAGTGCTCTCGAGCAAGGCTCGCGCGGCCAGGCTGGAAAGCGGAGATAAATATGTAGAGAACGACGAGAAGGTAGAGCGACGGCGCGTCACCTTAGTCGAACTCGGACCTCGTATGAAATTACGCATGACGAAGGTCGAAGAAGGTCTGTGCTCTGGCAAGACGATGTGGCACGAGCATATCCACAAGTCAAGACAGGAGATACAGGATCTCGAGCAGCGATGGGAGAAGCGCAGAGAGGAGAAGGAAGCAAGGAGAAAGCAGCAGAAGGCCAACGTGGAGAAGAAAAAGAAGGAACGCGAAGCAAACGGCACCAAGAGCAAAAAGGACGGAGCAGCCGGCGAAGATGAGGATGACGAGGACGTTGAAATGAACGGATATAACAGTGATCTGTTCGACGAAATGATGGAGGAAGACGAGATAGACAGCGAAGGATTAGCAGGAGACGCGGAAGAAGCAATCGGTGATCAGATGGATGAAGACGAATGGGAAGACGAGAGGGAAGAGATTGCGGATGAAAACTAATCCTTCCTACTTTGTCGGGGTTATGATAGTTGACATGGGTATGGTGTCTGGCGCATTACATTTATGCTGCGTAATATCATGTCTATCGAAGAGAACTCTTGATTTATCTCTGAAGTGTGCGGTCAGATACGAGTAGCTCTTGAGGTTATGGCTTTGAGGGCTGAAGTTATCCGAATTAGAAAAGGAGTTTACTAAGAAAGATGTAAATTATACTCTTCAGAGCCTATATTAAAAGTTCAACTAAAAAAGGAGAGGGATGCTGATACCTGGGTATTCTAACCTACCTCGTATCTAACCATTCCCCCTTTTAGGCACCAGCCATCAAATATATCCGGCGTATAGACTTGAAAAGCAAATTACCGGCATTGAATCATGAAGTAGAAGCCTGGTGGTGTAGTAGCAGCACATCCCATCATCACAGGCTTCTGAGCAACGAACTCAGATGAGATGTCGAGGTTAGAAAGGTAGTAGGTTCAAATCCTACCCAGGCTATATCCTTTTTATCGTATCGTCACACCCGTTGCGTTTAGGGCTATAGTTCCTCAGTATAAGCTTAGGTTAACTACAATGAATATATAGGCAAGTCTTTCTGCGACTAGCGAGTTATAACATATGATCTGTTATTGTTAGATTGATACATATAGTTGAACTGAACTATTAACGCCTACCCTTCTATCCTCTTGCAAGGGCACTCCGCGCTTCTTATACCAAATCCTGGTATATCTACTACCCCTGAATCTACCCCTAACCCACTTATACCCCAACAGTTATCTTGATACCCGCATCTATACGCAGCCCTGTTCCATTAATAAACCCAAAGATTATATCCGTAACAACTATATAAACAGTTCTTCACTTGTGACTTCTCGTTGAAATAATTAGACCGGCCAAATAGCTTACTAAACTCGGTATATCGTGAATATTAGGGAAAGTAGCGTATCTACTCATGATTAATGGGCCCTATTGATTCGTATAAGGCTTAAACTCATTCAAATGAGCAAAATATGGTTGGTATGTTTATAGGAATTCCTTAGCGTCTATTAGGTTAGAGAAATATTTGGCTTATAGGTCAAGTATATGGTGAAGAGCTTTTGCAACAGATCCGCCTACTCTACTCCTGTGAGAGCTAAAGCTCATTCATCCGTTTGTAATAGTATTGATCATTCTTTGTACATTGTATTTACATATATGTCTAAGTTACTAAGGTACGGGAGATTTTGTCTTATTATTTTGCTCAGTTGTTGCAATCATTCATAGGACTCCTTTTTATATTAGGTCCAAGTTCCGTTTGATGGGCCAAAGTATCCCACATCTGGCATTTGTAACCACGGCAGACCTTGGCCATCGGCAGTATTCTGCCATCTAAACTGGATGTTAGCGAAGCCATAGCTGTATAATCTATATGTTGTACTTACACCGTATTTCCCCACCAATCGGGAAATTGTACGTTGGGTCCATAAGTAACAGCGAAGAAAATGACGATGCCACTGATCGCGAGGCCACTATAATAACGAATTGATGGTTAGTTATTTTGAGAACATTGGGGCCTAGGTCTGTTTCGGGAGCAGCAACTCTAAAGTTGCTTCGGCTGGGAGACAGTGACTCTAGAGACGAGCTGAAAGGGGTAAAAAGAAATCATCGATGTTACGTACATGTCTAATGCCGCTGCAAGCACATAGTTGTACTTTGCCCACCAAGCGTAGAATCTGTTATAAATGATTTTGTTGAAGATCAGGTTGACAATATACCAACTGCTGTAGTTGATGCCTGTCGCTGGCGGGACGTTGTACGTGCCGACGAATATGAGCGGCCAGTTGATCTTGCGGACGAATTCGTTTCCGGTCTTCTTCCAGATATAATAGGTAATCGGTGGTAGGATTAGTCCGATCCAAAAGAAATGTAAGAGGCCGCTGTATATCTGGCCGACAGAGTATAGGCGCGCGGGTCCGACCAAACCCCATATTACGGAACTGCTGTAAACGGTACGACCTTGGGGGCAGCTAAAGCCGTTGGGTTGATCTACCGTGCAGATCTCAGGTACGTTCCCTAACATCCACTAGATTATCTAGGATTAGCAAGACTTCTATGCTGAATAGTATCGTGGTGAATCGCGCGACCCCTTTTAGAGTAATTTGAAAATTGCTTACCAGCGTGACGCCCACCTGCGTTATAGCACCGAGTATAGTAGCCAGGCCTTGCGCCCAGAACAGAGTGCGCGGCGGAATCTTCAAGTAATGGCCCAGCTTCATGTCGCCGGCAAAGTACAACCCTTGGCCTACCACATCTTGGGACAGAGTCTTGAACAAGATGTTTGCTATGGGCTTCCCCTGAAACATATACCCACCCATAAATTCGGATAGGACGTTAAGCTGGTTCGCATCCACGTTCGTCAGCCCCTGAATTATGCCGCAGGGCACCATGTATATGCCGCCAATCACGATCGCAAGTACAATTCCGTACACGGGTAACCCTGTGTGATATACCTCGGTCATGGCGACGCTCATTCCAAATACGATAAGCACTATCGAAGACCACCAGTACCAGGGAGCGTTCTTATAGCTCTTCATAAGTCGCGCGTGGATATCAAGCTTGAGAGTTCCGCGTACGGCATGCATGATTTCTTCCCAATGGAAACAGTAGACATGCGACAAGACACTATCATCTCTCGTTAGACATTGTGCTACGAAGTGCGCAGAAAGCCGGATCTGAAACTCACCTGGTGATCGACGCAAAAGAGAGACCGTAAACGAAGGCGAAAGTCGCGGGCAAGTAGGGTGGTGAGTATGCCGCGTACTTCTCTTCGTCGAAAAGGTTATTGGTAATGACTTTTGCAGTGTCGTAGACCCCTCCAAAACGGTCATACACCTCTGCAGTGCAAAGAGGCAAGTAGGACGTAAACCACGTGTTGGTGTAATAGATAGCCGGCGTGACGATCCAAAAGAAGATGGCAAATCCGGCGAAGACGTTGGCAGCAGCCCAATGAGGACTAAGTAACGGATTCGTATTGTATACGACCATGGACCAGTCAAAGGTTAAGGGGAACAGCCCCAGGCCCGTTACCATGCCGAAGATCTGATTTACCGCGAGGTTGTTGGGTGCAAGCCAACATATCCACGTGAAGTAACTCAGGCCGGTGAATATCAAACCGGGAAACCAATACCACACAAAAGCAGCGGTGCCCACTACCATAAAGAATTTGATACGGGTTATCTTCCACCCGTCAGCCACTGCGTTAGTTCGAGAATGAATCGAGCTCAATAGTGCCACGTTGCTGAGGACGCCGGGCCAAATCATGGTGGCGGGCTCAACGAGTAGCCTTCTGCAAAGGCCGGCAACGCCGTATCCGCACAGCTGACAGCAAATGACGACCAGGACCGAAAATCCAGGTGGCATATCGATGCCATACAGCCTAGAAGCCTGTATTAGGCTCGTAGCATCGGCGGAGCCAAATCCAAAGGAGACGTTGCTCATGATGGTCACCATGGCATGCTCCTTGATGTTGAAATGGTGATCAGGATTGAATCGGCTGATAGGCAGCAGCTTGGCCATGGTGACTCCGAGAGGGAAAGCCAGCAGTTCTGCAACAAGAGACACGATATGAACTCCCGGATAACGCAGCGAGAAGAACTGATTTACACCTGCTCCTAGGAACACGAAAAGCTGCTACTTGTCAACGAGATTGCCTATCAGGACGGTTCTCGGGTTAAAACTTACGATACCGAGGAACCATGCTCTGAACGTGTTCACGGGCATGCCGGGATCGTCCGTCTCGGGTACCACGGCCCGCACGGCGGGGAATGGGCTCGTGTCGGCATCCCAATCTCCCTCCTCTTCGGCCTTGGAGAGAATTTTGGCTATGTCGACTTCCAGATCAGCCAGGTGCCCCTCTGCAACCTCGACGTCGCGGCCCGGAGGTAGGTCATCGCTGCCCTTCTTGTCGATATCGCTGGCGCCCTTCTCCGGTATGATGATATCCGTCTTGGCTGACATGGCGCAAACAGACCTATCCTATGCCGGGATCGAAATAGATGACAAGAAGGAGGTAGGGTTTATTTGATGCGACCATGTCTTGGATATTTAAATATTAAATATTTAATGTTGGAAACCTCTGTAGTCTTATCTATCCATCTTTCCCGGTTAACCCCTTGCACCTATCTGCACCTATCTGTACCTAGGTAGGTATCTTTACCCATCCAAACTGGGGTATTTTTGATGTTATCACAAGGGGTGTAATTAGGTAAGATCAATTAGCCCACGACCAACGACCAACGGCCAACGGCCAACAACATACCTATCGTAGGTACCTATAGGTACACTACACCTTAGGGTGGGGCTACTACCCTTTACTATGCCCGAGGAAGTCTATATAAGAGTCAGCCAATCAGGTGCTACGGGTTTATCTACATCCCTCCTGCCTCTTTTAGCTCGAGCCCGTACTATGTATATACTATGTATATGTATGTGGTGTCATGGTGTCAAATGGTAAGACAATTACCTATTAAGATAGTGCGGGCTGGTCTGTATTACAAAAGCGCATTGTTGATTCTCTCAAGGGCTATAGTCTATGGGGTTACTATTGCTTATAGGGTATTAGGTATGTATGTAGGTAGATTGTAGATTTAGTTAATTGGCCTACATGTAGTGGATGATATTAAAAGTATGTACCTACCTCCTTAGCGGGAATACCAGGGAATTTGTAAGCTTTTAGCAGGCCTTGTATTTCAGGTAACCCTAGGTACTGGGTTTAAAAGCCAGGGTCTTAGCACCACTTTTCAAAGAGGTAGACTATAAGTAAATTACCTACATACCTAATAACCTCCTAGTCACACGTATGTAGATACAGGCAATATCGATGGTGTTATGTGAGTAAACTATAAACAACCCCCTTTCCTGCAGCTATATATTCTCTCTCTTTGGCCATGGCCACCAGCCGTCCATAGGCATGTCATCATAGATGGCATTATAGGCCTCCCATGGTTTCTTTTTAATCCATGAATATATGTATTCTCTGCGACTACCCCAAGCATATGCAGAAACCACATTCTGGATAGAAAGCTCTCCTAATTTAATACCGGCCAAGGTCTTGCAGGTTTCAGCATGAACTTGTAAGTGGGCAATCCACCTTGGGGGTTCTTGTTGTATGTCTTGTAGAAAGTAGTGACGCGTCCAGGTCAGTCCTGCTTCGCAAAGATCCTCGAAGGTTTTGATGTGCATGTACGCGGCAGAAATCTCAGCAACATATCCATCTTCCCACAGGACACTATCCGTTGTCCAGCGGAGGCCCTCGAGCATGAGTTGCGGTACGTTATCGCATTTAATAATCATCTGAGCAGACCATAACTGTGTTGGATAGGGCTTAGTAGGGTCAGGACTGAAACAAAATGCTATATGGGATTTCGTTTCTTTCTCAAAGTATCTTTTTCCGTTGGTTGCTGGTGGTACTACTCGGTGTGGTTGCTGGTCGCTTGTATTAAGGCTCTCATACGCTGGAGGTGCAGCTTCCGGCTCGTCAGAACTCATTTTCTCCATTTTATTTGGTGGCATTAAGACCATTCAATGTTGTGCAGATAGGTACTTCGTTGTTTGTAGGGTGTTCTTGCTTGAATAGTAATATGTACCTAAGGTAAGGAACAGTTGATATTGGCTTCAAAGGCATTTGCGAGTAAATGGTGGGCGTGCCTACCTTTATATATGTCCAATTAGTAGCTTTGACTATTACGCTATTCTCTCGGACCCTCGCAAGGTTTCAAATATGTTGAACCTGTTGAAAGAGTTTATTAGATTGCGCTAAGGCAGAAGCCACAAGTGCACGTATGCGTATGAGATGACAACTTAATAAATTAGGTAGGTAGGCACTTCTTTACATATTAGGTACTCATTGGCTAGGTAGGTACCTAGGTAGGTAGCTCTTAACATACATGTAAACTAACACTCGCGCTCAGATGCGATTGACTTGTTGCGCAATGACAACAACTACCTACATGTGTAGAAGGCACTGCTAGACCGAACAGAAGGAAGCAAAATTAAAACATTAAACTTCAAGTAGGTACATCCACCCATGAAAACAAACCCGTGCCCATTCAAAGTTCGGCAGGTTATGACTCTGTTTCGTTGCCGTAGATACAAGTGCAAGAACGATCTGTTACCTAAACTTCAAGGGTCAAGAGTTCTTCTCAACTCTTTCTACCCAACTTTACTTTACCTTTTCCACATTCTAGTTACTCAAATCAAACATCAGAGAACCTATCAACTCTACATAACTATCCGAGCAACATACCATATCTCGAACCTATTCTACATTATACATTACTACAGGGATTGCCGTCCTTTCAACACCCACGGAGTCCACTATACACTCCACCTCCCCTAACTTCACCATTCCGGGCCACCCCACCGGGAATTCCAAGTAAGCGTTTAATATTTTCGAAATATCCCGAATACCTTCCAAATATCCATATACGAATTGATATTGGGTTAAGCCGGAACAGGGCAGCCAATTGGAGGCAACCGGGGCGGGGAAGTGAGAGTGGGTGGATGTAGAGGACCGGGTGTTGGTGGCAGAAACAGTTCAACGGTGCCTGGCAATGCGTGAAAGATTTATATTTGTTTAATGTTTGGGGGGGGGGGGGGGGTTATTAATATCAACTTTAAGGGTAGTATTAACGGGCGTATTAGTTTGGGTTTTGATGAAGTAATTTTATTAATAGAGCAGTAAATATAATCAAGAAGATTTGAGGTTAGCGGTTAGCAAAGTTCGGATGATGGGATGATGGGATGATGTTGTTACGAGGTGGAACTAAACAGTAGGGAAACAACTTTGTTGTTCCGCGAGGGACTCTAATCTATCTACGAGAGTCTGTCTATACATATTCTTCATTAATAGAATTTGAAAACTTCTTATATAGTGATCAAGGTTGGATGGGCTTAAATGACTATACCTCTTAATGTTAGATGTTATAGATGCTAGTAGCCTTATACGCTTAGAGAGGCCAGTTATGGCGTTAGATACACATAAAAACAATAACAGAATATGAAAAAACAATTGTGTAAGACAAGAAGATTTCGCACAAGGGAACAAGGCATGTATCCTAAAGCAAACCCTTCGGCAAACGTTCAACTTCGATCAATGGGATAAACTTCACTCTTGGTATTAGGTATAACTACGATGCTACCAGTACTGTACCTAACTTAGAGGTGCTCCTATAGTGTCCGTATATAACATGCCGGCAACACTAGCGGATGTCAGAGTCGAAATAATACCAGAAACAAGGGCTGAAATGGCAACCCTAGACACATCCCCGGCACGTTCGGGGGCAAGCTGATTCAATACACCGATCTGAGTACCGAGAGAGCCGATGTTGCCGAAACCCTGTCATAAAAATTAGTATCTGGAAGCGAGAGGAGGATAGAGGGTAGGACTTACGCAGCAAGCATAGGTGGCGATGATCCGGGCTCGCGGACTCAAGCCCGCATAGCGAGGATTCGACTTAAGGGCGTCGAATGCCTTGAACTCGTTGATGATGATTTTCAGACCGATTAGTTCTCCGACGAGCAAGAGATCTTCATTCGGTACGCCAAGTAGCCAAGCTACGGGGTAGAAGCAGTAACCAAGGATAAACTGAATGGTTAATTCTTGAATGCCCCAATAACTACCCCACCACGTAAGAAGTCCGTTGATTAGACCAACAAAGGCGACGATGCAGAGAAGCGTGGCTATAATCATGCCGGCGATCTTCAACCCGAGCCAGGCACCGTCCGCAAAGGCGTGCAACGCATTGGCAGACCTGTGCCCGTCGTCCTCTGGGATAACTACGCGGCCGGATGTTAGGGTCTCTTCCGTCTCTGGGAAGCGCATCTTAGAGACAGCGAGGGATGCCGGGATAGACATGATGCAGGAAGAGACGAGCGCCTGAGGACTTAGGCCAAGCCCGATGTAGGCCACAAGCACGGAACCGGCGATGGTGGCAAAGCCGCACGTCATAACCTGATGGATCTCGGCCATGGTCATATGCGCGATAAACGGACGTACCAGCATGGCAGATTCTCCCTGTCCGATGAAAGGGGTCGCGGCGGCTACTACGGCTTCGGCACCCGAAACGCGGAGAGTCCAGAAGAAAAAGACGGCAAACTTGCTGACGAACCACTGGATAAGGCCGACGTGATACAGGAGGGATACAAGAGCGATGAAGAAGATGATGGGCGGCATGACAGTAATGAGGAACCAAGTCATTTGCCTCACTGTAGCATCCGTTAGGAATTCGACACCCTCGCCGGCGAAGCCTAGCAAGGTTCGGGCCAGCGTAGAAATGAAGTTGAAGATGTCATAACCAGCCTGGGATCGCAAGACGAAGACGGCGATAATGAACTGAGTGAGCATTCCGCCTGGAGAAACGAGTCAGCGTATCGTCGATTGGTACGAGGAACAGGAAACCTAATGGCCGCTTACCGATGACAGTATGCCAGGGAATTTTCCTCCAGTCCCTCGAAGTGGCAGTCAATACAGCAATCATCACTACCAGGCCAAACAGAGATTGCGCACGGCGGGCGCGCGTGTTGTCGCCGGTCTCTTCCGGCACCATAGAGCCGATTAAGAAAACTGCGACGGTGACGACGGCAGCAAGTGGGCGATGGAGCTTCTTCGGGATCATCTCGTAAATCCTGAAGGCAGTGTGACGCCAGACGAATTTGACAGGCATCATGACATATTTAATCGGGATCCAGAGGAAGATGATACGAAGCGTGATCGCCAGGTATACCAAGAACGGGATCAGCCAGTTCTTCTCGTTCCGGAAACGAACGAGGCCATAGATCCACCATCTGGAAAAGTCATGTCAGCTCTGCGACTCGATGCGCGACTGCGACGGTTCATCGGGGGGAGGTCGCGCCAGACTTACGCCGTAAAGACGAGCCAGATAAAGATGTGGACGTAGGCCCGATATCTTCGATAATAAATAGCGAAGAAGCCCTTCGGTTCTTCCTTCTCGTCGCCGGCTATATGGCCTACATTTGCGCTCTCCTCATCAGTAACCGACTTCTCGGCGGCGGCATAGTCCCGAGGTTTCTCTAAACTCTTCTCTGGCATGTTAGCCGAGTAAGTGACCTCGTTTGGATGATTGGCCGACTTCGAAAGCACGTCTTCTTGGGGCGACGAATTATGACCGGCGAGGCCTTTATTCTCGTAAGAACTCATCGGATCCAAATTCAAAACTGAGAAGGCCTTTTTAGCAAAATAAATCTTCTTCCTTCTCTATTCCTTCACTCCTCCCTTGTAAGTTTTTTTTTTTTTTCAACTCGACTCGGAGAAATTCAATCCTCGTCCCAACCGAGTGTGGCGGTGACCACGTTACGTTCCCGATGACCTAACGCGCGAGGAAGTACCTAACGCGCGAGGAAGTCTAAGAGAGGGAGGAAAGGGAAAAGGAAAAGATCGGGAAGAGAGGTTATATTATTAGTGAGATGCGGGCTGGGGGTCATCGAGGACGTCAAGTGATCGACCTACATTTCTCCAGATTGGAAGAGACAAGAATTTTAATACTTACTTTTCCAATATTAGCCTTGGTGGACAAATCGTACATTGGTGGCGATCGCGTGGTCTAGATGAACCCGGTCGACGCTAGAGTATGGAGGCCTTCTAGAAGGGGAAGGCAACCCTATCTAAAAGATATATTGGATGTAATCCTTTTTATTTTTTTTTTCTATCCCTGCGATTATGTAGGTCTGGCCGCCAAGTTGGTACACAGCAGGATACACAGCAGGACTATTTTACTTGCCTATCATATACTTACCTATCATGTCATAGTAAACGAATGCTCCCAAGAATCCGTCTGGCGCGTAGTCTTATTGCTTGACGAATTGTAAGTGGTTAAACAACGACTAGATGAAAAGATCCCGAAGCCACAACCGCAGTTGACAAGGGCAAGATAAGAACCCATCAGGGGGGGCCTCAGGACAATAGCCATACACTAGATATTCTACACTGAATTACCAAAACTTAGATAACCGTAGCTATTAATACGATATCCGCAGGTTTGATGATAAGAAAATAGCAGCTTAACATGTAGAATGTACGTAAGTTATTAGACCTAATGTTTTTCCGTCTCCGCCAAGTATTAAGGTCCGAGTCTCCGATTGGCTAAAAAATCATGATAACGGGAATTGTGATGTAACCTTTTTTTGGTAACAGTTAAGACAAGCCGGGGATAACCTGGCATGGGGTTCCCATTCGGCCAAAGTACGTACTGATAGGCGCATCCAACACGGGGCACAGCACCCTGCACACATCGCACAAACGGCATAATCCACCAACGAGATAGGCGAACACGACGTTACTTGGTTTGTTGAAATACATCGTTTGTAAGAGTCAAGTATTGCGCAGGTACTGGAAGCCCTGTGGAAACATATGTTTTGATATAACGCGCCGGAGCCGCACCAATCTTTCTTGTTAGGTATGTTCTTGGAAGCGATTACGTTGATAAGCTCACGCGAAGAATCAGCAACGATCACGAGAGCGCGGGTATAACATAACCTATGTGAAACTCGGGAGCTAAGCACATACAGCTTGGTAGCGCACGATACACGAACCATTTTTCAGAAGCGAATAGATATCATATGTAGTAAGTACTCGCTAGATACCTCATAGGTACCTAGGTACGCAGGCTTCCAGGATACGGTAACACCGACTGCGATCTCCCCGAAATGGACGTAAAAGTAGGTCCCGAGTCTTGTGTATGTATTGCATCGCTTCTCTACACCACACCAACTCCAGCTTCTACTAATTTTAACCGTCCCATTGGGTCAAGGCGCTCATTAGTATCTGAGGTGTATATAGACATCGTAAAGGTACCTACCTATACATAGCATAGAGTAAAGGTATATAGATACTTTGGAATATATCGTATTTAAAGGCAGTCTTCGTAACAAGGCCATCCAGTATAGGTATACAACGGCAATACACCGAAGTACGTCTGTTGTGAAACAATAGCAATTCGACATTTGAGTGGTCAACCTCAGAGATAAGGGAAATCAAATCACCGCTGGAAAGCTGACCATCCAGCCATCCCAGCTGAAATCAGCCTCTACACTATGTATGCATCATCTAATAAGGCGGGATACGTCTCGCAGATAAGACCACTAAAGACCACTACGGGATCTTCCAACTTTCCAATTCGGTATTCTTTTCTCCTTATCTCGAGTTTCTTGGCCTTGGCCTTGTTTACCGACAACAACCCCTACGCTCATGTTAAGATGTACGTAGTAAAGCTCTCCAGTTAAAGGCCGTAGATATCCAAGCTGGGGTCGTGTTTCTTGTCACCTTCCTAAAGCGAGAAGATGGCACGTGCGCTACATGGATGTACCGCATATCATCGATCTTACAGGAAGTCAGCCAGGTACGAAGCCTCGGTAATTGGGATGGGATACCAAATAGACGCTTTATGTACATAGGTAAGTCGGAGGGGGGGGATACGGACCCCCTGCAAGATGAGCCAATCATATTTCAAGGTTCTACTAGGGGCCTACTTTTTTTCACGTAAACTCGATGTATTTTTTTTTAATATTTTCTTTTCTATTTTTATATTTTACTCCACTTTCAACCAATTAAATTTTTTATTTTAATATTATTGTAAAAACAATCTTTTGATTGGGTGGTTATTTCTAAACGTCACGTAATATTTTTAAAATTGTATAAAAATATTTTCAGCTTAAACTTAATAAACCAATTAAAAAACGTATTTTAAAAATAAATAAAATATTAACGTATACATATGTTAATTAGTTATGAATGCGATAGCTTAAAATAGCTAGTAGCTCGGTTAAAGCCCGGGAAACGGGCTAAAATCAATCCAAGCCTTAATAATAAAAGAGCTAGCAAAGAGCTTAGGCCTAATCGGGAGTACGTTATGCTTAAAATGGCAAGTAAAAATCTTTTAACCAATCGTAAGCTGAGAATTTAGCGTCTTCCCTGTAATGTGCCACGCTAGGCCTAAAAGGGATAAAATCTACCTACTTTTGACCGGGGGTCCGTATCCCCCCCCTCCGACTTAGTAGCTATTTACATCGGGACGAAGCTAATGAATCTAGACCTAGGCGATAATAGTATCCGATAGGTAGTCTATTTTATTGTAGTTTGAATCCTGATTGTGCTAGCTCGTAGTCTTCGATTATCTACGTAGACTATTCCATCTCCAATTACCGGTTAAGTCTAGCATATGCTTGCTCCGGTCTTAATGGGTAGTTTGATACTAGCATAATACACGAGAGGAAAGAGATTAAGTAGTATAAGTTACTTGTACATAAGAGTTAACGAATTAAGTTGATTACGATTACTAGCATTTTGTCCAAGTTAAACATAACAGAGATCCTTTTTAATGAGTAGATATAGTACTTTGGAATCTATTGTATGACACTCACGGTATAAATTAGAGGTAAATGAAGTTATTGAAAGTTTGAATTACTATACTGTTTGTCATAGTTAGAACGAGAAGCAGGATGAATGAAAACAACTTCGTTATTCTTTAAGAAACTCTTAACTCAACTATGGAAGCTTAAGCTATACATACTAGAGGTGTCTATTATTCTAGATGCCTCTTCTAGAATCCTAATAGAATCAGGGCAACCAATGTCTTTATGTTTATGCTAGTTTCACATCGCATTGATTAACTACCAACGCCCACTTCTGAGTATCTGGCTTAGCAACAATCATCAGCCCAATTCTTTCCATAATGGTAGGAGCCCCTTTACCGGGACTCCAGGGGTCTTTTATGAGTAAAAGTGCAACTCGGAGAGTGATCTTGAGACTAAACAAGTCGATTGCTCTTATATCGAGGCCGTCGAAATAATTATCAATAAAGTAACGTATCTTGATCCCTACTGGGGGCTCATCTTCGGCTTGAACGTTAACCTCTATATCACCCGTCCAGGCCGTTAGGTTCTCATTGTCAAGTTTGAACTTCACTAGCGAACTTCGTATCACGATATAGTCATAATTTTTGCGCCATATACCGTCGATATCGTATGTCTCAATAAAAGAGTCGAGAACCTCGGCACACACGATCGTGTTGAAGGCCATACGTGCTTAATGGCCCCAGGACAATTGGCCCATGACCAAGATGGTAGTCTAGATGGTGACCAAGATCGCATTTTATCGGCCCGCCATAAAAGGCCACGGGGATCGCAGTAAGAATCTGTCCCGAGCCATCCCACAAACATATCCTCCGAACTATTTATACAAACTGGTAAAAATCGCGGCGCTTTCCTAGAAGCGAACATACTGGTCCTTGAGCCCAGATTTTCTGCCACGATATTCAAGGTGGCGTTTTTGTAGTACTCTGATATCTTTTCATTTTCGATCGAATAATCTTCGGGGTAATCTGGTATGATACATAGCTCGTCAATCCATAGATATCGAATGCAGAGATGGCGTATCAAAGTGATTGCGTCTCTGAAAGTGGGTTCCAACTCGTCAAGCTGTATGGTTTGCTTAAACCATCTTATCGATCCCATCGCCATGTCAGACTTTATCCCCCTAGTGTGAGAAATTGTCGCATATTCGTCTTTATCTTTCGTGTCTGTTTTTATGAGACGTATAGAGTCGTTACTGACGTCGATGACCCTCTTAGGTAGAATTGACGGGGCGTATCTACGACATTTTGGGTGATTCTCTTTGCACGCCTGAAGCCAATGTGCACATGTATCTAAGAGACTGGGTTCCCCAAAGTGTAGATGTATTGGTCTCCCCGAGATCTTGCCCGCTAGAGGGGATTAATTAGCGTCAGTTTCAAGCTGTAAACCCAAGTCTAAACCGCATCAAACTTACCTGCATCTGTAAACAGATGCAAACGACCAAGGTAGCAGTAGCAGCTAATCAAGAGAAACGGATCCTGAGTTTCTGCCTTAAGGAAGACACTCACACTACCAGCATTTCGATGGATTTCCTCCTCTATTCCAAGGCCAATGGTTTTAGACTTGTCTTCGGATAGAGCGGTCTCTACAGATAGTTGACAGTATCGAGCAATACCGAACTGGATAAGAGCACAATGAATCATCCTGCAGAGCTTGCACTCATGAGACGAGGCTAAAAGGTCATCATATGTTTTGTGTTTGAACCCTGGGCGCGTTTGAAGTTCATGGTATTGAATCTTCTGGCACGTCTTACAGAGATCTGCGTTTTGGTCGGAATTATCTGCGCGATCCGACGTAGGCCCCCTCCAGGGATTGTATTTTGTCGAGGGGTTTGGGTATGTTACCAGCCGGTAAATATCCCATCCGGTATTAAGAGCCTCTTGGATTAGTGTTGCAAGTGCCTGCGTATCACTAGGGCCAGCTTTCTGTGTATGGTTATACCAGTACTGAACCGCATAATTACCTAGTTAGGGGGTAATCATCTCTAGTTTGCATGTGCGCATCGTTCGAATTGACGTGGAGAAGGTATGTAAGGGAGGATTGAGCGAGTAATAGATCTCCCATAGGTTTCGGGATAGAGAACCGTTTAGAATGGGAGGATAGTTTCTCGGTCTCTTGAAGAAAGGTATAAACGCTCGAATGGGCTAATCTAAGAACTGCATCATCATGCAAAGTCCTATCCGTATTAAATTCACAAGAGGATGTAGTATCGTCGTCAACGTCAATGGCAAATATGTCGTTTACATGCGAATCTCCATCAATCGCAATCAAGAAGTCGCACTGGTCAACGAAGCTTGGCTTCTTGTTAAACCGCTTCTTGGGGTAAAAACATGGCATCTCTAGCCATTCGAAAGCGACTGTTTCCCGGAGTTCCTTAATACGAAGTGGTCGGCGGGCATATAGGAGCCAACACAGTAAAGTCCTCAGATTTTCGATTCCGGAGTCAGTATGATTCCACGTTAATGTTTCAACAACATTACTAACCATAACATCGTCTTACCACATCCCGCCAAGCGACAGTTTAGTAGGTATGTCACGACTAGGAGGGGTGACGGAGTGATATATACTAACTCTTCCCATGCAACCAGAGAAATGAGACCGGCTGAGATTTCCAGCGGTAGAATGACTCTCCTTCAAGGAACCATGATCCTGTACGATCTTCTACTCTTGTATTTTCCCATGAGGCTTCGAATGTTAGTTGAAAAGATACTAGGCTTGGATCAATAATTCATTTCGCTATGTCTGTCCAGTTAGGTCCTGTTGCTTGAGACCCTAAATAAGTCAGCAACGCCTTTCAATCGTCCCACTGTACAATTCTTACCATTGTAAATGTTTCCGTACTGGACGCAGACGTCGCCGCCAGATACGGAAAGAGAGTTATGAGAGTATTCATGGCTTTGATTCTGTATGGAAGCCATCCTAGCCGATAGGCTCTTACAGTTTGTGTTTATAATACGGGCACAAGATTTCGTAGAAAAGATGCGGGGTTAGAAGCCTCCTGGAGCCAAGGCACATACGCATACTGTTATTGAACTGAGATTGGTGTTGGTCGAGATGTTTCCGGCGGTTAAAGAGCAGCAACGACAGCTTAGCATTGAAGAGGCGCAGGAACTTCAAGCAGAGAGGGGGATAAATGCCCTACAAGAGGCGTATGAGGGCGAAGACCAGCTTCTCCGAGAGGCTATTGCGCAGGCCATGGCTAGTCAAGAAAAACATAAGTTTTTGGGGAATGTTGCGAACGACGAAGTGCGAGTGAGGTACGGAGACGAATTCGAGGGCAAGTCGGCAGCTACAGGAGTCGGGAGCTTGTACGAGAAAAACCAGGCATCGGGCAAAGCTGTAGTGCACTACGGCGATCACCACGGGCAATGTTCCATATTTCATAGTCGAAGTAGTTTCGGTATGGAGTCAATATTTCTCTTAGAGGGACTTGTTGGGGTTTATCATTCATAATACAATGTTATCGTTCTGCAATGAAAACCCAAGTCACCAGAAACGTACTTAGCTATTAGATATAGCTGTAAAGCTAACATACAGGCCTAGTTAAAACTTTTCGTATCACTAATATTAATGTTAGGTAGTATTACATATAATTCTATGGTGAATTAAGGGCTTTGTCTGGATATTGGTCGACAAAGTCCGTACGCCCTTCTAACAATACATCGGCATTTAATCTAACACTCCACCTCACCATATCAGTTGAGCTCTTCTCCCTAAAACCACCACCGTGGTCTCCTATATCACTTGAGGCGCTAACAGGGCCGGCCGCCCGATGGTGGTGAAAGAGTGCTGGTTGGGTTGTCAAGCAGTTATGATACTTGCGTCCGTTCACCCCCTCGCAGAAGAAACGAAGGAGGATATCGAATCCGTCCGTAACGTCCTTGAGTCCTATCTCGTGCAAGAGCTTCCGCGCACCCGCCTGGCTTATTGCGTATCCCAGTGTGCAGACGCCTTCTTGTACATGATGTACCGCCCTTGTGTGTTCTGGATATTTATCCTTCAATGTGAAAGGCACGTTAAAAGTCCACAGATTCTGTTTTGGGGCAACGGTCTCATCTTCGAGATGAATAACTCGCCCTTTTGGTATAAGGGGGTTGTCTTCGAACGGGAAGTGCATGCCGCAGTGACCAATCCATAGCAGATCCCAATTATCGCCGTATGGAGACAACCTCGGGGATTCGGTATTGGGCATAAAATGAAATGAAATATCGGGAACGGCAGTGGAGGATTCCTTAGGTGGAGTTGGAAAGGTAGAATCGGCATATGACTTGGAGCCGGGTCGAGGTTGCGTAATAGCTCGCGTAGACAATGCGAAGTCTTTTAGCTGATGTTTGATTCGGACGTCCCAATCAACATCGTCCTCCAGTATCAGAGCAGAAGTTAAGTTTCTCCGAACGACCCTATAACACATGCGAATCAGTAAGGAACCTTTGGGCACACGTCGATAAACTTACTCTTGAATTGCATTCATATGTGCGCGCCACGATCCGAGAGAAGCATCGTTCATCCTCTCGCGTTCAAACGTCATGGGAATTGCTTTATCAGGTATATCTTTTCCGTTTACGCCATCCACGAATTCTATTCTCATATTGCTAAGGGCAGCTTGCAGGAACATGCCATCGCGGCGGTCTGTCCGTGACGGCAAGCCAACCACGAATATCTCTTGGAACTATACAATAACGAAAGTTAATAATCCTGTACCGCATATCATACGACCGGCTATAGATACATACTCCAAGTGTGCTATTATTTATGTCGCCGAGCAGCCTATCGACGTCCCTGCTGGAGGTGAATCGTGGTAAGTTGAAATATATTAATAAGACAATGAGAAGTGCAACAATTATGTGTATTACACGGTTTGACGGAAGTCTCGCGGTCATTGTAAAAATATGTCTGGGTACCTTAGGTACCTATGGAAAAGGAATTAAAAATTATTTAGAGGTCTGAATTAAAGAGTCTTGCTGAAATATCCAAGACATCACAGGCTAGAGGCCCCCATGTTACCAAAGTCCTAAAAATACAAAGTCCATAAAAGGTTCCTCAATAAACCAACAGATATATGCAAGGTACATGATCGGCGGCTACTACTAGTGGAAGACATAAATGTCGCGATATGGTATTTCATGAATGGATGAATTAGCGCCCGACATTGAGGATATCTCAGCTTTAATACTATGTAAATTGTGGCGGGCCAACGAAAAGAGTTACTTGAACCCGGCAATTCGGCGCGGCTGGTATTACTGACAAATCACGGCAAGGCTCTTTATTGTTCGCTTAAAAAGATGCGACATTGATCATGCAGTTGGTTCACTTCGGCCTACTCTTCTGCATAATTAACCACGGCCCGAACCTCTACCCTGGCATGCCGAAATGAGCTTATTGGACACTGCCTAGACTCATATCCCTTCTAATAGCGATTGATACCCTAGGACGAAATGCTTAGCTGCTTTCGATAGATGGCGAGTTTCTATGTGTTCAGGTAATAGAGTCGTAATTTCATTTTCTCTTCTCAACGGTTCATAGCCCATTCATCTACCTTATTATGTATTGTTTCTATATACCAACCGAAGCTACTCGATATGACAAGTCTTCTCCTTATTTTCGCAATAGCCTCTCTCGCGCTTGCACAATTCTCGAACCCCCCTCCTGGTCGAGTAACGTGGAAAGTCGGTGATATACAAAGTATCAGTTTCAAAACAAAGTTCAAAAAATTCTCCGTCGCTCTTTGGCAAGAGGCTCCTCAAGGAGGCTCAGCAACTCTCGGGCCTATATTATTCCGTGAGTTCCATGATACTCATACCTAGAAATCTACTAAACAAGTGCTATAAGAGACTGTAAACAATGCGGCGACTCAATTTACCTGGCTTGTTCAGGCATACGACTTTGACTTGAACGTATCGAGCGTATTCTTTTTCTGGATGTTTGAGGGCGACCCTTCGTTTCAAGGCAACCGCTCAACTCCTCAGATGTCTTCTGCATTCTTCAAGTTATCGAATAATGCCACGGTTAGCAATGCAACGCAGACGACGCCACCGAGCACCTCGATCGGCCAGGAGCCACTATCTCCAACTAATTTAGATCCCCCTGCGGGAAGTAGCCAGGGTGAGGATGTCCAGAAACATTCCAACGGACTGAGTGCAGGGGCAAAGGCTGGAATAGGGATTTCCGTTAGCATAACAGGTCTAGCGATAATCACATGCATCGGGTTATATATTAGAAAATTGAAGAAACAGGATCATCATGTCGCTGACGAACCTGTCGGAAATCCACAGCCAATTCCCTCGAAGGAAACATGGCAAAATAATACAGTTGCGGAATTAGATACTACACAGAGGCTAAGCTGTGCTGAATTACCCTAATAATGTATATTGATGGGTTTGTTATGAGGTAGCGTTGGAGTTGTCGACTTGAGATATTTCTGAAACAAGTTGGACTAGGATTCTATTAAAATAAGAGACTTGATATTTGGTATTAATTTTATTTACCGTCTCACATTTATTTTCTCGGCTGTAACTATCGGTGTTGATAGGCACCTGAAGTAGAGTCATAGAGCGAGACTACATGACTATTATCCGCAAATTTAGTTCCTCAGGTTGTCGTCATCGTCTTATATTTAATGTTGACATAAGTTACCTTGGGTACCTTAGATATTTTAGGTGCATAATTGAATCTTGTTGTAAGTGAAAAGGGGTCGAAGACTACGTTGAAAAACGCGGGGCTCTTCTCCTAGGCTTCTAATGCTTGGGTACCTATATAACCCATATTGCTAAACTACAACAGAGGTAGGAAGAGCATTTAGTCCGTCAGCAACATATCTAGGTTAGTGGATAAAAGTTTTATTATCCTACTTATACTAATTATATGCATCAGAATGATGAGCTACGCTTTGAGGCTGACGCACTTAGCCTATTTGATGGCCTATACACATGTAGTCACTTCGCTGCGTGGTATCATCTAGCTTGTAGAGTATCGGGGTTTAATTGGTACTATTTAGTTAATATAATACCGACTCGTATCATAATGATGTTTAAATCATGGCCCATAGACCTTCTAACGCCAAAGCAAACCCTCGAGTACCTTGTTGTACCTGCCACCCTGGATCGTGAAAGATGCAAGGATCTGATCAAGTTCCGCCTTGTTCTCCGGCGAAAGAAGAACGTTCTTAGAATTCTCCTCGACACGCTCGACCCTCGTAGCGCCAGGGATAGGAATGATAGTGCCAGCTTGCGGAGAGTTGGAAACTGCGCGAATCCAGGCTAAAGCGAGCTGGGCCGGCGTGACGCCCGCCTTCTCTGCAAAGGACTTCAGCTTATCCACGAGCTCGAGGTTCTTGTTAAAGTTCTAAGGGGTGTGAGTTAGCTTCGTAAGAATATCCCTAGACGGGGGTAAAAACAAAAAATTCTTACCTCGGGCTGAAAGCGGTCAAAACGCCGACGGATATCTCCCTCGGGAATGTCGTCGACGGATTTGATCTGACCGGTCAAGAAGCCACGTCCCAGGGGAGAGTAAGCAACAAGGGGGATGTCAAGCCGCTTTGCCGTAGCAGCTACGCCATTTGTTAGGATATCAGGGGTCCATAGGGAGAACTCGATTTCCACCAGGCTTAGCGGGTAGATGGCGTTAGCCTTCTCGATGGTCTGGGCGCCGGCCTCGCTTATTCCCACGCCGCTAATCTTGCCAGCATCTACAAGTTCCTTGAATGCTCCTAGCGTCTCTTCGAGTGGCACGCTGAGGTCCATACGGGCCGGGCCGAGGATGTCTATCTTCTTCGCGCCGCCGAGAACCCTGAAGCAGTTCTCAGCGCTAGCAAGTACTTCCTCGCGCTTGATCTTAGGCGCCATGGTCTTGGAGTCGACGCAGCACTTAATGAACAGGGTGACCTTGCTCGCATCCTCCGGGTAAGCTTCGAAATAGCGGCGCAGCAGAGCTAAGCCAGCCGTCGGCTCAGGCATGCCGTAGTAATCACCAGTAGACCAGAAAGTGGCGCCTTGAGCGATAGCTGCCTTCATCGTTGCGAAGGCCTGCTCGTCGGGCGTGTGCTTAGGGCGCCAGGTCATGCCCATAAGCCCGAAGCCTGTAACATCCCTAGGCCTGAAGACGGCAGCAGAAGTCGAAGACATTTTGTCGAGACGGTGAGATTTGCGATGGGAGAAGTTGCGAAAGGGGTTGCAGGTGATAGCTGATATGAACGAACGAATCCCAGTTTTCTTGAGAGCCATTACGAGATCATCTCGACTGTTTAAATAGCCTGGGCACGTTCATAGAATATCTCGTCATAGAAGTGACGAAGCGGAAGATGGTGTACAAAAGCGTTTCGGCTTGTACGACATAGTCGGGTTTCAAAGGAGCCGACTGATTAGGTGCCTGACAAGTCCGGTCGAGCTGAGAAAGACTCCCGGTTTTAAGATCAAAGGGAGCGCGAAAGAAGGGAGCCTGACTAAGGCAGTTCGCGACATCTAAACTCCGGCGCATAACTCCCGTCTTTTCGGTGTCGCATATTAACCTATTAGCTGTAGGCTGTAAGGAGTCTCGTATTTGCAGCTAATTTACAGCTAGGACTCTTCGATTTTGAAGGCTTTAACAGGGGCCAGTTGGCGCAGCTCTCGCCAACGCACGTATTGTGTACGTATTGTGTAACCCTTTCGCCAGTCATATATCAGATTTTATAACACAGCGCATTGGTGTTTGCTTTACTGTTTACCTTACATGTAACTTTTAAGATCTGAGTCGTACCATTCTAATTAATCTAGCTTTCTACGTTTAAAGAGAGATATCTATGAGAAACGTCAGAAAGAGTTAAAAACGTAAGGGGTCATTAAGTCATACTATTCAAACTTGGCTTGAACGATATAATTACCTGATAACCCCTGATGTACATATACTACAACGGAAATCCTCCTTGAATCTGATTGGCTAAAGTATAGCTATACTATTCCGCATATAGTATAGGACATGCGTCGAATCTTATGTCTAATCTCGGTACTTGTCAGCAGTTCCAGGGTTGCGGAGATAAGACACATTTTAAAGCGACGCTATGGCTCTAGGCCGTGACAACTGATTGGTTGACTGAATAGCCCTACACGTTCCGAACCCTATTTTAACTTTGAGCCGCCCCCACGCATAAACCATTTTCTTCGACTCAACTCAAACTATCATCCTTGTCTTACTCATAGATGGCAATGATGTCAGATTACTTACAAAATCAGCCACCACACCGGTTGAGAGCGTAGCCTACATGTAGCGAGATGACTACCAGATGACCACTTCCAGACGATGTCTTTGTGTTATTCACATTGTCAACAAAAGTGTCTCTAAACTTATTGGCAATACGTTGATCGTTGATCTTATCAATTTTGAGGGTTATATCGTGACCAATGTTGTTTGTTGTTGTTGTTGTTTTTGTTGTTGTTGTGTTACCTACCACCTTCGAAAGGTTGTTCTCCTCTGAGGAGATATATTACTGTGCCACACTATCACTATCGAGTCAACCAAAGCTGCAACCTAGTCATAAGGTGCTTAGCTGCGGAGATGAATGGAATATAATCCCAACAACTTTACTAGCTTTGTGTCAGCTCCTACATCGATCTCACAGAAGGAATAAATTAAGAGGCGTCGGCTAACAACGAAATGCCTTACAGTTTGTCTAATTATCCGGTGATGATGTCGTATATCGGGACGATGCAGGGCTTTCGGGGCCTTTCATATTGAGGACTCTCGGGAGTTCCCATAGTAAAGGGTGTACGTCGGGAAACCATTTCAGCTCTAGCCTCAGCTTCAGCCTCACTTCTCAGGAGCCCTGCTGTGACGGGTGCTTGCTTATCCGCATCTATTAACCTATAGAATACGGCTGTGGCTTGAGATCCAGGCCTTCGAGTCTATATTTACTCTATCTTGCATTAGGATGCGTCTCGTGACGGGATGGGAGGCGCAATAGGACCGGAGGAGTATTGACCGGGCACACCATGGTCCATGGGACGACAATAACGATGGGATTTCGGGCGTTATGCGAAGAGAAGGGTCATTAGCTTCTCTTCGAATATAAAATATAGGAAGCCGTTAAGTCGTTAAGAAACTTCAGTTGAAACATCCCAAGCATCCATTCGACACTTGTTCTATTTCCCCATTGAAGAAAAGAGCCATCTCTCTTGTGTCACTCGATCATCATGCTCTCACGCGCCATCTTTAATGCACTGGCGATCTTTGCCTCCACAGCTGCAGCTGGGCCTACTTGGCACGCTAGCAGAGGTGAAGATCTTGTGAAATTCTTGGAGAGGGCCACTGCCCCCACGTTAGACTTCAATATTTCTTCCAGTGCTTCGATCGTTACCCCTGATTCCCCGGAGTGGGTCGACGACACGACCCGTTGGTCCACGTGGAGCGCGCCGACATTCAGCGTCGCATTCCTTCCGGCGGAAGAGAAAGATGTTTCTGTTGGTGTAAGTGGGCCGAAGCCATCCCGTACCGGAGAGATTACCTGTATACTTCATAGGCTGACATCGTTATTTAGCTCCAATACATGACGAAGCACAACATCCAATTCCTTGCAGGTGGCGGTGGTCACGGGAATACGGTTACACTGGCCAAGGCGAAGAATGTCGTGTTTATTAACATGGAGAAATTTAACAAAATCACCGTGAACTCCGATAAGACCATCACCGTCGGCGGCGGCGCCAAATTCGGGGATGTCTACACGGTCGCTTACGGAGCCGGTCGAGAATTGCGTCAGTATTGGTCTCTTTCTTTGAAACTGCTACTCTATTATCTATTAAATCCCTTTATCATTAACTAACAATTCGATGCAGCGCTCGGTTCTTGCTCCTGCGTCGGAGTTGGCGGCGCCAGTCTTGGCGGCGGTCACGGCAGACTTCAGGGAAAATACGGCTTGATTGTAGATGCCATCGTTAGCATGCGCGTAGCTCTGTGGGACGGCTCTATCGTTGAAGTATCCGCCACTAAGAACTCGGACCTGTTCTGGGCTATGCGCGGAGCTGGCCACAACTTTGGAATTGTTCTCAGCTTTACATACAAGACTTGGCCTCTACAGAATAACGGCTTAACCTATAACGCGGACATGACTTTCACCAACGCTTCTCTCGAAGGTGTTTTCGGCGTCATTAACGAACTTATTCCGAACCAGGACCCCGGTCTTGCCCTAGATCTTTTCATCCTTACGGACTCATCTACCCACGAAGTAAGTGTCACCCAAAACACGGTCAGAAGTCGAAACAAAGCTAATATCATTAGACTGTTACCTATCTTAACATTGTGTACGCCGGCACTAAGGACCAGGGAGATCAATTCACAGCCCGCTTTGCTACAAACAAGAAATCGACCGATCCTATTGAGCGCACCTCATTGAACGTGACGATGGCCCCCTGGAGCCAGATCACACACGTCGCCGCTGGTGGTATGATCGACTTGGCATGTCTCGACGGTGCAAGCCAAAACGTTTACACGGCAAACTTGAAACAATTCGACATACCCCAGCAGCGACAGTTCTACAACTCATACGTAGAATTCATCAAGAAGAACCCTCTCGCATCTAACTCGATCATCTTCTACGAGATCTTTGGTCAGAAGGCCGTGACAGAGCAGCCAGCCGAGCAGACAGCAGTCGGAAACCGCGACTACGCCAACATTCTCGCCCTTTACCAGACCACATATACGGACGAGAGCGTCGCTCCTGCGGCCGATGCATGGGCGCGCAGTCTTCGCGACGAAGTAATAAAACCTGAACATTCCGGCTACGATATCGAATCCGTATACATGAACTACGCTCACGGCAACGAGAAATTGGAGGCTATGTATGGCTACGAACCGTGGCGTCTTGAGCGCCTTCGTAGCCTCAAGCGCCGCTACGACCCCAAGGGATTTTTCAACTTTTATAACTCGGTTCTGTGATGTGGCGTATACGAATACAAGCAGTTTTGATTTCAGAGCTGGTTTTTCTTATATGTAGATTAGGTACGATGCTTGTTGGTTACGTGTATTGTTAGATATTCGCTTTGTGGCGGGGGAACAAAGCGGTAGGGTTGGGTGTTGCTGTTGTATTCATAGAATGATTTGCCCAATGTATACTTAAGGTTGTCATAGATCTCTTTTCGAATATACTGCCTATGTGGAATTTTCTAAGGATAATGCCTGTGCAATTGAGATATCTTTCGGAATACATTCATTTCAATATAGTTATATGGTCTTTAGAAGTCTTCCACAAGCACAATAAGAGGCATTTCAGGCACTAAGCTTTGTATTTGGTTCTGATGGATTCAAAGCCTGGACTATTGACCGTTTCAATCGACTCATTGACGCTGATAATAAATCCAAACATTCAATACCATAGCATACGGTAATACGATATCTTTTTTTCAATCTTTAAAATTCCTTTAGGAAATGCGTTTAAAACTGTACCTTAGGACTGCCAGCGCTAATTAACTAACCTAGTCAAAATCATTCGGGTAAAAGATGGAACACGCTAACAGGCTACTTATTAAACAAGAGCAATCCAAATTTTCAACGATTCCTAAATCCTCTCCCCGGTGGCGCAATTGGCTAGCGCGTCTGACTGTTAATAATCTTAACGTTATTAAGAGCCATCAGGAGGTTGAAAGTTCGAGCCTTTCCCGAGGAGTTCTTTTTTGTATTTTTCACAACATTTTTAGAATAGCATCTCCGAAGATATTCGCCCGCAGGTTTTTTTTAATCCCCTTTACAGGCAGGTCATTGTTGCTTTCATTATCAATTCGTGCGCATATCATTACCCACGCACCGACTTAAAAGTCTGTTTGAATAGGTACCTAGGTAGGTACAACCACCGGATTATAGGCCACGCCTACATGGGTTATCGGGCCAAGATACCTATAAGCACCGAAACCAGGGGTGAATACCAGGTATGTTAGCATGTAAGCCCGAGCTGAACAATAATTTTACCCATGCCATAATGCCATACGGTCATATAATTGATTCCTCCCCGTCAACACATCACATGTAGGTTTCAATTTGTTTAAGATAATAAATCTAAATTTTTTTTTTTTACTTCCCCGATACGTTGAAGTATTATGATGGACTCGTGGTCTCCATCTCATTTGCTAATCTATATATGCCACTGGCATTTCACCTGAACCATGTAAGATTCGCCTTGGTCTTGCAACCTTGTATTCACGTTTACAACGTGACGATCAGCTTCACACCACTGACCTGGGCTGGGAACCTGGCCAGACCCTTCTGGATATCAGGGAATCCGTGGCCTACGACCTCGGCCTTGACGGGGACCTTGTACTTGCGCTCCTCCAATTGCTTGCCTAGCCAAGCCATGGCGCCTAGCTCCGCGTTCATCACGCTGACTAACGTAGACTGCAGTTCCTTGGGAGGTTGCGCGCCAGGTCGAGTAAGAACCAGCGAGTACAACTTCGGTCCGTCAGCCCTGAACGAGTCATATACGGCGGGCGATTCGGGGCCGGCTCCGACAGCGTCTAGAACGGCGTCGAAACCAACTCCCCCGGGCGACGCGGCCTTGAGAGCGGCGCTGTCCTGCTGAGCGGATCGCTCAAGAGCCGCGTTCGCGCCTAGAGATTTCAGGTGCTCGTGGTGAGGCTTTGAGCTAGTCACCACAATGGTAACGGACGGCAGCGCAAAGCGCAGGATCTGAATAGCAGCGGCTCCTACGGCGGAGCTACCGCCAAGAATAAGAATGGACTTTGGCGGGTTTGTGTTTTCTATCTTAGACAGTCCGGGTACGCCTACTTTGAGGCCGCCGGCAATGGCACCCTCTGCGGTGAGGAAGCAGGTTCTAAAATCGGAAGTCAGCTTATATGGAATAGGGGGTTCAAACCAGAATTACTTACGATAGAGAAGCGGCCTCCTCAAAGCTTAAATAGGCCGGTTTCTTAGCGACCTCCTCTGCTACGGCAACGTACACCTCCTGGAACGAGCCCTTGCCCAGAATACCACGAGCGTAGCTTAGGACTTCATCGCCGGGCTTGAAAGCTGTGACGCCCTCGCCGACTTCTTCGATTACGCCGGCGCCGTCGATACCAAGAACGGCGGGCCAGGATTGGATCGTGGCGCCGAAGGTAATGTTCTTCCAGTCGATTCCGTTGATTGCAACAGCCTTCGGTCGGATAGTAACTTCACCAGCACCAGGTGTAGGCTTGGGTGCCGTGATTAGCTCAAAGGGTCCGCCGACCTTGGTAGCCTGGTAAACTTGAATGGTGGCCATGATGAATGAGATGAGATGTTTTCTTGCTTGAGATATTTGATATTTATTCTTGAGATACTTGTCGTTGTCGAGATGATGAATAACAAAACGAGATGGTAATTATTGCGAGTTTTATCAAGCTCTCAAGGCTTCATATATACCCCGCAATAGGGGGAACCCTTTGAAGCTTCAACTCTACCAACGAAGTCTTGACTTGGGATGTAAGATGCTTGTGTCACCACCTCGTATCACCGGGAAAAGAACGAGAAAGAAGGAAACGGTAATGCGTATGTCTTGGCCCCGGTTCCGACTCGCGAGTTCTTGCGTCCGCTATCGGACATAATCCTTAATTCCTCAAGGCCGACGTCACACCAGAGTCGACTGTTAAAGTTGAGTAAGCCGCGATGATCCCGTCGGATCTAAACAAAGATCTGTAAGATCTAATAGTTAATGACGTACGAGGCTGACCCGAACGAGTATCATTTTTCGGCTTACACCCTTTATGTTTTCCGGGCCACCCTCCCACTTACATCATGTGACGCGGAAAAGAGTCGAAGCCAAATTCTATTTATTTCAGTCCCTTTCTTTACATTATAGACTTTTCATTCCTAAGCTGCTTGTAATGTCGGCATAATATCGATCTTGCTTTGTGGGATGAAGTGGGATGAAGTGGGATGGTCGATGGAAATTCCCGACTATTTTGCCGCCCCAACGCGGGTAAAAAATGCCAAGGGGGTTAAGGATTCGGCCTGTGCCGAAGGAATCTGAAATGTGCCACTAGTATATCTTAGTTAACTTATTTCAGACATAGAAAGCATTCGGTTTGGATTGATAACATTCTAGACTTATGTCGACATCTTAAGGGTTAGTAAAGGCTTGAAGACTAGAGTATTTGATAGGTAATTGGAAATAAAATTAAAGTAGAAAAAGGGGTTCCCGACCAGGGGTAACATTATTTTGCGTGTATGATGGTACTATTCACGCAATAGATTCATATCGTACCTTGATTAATACTAAATTTGAAAACTATATGATCCTTAAAATCTATGTATGTTGCTATGTAAACTCAAGTTATTGATTTACCCCTTTTTGTCTGGTTTGAAGTTCAGTCACTATAACCTCTTGAAATAATCGGGCTATTAACTAAGAAATTGTTTTAACTATTAAACTGTCAGATTATCCACTTGACTAAAAGGTAACTTGTAATGTCATAAAATGTCATTGCTTATTATATGCGACATAAACATATTAGAGACGAGAAGATGAATGCCAAAGTTCGTACAAGTAGTCAATTCAAGTAACCTGTAAAAGTATCGTATTCCTTGTTTATAACGTTCCTATCTTACAAAGCTATATCTTCAGTCTAGTTCCTCTTACTTTTCTGCAGCGAAGCCCCCAAGTATATCAATAAACCAATCCAATCCTTTAGTTCAGGAACCCAATCTCTTTCCAAACATAGATGTACCTCCTAATAACCTCCTCGCTCACCGGGCCCACGGCGGCCAGGGTAGGCGAGTGCTCGAGCGTCTTCTTGGCGTCGAGAACGAGCCCGCCGCAGGACATGCGCCGGTAATTGCTGTCCAGGAAATCGGCCAGAGCGGCAGCCGGGTTGTTGCGCTGCGGTGCTGCTCTCACGCGCTTTGTCCATTCTTCTAGAGGAATCAAGTCCCGGATACCTAGAGCGTCGGCTAGGATCTTGTTTACTTCGCGCCAGGGCTGGCCGACAGGGTTCTCGATGTGGTAGAAGGGATAGTGCGGTTTCGGGTGTGCTCGCAAGACGAGGTCGGCGAGCGCGCCGGCTATGTCGTTGACGGGCGTCCAGTATACGGTGCCGTCGACATCGGGTAAGGCATTCAGCGTCTGCGAGGATTTCATCATGAACCCGAAGTGTTCCATGGGGTTCCAGTATCCGCTGACCTTGGACCCGGCAATTTGGCCCAGGCGCACGGTCATAGGGCGGAAGTGCTCCGGGTATTTGTGCAGGGTCTCGTCGAGCATCCGTTCGCAACCCCACTTGGCCTGCGCGTAACCCACGGGAAGAAGCGCGTCAACGTCGACCCTGTCCTCTGGGACTACTATGTGATCTTCTGTGCGTCCGTAGTTTCCGACGACGCTGATAGACGAGATCATCTGGAAGCCAAACCGGAAGCTTGCAGGGCGACGGGCTACGACAGCAGACGCGAGATCGATTAGGTTGCGCATGGTGCTAAACTGCGGCTCGAAGCCATCCAAAGGTCGCTTCACGCTCATAGGCCACGCGTTGTGAATGAGATGCGTGACGGAGCCCGCTAACATCTCATATTCTCCCTTCGTTAAACCAAGCATAGGGGCCGAGCTGTCGGTCTGCACCACTTGCAACTTAGAAAGGAGATGTTCGGGGAAGTGGACACCTTTGTCCTTCATGGCCTTCTTCTGACGCGTAAAAGCTTCGGTCTTATTCTCGCGATTGAGACAGATAACCGTCTTTACGTCGGCGCGATGCGCTAGCTGAAAGGCTAAGTGGCCTCCCAAGCTGCCTGATGCTCCTGTTACTAGAACAACCTTTGCATCGTCCCTTGGCGCGATGGCGGACGGCGAAGGAACTGGTGCCGAAAATCCGGCAGCGTACTTCTGGACATACACGTCAACAGCCGCCTTTCGCGCAGCTAGTTCGGCATTTTCGCTCTCCGTGAAGCGTGGTGCTTTGGTGGCAATGGCAGGTTCTGGCTTTTCCTCAACAGGGGGTTGAGCTGTGTTTTCTGCGCTGGTGGTTCCAAGCAATAATTCCTTCAGGTCGGCAACAGTAGGGCATTCTAGGAAGAGAGACTCGTGTTGGATGTCGAGCTCGAGCTCATCTCTGAATCGACTCACGATGACGAGCGATAGCAGCGAGTCCACGCCCGAGTCGGCGAAATTGGTGTCGTCGGT